TCGTCATTGGTGGAAAGGGATGGCCAACGATGTCTCAGGCAGAGAGGCAGAAAGGCGTTCGCCAGTCTCTTCTCGACGCTCCGAGTCAAAACGTTCCAAGAGCTTTCTCGTCTGCTCTCGGTCTCGCGTGTTTCTTTCTGCACTTGTCAAAATATTACTTTTCTCCGTATTCTTCGTCGCGAAACACATCGTAACGGTGTAAGCGTTTCCTCGGTTCGTTGCCGCTTAATTTACGAACAAAAGAAAAGGGGGAAAAAACGGACAAATTTCTTCGAGCGAAATCTTGCTCGTACCAGTTATCGAAAATCATCGATTCGTAAACAGACCGTTGTAATTCGTCGCTATATTGACACGAAATAGACGAGGTGAAAATCTTTGACCGTCGTCGATTCTTCTTTCTCGCTCGAATACGCTCGGTTTACAAAGTGTTCGGACGAGATTCGGAATCGTGATCCAGCGAAGAGAGATACCGAAAGCCGAGTGGTTCCAGGGAGTCGCGACACGACTCGACGACGTACCAACTACCGAATGTTTCCTCGGAATCGTTCGATCCGTCACTGGAAAAGGTATTCCAATATTTATCTCTTCCGCGTCCCGACTTCTCGCGTATTTACTCGCTTCGATCGCCGTTGAAAATTCGCGCACCAGTGCTGATCGAATAAATCGAATACGATTCCGTGAGAAAAAAAGAAAACGTCCGACGCTTTTGGGTCGTTAACGTCGAATCGGATCGTCGGAAGTTTCGTACGAATTCGACGATTCCGGTGTAATCTCGGGCGATGGAGTGAATCATTAAATCGATTCGCATCTGACTCACGAATCGATCGCGTCATCGTCGCGTTACCGTGTCGAACGAGACTCGGTCGAAAGGGAAAACTTTGCTTTCGAGCTGCCGAGCGAAGGATTACGTAGCAATTACGGGAGACACTGTGAATTACGATTCGCTCGTCCACGACGGTCGTAGGGAAGACGAGAGTACGCTTTCGACGGCAGGATGTGGAACATTAACGAGTGTATGTAGTGTGCAGCAGCTCCGTGGGTAAAAAAAGATTCTCCTCCGGATCCGTGGGCTGTCGAAAAAAGCTCACGAGACGAGAAAAGATCCGGCAAATGGTCGCTTTCGTTCTTCGAACGCAAAGAAAATCTTTCGGACGAGCAATCTTCTCGCTCGGAACACGTTTCTCGGTAAAACGTGTCTTCGCGTACACGTTCTTTATCTCGAAACGGTAATCGCGAAGTAAAATTTTCTTAAGATTCGTCGAAAGATGTCGGTAGAAAAATTGAATTCGTCGACGTTGACCTCGAGGCTGCACTTTCACTCGCCACCCACAAGAAAAGCGCACGAGCAACAGCTGCGGCTCGCAGGATATTTTTTGAATCTCGAGGGTAGAGACCGTGACAAGGGCTTCGGTTTGCTGGCAGCTGACACCGCAGATGGGCTACACCTGCCACCAACTATTTACCGTCTCATTCCGTCGTTGTTTCTCCAAGAAATCACGCTCGATCGCCGGTACAACGAAGCCCTATCGATCGATCCTTCTTTACCTTTTCTCGCTCGATTCCCACTCGCGCCTACGTTTCGACAAAATCCTGACCCTGATCATTCTTATAGCTTCGCAGAAGCGCAACAGTATCATCCGCTGAACATTTGGAAAACAATTTTTATTCTACACGCTACATGTATCTCGTGTTGATTTTACCCTTGTATCGGTTGAAAGTGATTTTTTAAACGATCATTAGCCCATCGCCGATGAAAAGCAAACGGCCGAGAAAAGGAAGGCGCGCGAGGAATAAAAGGAGACGGAATTCGCGGCGTTGACGGCACAATTAGCTCATTCATCGGACGCATCTCCACGTGCGTGCTCGCGTACGATCCTGTACATACATATCGTATTAAATTTCTGCACGACACGCACCGATGTGTTCGTTACAAACGAGGTTGGTTTATCGGGCAGGCGCCAACTGCTCTCGGGTCGCTATAACCCGCAAGATACACTCTGTTAGATCGTTTATTATTTCAGCGGGTCATGAAGGCTGTGTTAGTATCGCGTGCAGACGTAATTCTCGATGATTACCTGACGGCCGAGAACAAATTCGAAGCTGGATTTCAGAAACACTGACCGTTCCTGTGCGGTGCACCGCTTAGCTATGAGCTACGAACGACGTATCGAATAATTAAAACTGCTGAAATGTTAATCGATCGATTATCGACTCGTGGATAAGCGAAATTTATGGTCGTTCGTGTTCTTGATTTGTCTTTGATAGTTTGAACCGACGGAATTCGCGCGATCGAAAATGGTTTCGATCGGCAACCTTCGAGCTAAGCGTGGCCTGGAAGTTACTGGGTCGAGGTCGACGCATCGCGTGATCGACATTGTCGTAAATCGTTCAGCTTCGAGGTCTTTTCCCGGTATCGAAAATTCGATCTTCTTGTTACGCACGATCGTTGTCTCTTCGAGTCGCGGTTAATAAAAGTGACGTGATTCGATGACATAAAAGTAGTACGAAATAACGCTTATGACGTATCGACTTGAATATTTTTCGTTGGTAGCAACGATGAGTCAACCGATATACACAGATCGGCGAGTCCAACGAAGAATCAACCACGTCGACAAAGTGTTTGCGTAGTCGTATTCTACGAAACCGAATGACACTTTGCGCTCCTCTCGTATAAATAATTTTGCATTTTTCCTGATCGAATCGTGTGCCCGACTCGGAAGCAAAATTGCTCGATTCTACGCGCGCTTAATCGAGCATCGAAGTTACGCGATGTTGGTACATACTTTGATTTCGTTGGTCATCGTAGAGGAGATCGTTGATACTTAACGGCGTTCGAGTTCTTCTTCTGCCATCGTGTGCCGGTTCAGCGATGCCGTTTTCAACGGCAGCCCGCAATTTGCCGTAATTATTATGTTTATCTTTCTCATTCACTTAAGCCGGTGCACCGACTCACGGAGCCGGTCCTACGATCGCGTTCTCCGGCCGATTTTACCGAAACGATTTCGCATTGTACCTGCTAAAGCCGACACTGACGCTGCCACGCGTCGACCATTACGTTCGAGGGGCGTCACGGACGATCCACTTTGTCAAACTCGATTTGCGTGATTCCCTTCGTGTTAATCCAACCGCTCGAAATCTCGCTTCCTCTTTTTCTCTTGTTAGCAATCGGTCGATAGAAATTACCGACTCGAACCACGACCTACGACTAACCGCGTACGTTCAGCTATTATCTAAGTTATATCGTTACCCGTTCGGCTGAAAAGATCCCTTGGATACGACGCGTCACGGACGTTCTCCGACGAATTCGAAGAGTTAGCTCGTACGGATTGTTTCGTGCAACGCGATGGAGGTCTCTGGAAAAGCGTAAAGAACGCGCACGAACAGTAAAAGAAGGGGCAACTGAGACGGCCGAAAGGACAAAAAGAGGAACAGCTAAGGACAGAAAGAGAAGGTTAAAGGAGGTTGGCGAATAAGCCAGTGGCCAGAGAAGTAAAGAAGGGTTCAAGGAGCAAGTAGAAGAGGAAGAAGAAGAAGAAGAAGAAGTTAAGATGGTCCAGCACGAGCAGCATCAGCACCGCAGCCGGAGGTGATGACCTGCTCAAGGCCACCCTCTCCCAACCTCTTAGACCGGAGAGGAGAACAACTCTTCTTATTTTTCCTTGCTCTCTTTCCTCTCTTTTCATCTCCTCTCGAGTCTCGTTCGCTCTTCGACTTCCGATTCTCTCTTGCTCGCTCCTTCTCCCGTTCGTCTACTTGCGCCTCGTCTCCTGCCGAGATCGCTTCTTCTTCTTCTTCTCTATTTTTACTCTTCCTCTGTTGCTCCATCTTCCATCTTCGCAGGTTTCTCCCTTCGATACTCTTAATGTCAACTTCCCGTCGACCGTTTCGTCGAGCTTCTTCCCGTTCGATCGCCGTCGAAAAGTCCTCGCCCCTTGAAAAGGAACTCGACATCTTTCGTCGGTTAACTCGTAAAATCTATTTGGAGTATCGTTTCAGAATTATAACGATTAAATTCACTTTCCTGCTCGGACCGTGTTCCGAAAGCAGACCCGAGCCAACAATCGAGATTAATTAATAGCGATCGAGTTGAAAGGTTCGTTAACTGGTAGAAGGAGGAATATTGGAGGAGCCGCGTCTCGAGATACGGATCTGGTTACGGGGCAACAACGTTCATTAAGCGATCAAGGTCGTTAGAAACAAGAGACCAACCGAGTTCTCGTAGCCCGTTTTTTAGTCTTCCGCGTATTCCGTTGGTTGCTGAATGGCGCCATCGTGTTACGCGGTCTCGCGTACGGAAACATAAGTGCGTTTTCTTTTTGATTCGTTCGACAAAGAAACAGCTGCGCGTTTCACGGAATCTACGACTCTCGTAATTGCGCGTTCTTTTATCTATCGGATCGTTTCAAAGTTCTTCCGTATCTTGCTCGTTTCTCCGCGCAGATATTCGGTCAACGAATTGCCGCCTAAGTAGTTATCGTTCATACGAGACACGATAAGTATAAACAATAAAAAGATACGCTGTCAAAATGTCAACGTCTGATCGAGACAAGGAACAATAGAGACGCGCGTGTCGTACGCGTTTTCTACTTCTCGTCTACGTATCTGATGCGCGTTTAATAAGCACCGGGTCAAATGGAGTTAACTGTGCAGCTGTGTCCACTAGCTAGCAACCATTACCTCGACTCATTATCGCTGGACTGGTTTGTGTACGTACAGAGCTTTTCGTTTCGCGACCGTCTTCCGGTAATTTCGCTTAATTGAAACGACACCGACGACGCGCTATTTGTCAGCCGCGATCGCAGCTTGGAAATAATCGTGGAAATTTTTCTTTCTTTTCTCGGAGAGAAGCTTTGATTCGTTTTCCTCTAATTTGTTCGCAGAGCGGAATGACGAGGTAGACAGTACTGTTCGAAACGCGAGATTCCCCGAGGCCATCGGCGCAGATCGAAAAGCAGGTAAGAAAACGCTTCGGACGACTACTCGCAGCTTTCGTAGATACCGCTGGACGGACTAGAATATCGAATTTCTGCTATCGCGTATTTCGAAATATGCTTAGAAACGGTTCGAGCATGTCGAGAAAGGTTGCAAAATTGTCCGGTGCGGAGCGTGAATCGTACGCTTCGATTTCCAAGGCGTCGAACGGTTGGCTCCGTTCTTGGAACCGCTTCCTCTTACAAAGGGAGCGACCGGAATGGATTTTTACAAAGCCGAGCGTACCGAGCAACGTGATCGACGCGACGCTCGTTCCGCGAGCCGCAACAATGCGATGGTGTCAAAGCCGCAAATGCTCTCGAGCTCTCGAGACGGTTTACGACTTACGACGATGGCCCGTCCTTCGATGGCCGGTGAAAGTCCGCAAGAATTCGCCCTCGATCGTGCCGCGAACTTCACATTGATACGTTTCGTGTCGTGTCACGAATCCGTTCGGGACCGGTAATGAACGCCTCGCGGTAGCTTACGAGAAGAAAACTGTTCGTCTCGAAACTATCGTTTCCATCGTAAAGTTCTTTGTTCCGACAAGAAGGAAAGACCGACCGTTATCGAAGAACAGCGTTCGGACCGATGTCGATGGTTAAAAGCGTCGTCAGACTCTTTAGATAAGGTATTACGTGGCCATTGAAAATAGATGCAATATCGCGATAGGTCCAATCGATCGGTATTGTTTCACGCACGGAACTAATCGAACGTTTGTACCCACGATTAGCGATGGTCATTCGATACTTACTCTCTGATTTACCCGTTCAATTTCCAACAAAATAAATACCTACTTTTTGCTACGTACGTAACAACAAAATAACGTTATCGTGAACAGTATCCAACGACAATAATAATTTCTTACTCGTCCGAGCATCGACGTTTCATTCCTGTGTAGTATAGGATGTTTCAAAACGAACGTAACAGGCTTTGCTAGATTATCAGGTATATCCCGTACAAGCAAGAATCCTATTATCGATAGAAATAGTTACGTAATAGTAAAAAAAAAACATGCGGTTGACTCTAGAAGCAACCCCTAACTTCCAAGAAAATACAATTACAAGAGATACGGAGATAAGAAGAATGTGGGAAGCGTGCATCGAAGGAAACGCGAGTAAAAACCGAACGTGCAGATATCGAAGCTCGTCGATCGCGTATCGTATTATTTTCGTCGTGTACGTCTCGTTTATTTCCTCTCGAGCACCCTGCTGGTGGCGCGCGTTAAAAAAAATTAATTGGATAAGATTCTCGAGGTGTGATTCGCATCCTACTCGTTTCAAGAGCCGCTCCCACGAATCGAACCGAGCATAGTCGACGACGGCGAGAGTCATCGACGTCTCGAAGCACGTACGACTCGCCGTCGATGTTTCCGCATTCTGAGACCTTATTTCTGATTATGGAATATTCACTGTCTAACCGGCAGACTCGATAAAAATGTCACGATACTGTTCGTGAGCCGTTGCTGGAAAACGGGAATCGTCGAGACGTCCGACGATCGAGAAAACATACGCGGAAGAAGGATACGCGGTCTTTGCTGATTCGTGTTCGTCGTCAGTCGTTGCTACGAACTAAAATCGATATTTTACATTAGCCCAGAATGATTTCGGTTCCGATAGTTATGCTACATCATCGTCGAATCGAAGGTTAAACTAACCGAAAATTGGTCGAAATCGAACGGCGCGTCGAACGAAAGAGATAATGTGGGAATCGCGCGATCGCGAGTGAACTAGGCGTGCAAAAGCGAAGTAACGGTGGCCACGATCACTGCCACGAAATCAACCTTTCTAATTCATCGCCGAATCGGTAAATTCGATTGCGCCACATAGCCTAGTAAGCGACTAATTAACTATCGGATCAACGTATTTATCTTTTTCGGAAAGAAGCTCGTTTCAGCATTGGCATATCAAAAGGTTAATTCTCCAAGACGCACGGATACTCGGTTCTCTCGCGAATCGGAGGCTTCGAAGGATGTTCAATAATTATCGTACGCGTAAACGGACGTTTTAGCCGAGCAACGAGCGTAAACGTGCCTACAGACGTATCCGAGGTCATTCGCAGATCTGCAACGTGATATTAACCCTTCAACGCGGTTCGACGTATTAAGTTGCGTCCTACTTTTCTAGGCCTAAGTATCCTGGAGAAGACAATCGACTTTTTCGATGTACAAATCAACGGACGGAGGCTGGGATAATGGATCGAAATCGTTGTGCAATTAAGGACACGAAACCTTGTTTCTTCCACGGCTACTGGCCCCGCGGTCCGTGTTTAGTCGCACGAACGTCTCTTCGGAGTGTTTGACCGTGTCCGATACGGGCAACGCATCGTACGCGTCCCATAACGCGTTAACGTAACGATCGTCACCATTTTTTACGCGATAGCCGCTCTCGAACGCGTCGAATAACGAAATTATCTTTGACACGCGTTCCTACCGTATGTTTTCGGCGGGCAGATTAATAGATCGCGAAAGTGCTGAGCAAACCGTCGATGTACATTATAAAACCCTGATTGCTTATCGCCGTCGTATACGTGTCCTACCTCGGTGATTCATTTCTTGTCGAAAATAAAAGCTTGGCCGTGTATCGCGTAAATCTAATGGTCGATGAACCGATTTGAGGGTCCATGGCCGTTCGAAATTCGACTCGATCACTTCAGCGCGATGACGCGAATTCGCGCAACAAAAAGACGTAATGGCAAAAGATTAAAATAACAATTATTTAGCTGCAAGGTTCCGACACACGTTCACGCGATTTCGATCTTTGTCCGCCAAGGACAAGAGCGTCTTTCGGTCTCCTCCTCTTCTTTTCTATCCTTTCTTACCGATTCTTTTTTTTCTGGAGAACGACAGCGTGCTCGTATTTGATTTAACAACCATGAACAGCGGGAAATTGATACGTCGTAAGTGCTATTTCGCGGTACTTTTATGTCACCGAATCGTACCAGACTTTCTACGTTTCGAAATCGGCTACTCGATACTATACGACCCAATATTTCACGGATGTATGCATTTTAAAGAAAAAAAGTCATAAAAATTTAGGTTTCGTTTATTTTTATATCGCGTCGAAAATGATCCGGTGATTGAAACGGTACGCAAAATGACGTAATTTACAGTTGCAATTGGGTTAACCGGCTAGACGAACCAGAAAAGGTTCTCTCGTCGAGAACGAAGGAACGTTCGATCCTTGAACTCGCGATATTCGTGTCTTTCTCGAGTCTCCGGATACTTTCTCCTGTACTTAAATCGCGGCAAAAATGAAACGCCGCGAATATTTTCGTTACGGATAAACTCTGTTCGCTGCAGGATAACGAAAAGAAAAAACATGAATTTTTAGCGGTGCAAAGTTTTCGTAAGAATCGGTAATATCCAGTGACGAGATTCGATAATCGCTTGAAATCGTTTCGAGATAGATGCTAAATTAAAGTAGAGGGGAAATTTTCCGAGAGACGTATGGCAGAAAAGATAGCGCTCGACGCGGTATACGACTCGTGCTCGGTTGTAAACGGGGGAGTGTATCGAAGGGGAAAGCAGTTAAAATGTAGGTTTCTTCGTTAAAATTAAGTTACAGTATCGGTTGTCGTAATGTTTACTAACCACACCTCGTACCACCCCACTTTTTCGCGCGAACGCATAACGCTTGATCTGGCTGCTAACCACGGAAGCTGGCCTCGAACGAGCAATGTCGTCCAGTCTTACGAGAGCCTTCTTACCGGCAAGAACGAGTCCTCGTTCTCTCTTTCTCTCTCTGCTCTGCTGTTTTACTCGTTGCCGCGCGAGTAGTGCCGCTTTTTCTTCGAATCGTGGTCCTTCAGGGTCGTGGTTCGTTCGCGTGGCCGCTGCTTTTCGACCCGACCGCTTCCAGTTGCTTATTCGAGGAAACCTCCGATCTTGGACGCCCGTCCGAACCTTACACGGTATCGAATGATCGTCGACGAACTTATAAATCGGTGCGAAAGAATATTATGTCAGCCGCGGAGAAACCTGACGCTGGAAGCTTCCTACAGGAAGCCTTTTTCTTCGACGAAGTCGAGGTCAGTACTTGTTACGGCGATAAGTGGATGTGAAATGGTATGAAAATATTCCTTCTGTTCTCTCGTCTCGAAACTACAAATCGTCGAATGAATTTTGTACTCCCAAACGTCGTTAGTTTAAAGCATTTTTCAAAATAAAAAATAAAATACTTTTAGAAGATTAACGTGTTTGGCACGATGCGCGATAATATTGATTCGTACGTGATTCGATCGAATGTTTCACGTCCATTTTCGCCTTAGCGTTACGAATACCTCGATAATACGTTGTACTTCTTCCAAATTGCGAGTCACTAGTCGATGATAAAACGATAGCTGTTTACGCGTTTGCTCTCCGAATGGTATGATGGTCGCAACGATCGCACCATATTTGTACCGATATCAGGGATAGCAGAGAGAGCAAGAGCGCGCGTTTATTCGTTCGCGCGTAAACGTGAAACGATGCGACGAGCGGTTGTCGCGCGTCGACAACTCTGGAACGCGGAACGTCACGCGTCGCGAATAATGCGAGAAATTTTGGAGATACCAAGAAATTACGAATCACCTCTTCGTGAATCGATACAAATTGTAGAAATCGGTGAAAAGTAAAGACTTTGAGAGCGGGACGCCATCGCAGGAATTCGTTTCTATGTTAAATGGCCGGAACGCGACTGAAAGAAACAGGAAACTCGTAGGCGCTATTCGTCTACGAATTATATAATGCGCGTTCCTCGATACCGGTCAATGGAATTTCCGATGGCACGTGGTCGATGCATCGTGTCGCGATATCGGAACAAGCACCGGTTTGCTCGTGTATCGAAAGATTAGTTTCATCGACTGGCAACCGAACAGGAATGTTAATGAGAAGTTAGAAAGACGCGGTTTATTAGCGACGAAATTGCAGTGGTTCGCGTTGAAACGTTCGCGACACCGTTAGCGCGTCGAAAGTTTCAGAAAAATGTCGAACGGTAGATTCGTTTGTCCGGATATCGAATAAAATTTGAATCGGTTTCGCTAGAATTTCGAGTCGGAGAGCGTGACAAACCGACGGATAAGCGAGCAATACGGTTTTATCAGTGGGTGCGTGTTAGAATGTAGAAATCCTTGGACTCGAACGCGATCAGGTTGGCTACGAAGAAACCGCGGATCTGCTCCCGTACACGCGACTCCTTCGGTTAAATTAACTCGTCGCACGGACAACGCGGATCGTTTCGAACGCGTTCCGCGTCGCTCGTGAAAGTACACTTAATTCGATTGCGTAAACCGCTAAAATAACCGAGACTTCTTTTCGCGTGCCGAGACCTCTTGGCCTTGGCTTTCGACAATTTCTTTAAAGCTTCGACTTTACGCGACGCGTCACCCGCCTATCTGGTTCGCGTATGGCAGATGTCGACTCGTTTCGTATCGACCTAGAGTAATTTCGGCCGCTGTTGGTAGATCTTCGCGCAACGAAATTCGCTCATCGACCTATCGAACTCTTCGTTAGCGATCGTTACCTGTGTTCGTACACGAACCGTTTGAAATACGATACGTATGATTTTAGACACGGTAAATGGTAGAATGGACAACTGTGGAGGCGGTCAACGCCTGCCCCCGGACGGGGACGAGTTTCCAGCAGCCTATCAGGAGTTTGGCGGCAGTAACCAGCAGTACCGATTCGTGACGGCGACGGCTACTGCCCCGAGGACGTCGGTGATGACGACGAACGGCAGACTCGCCTGTAACGAGGACGAGTCGTTCCTGGCTAACGAGAGTTTTAAACAGCGCGAGAACAACGCGGTGAACGCGACGAGCACGATCCTGGTCGACGACAGAGTCGAAAACGTTTGTCAGGAGGTGGGCAAGATCGGTTTACCGAGCATCGAGATAAACGGCAAGACGAGTATCGAGAACGTTTGCCAGGACGCGAGCTCGTTGACACGAGAGTCTCGCGCGGACGACGCCAAACCGTTTGTCTCGGAAGATTTCGTAAAAAAGACCGCGTCCATGACCAACTATTCCAGCTACGGAAACCAAAGCAACGGTAACGTGATCGTCTCGGAAAAGAAGATAGAAATCACTGGATATTATCACAAAGACGTGCCAGTTATCGAACAGTTTCGGGACGAGAAGGATGCTTTGGATACGCCTCCGCCGCTTCCGCTCACAGGTAAGCATCGTAAACACAGGTTTATATCGTAGAAGAGACTTTCAGCGTTGCGCTTTTACTTACTCGATTTAACGATCGTTCGCTTATCAGGTCCGCCTAAATTGGAGCCCGTCAGTCCATACGCGAGAAACGTCTCGGTTCTGGAATCCTCGCCAAGGAAGTTCTCGTTGAACGGCGAGCTCTGGAGGAAGGACGACAAGTCCGAGAAATCCGTCAGGGACAAGATCGCGATGTTCTCGTCCCAGAGCAGCCTGGATGGACCTCTGTTTCCGAACACGATAACCGTCGCTACCGCGACGAGTAACGCCAGGAAGCTGTCCAAGTACAAATCCTCCGAGGACGTGTGCAACGACGAGAAGAGCTCTAGCCAGAAGGAGAGAGTCTCGTTTTTCGCGGATCGGACGCAGAGCTCTTTCGATTTGACGGACTCGGGCCGAAACGCGAATCAGGAATCGGTGAAAAAGTACAGACAAAGATCGCCCAGTATTTCTCAGAGTCCGTCGTTTGCTACGCCGACTATTCACGCATCGAAGACGTTTCCGATCGTTGCTCAGAAGCCGACCGCGTCGACGCCAACGTTGATAAGCTCCTTCGAAACGTCACCGACATCCAAATCGCCGGTGAAGAGCTACTGCTCTTCCGCCGGCAGTCAAAACTCTGCGATAACCCCATTGTCGAAGCCCGTTACGAGCACGGCGTTGTCTCGCGCTACCAGCTTCTCCGGATCGAGCCCTTACGGTCAAGATCGAACCTTGGCGACGAACGAATTGTCGAGCAGCTCTCAGATCACCAGAACGAATTCTTTGGCGTCGACGTTTAAGAAACCCAACGAGGATATCAGGAGAAACAGCCTGAATCAACTGATAGAACAGAGAAGGCGATCGATATCGAAATTGAGGGGACTGGTTATTCCGGAAAAAGAGAGCATACCTATCGATACGCCTATCGTCGATTTGCCTGAAATTAAATCTCGAGACTCCATACTACTGCATCAGGTAAGCGTACCGCGACGAATTGTTCGATGACAACGAAATAAAATGAAAGAAAATAAAATCGTTTTTCGTTACAGCTATCGAAGGCCAATATCCAAGACAAGTGGGGCTCCCAAAGTTCGTTGGCAAGCAACGCGAGCACGGCCAGTATGCCCGTGAAAACTACCTCCTTCAAGATGCCGGCTCCTCAAATACACTCGAAATACTCTCCAGCTTTCAAAAGAAAGAGCTTGACAGTGTACGGTTCGTCCTCGACGAATTGTTCGTTGTACGGTATCGCCGCGGTGAAAAGTAGTCCGATAGCGACGACTACCGCGACATCCACGCCGACGCTCTCCGAACCCCCAAAGAGTCTGGAGAGCATCTGCAGTCCGACGAGGAGCGATTACAGTTTCGAGTTCGCGTCGACGGCCAGTTCGCCCGAAGGTTCGCGCAACAGACCGCTCAGAACCGTTCAGAGAAAGACGCGAATGGATTACGACGATTCCGACAACGATTCCGCCGTAAGCAGTTCGCAAAGCAGCATTTCGCGTGGCTTTAGCCCGCCTATGTCCCCGGTACCTTCGGAACGCTCCATCGTTTCCTCCAAACGATCCTACGTCTCCACGGAGAACAACTATCCGCGACGAGCTCTGATCGTCGACAGCCCAGCTAGAAGCTACGGCAGAGAATCCAACGTTCTCGAGGAGAGAACGTTCGCGCCTGACCGATCGTCGTCCAGTAGCAGCGGTTCCGAGCACAGATCACCGTTGCCGATCACCGAATCGAACGCGAGAAACTCTCAAATACCTCAGAGACAGTTAAAGCGATCCAACAGTACCGAGACCAACTGCAGCACGTCGTCGACTCTCACTTCCGGTTCTCAAGCGAGCGCGGAGTCTCTGTCGAGAAGAGTACTGAAGCCTCAGAGCGTGGAAGCCATCAATCGGAAGAACATTTTGGCGAGCGCCAGATGCCGAAGCGGCAGGGACCTGAACGGATCTCCGTTGATTCAACGAAAGTTCCCGGAGGACGAGTGTCGAGCGACCATCGTCGAAAACGGTGACGATAACTACCAGAGGAATCGTTCGAAGGACGCGACCGCGAAAGACGTAAAGATCGCGTACATCGAGGTAACGGACTCGTTCGGGGAAGCCGAGTCTTTCCAGAAGGAGGCGAACGAGTCGAAATTGCCCTCGAAGAGAAGCGTCGTATCGTCCACCGTGCGGTCGTCCAAATTCGAGACGATAGAACCGTCCAACGACTTAAAAATGTGGGTTCGAACGGAAGCGAAAGCGTTGGCTAGATCGGCTGAAGAGAGGAACAACAAGATCGAGAAAAGATCTCAAGAGGTCGATATCGTTCCTGCAAATAACCCTTCGAAGAACAGCAGATCGAGCAGCATCGAGGAACAACGGCTTGATTCATCGTCGACGAACAGGAACGCGAGAAACGAAAACTCCGGATCGCCGGAAGCTTCGAAACAACGATGCGGTTCGAACGTATTAACCTCGAAGAATCTGTTGGACGATCAGAACGATCTTCTGACGATTCTCACGACCAAAAGTAGATCCAGATCGGCGATACACGTGGACGAGGGAAGTTTCGGACGATCGAAGAGCCAAATGAGTTTGGAGGATATTCTGAGCGCGAAAACGGATCCAAAATTACCGCGCACACCGACCAATGATTCCAAGATCGAGAAGAACACCGTACTTCCGGCTGTTCAGACCAGATCTCTGTGGGAGTCGAGGGACAATCGACGCGTCAGGAGGAGCTCGTCGACCTCGAACGAACTATGGAACGAGGAGAAGCCGCTTTCGAAGATACCAACGTTGAACAGGTCGAGACTAAACGATAGCAGCGGCGACGAAACGACGGAAATCGAAAGATCAAAGTCGTTGCTGTCGAAGATCCCAACCGCGAGGAGCCTTGCTCGAAGAAGCGCCAGCGTCACGGACATGAAGAAAGCCCTAGAGAAGACCGAGGTGAACTGTACGACTGGTACGCAGCAGACTGCTCATAATCGATTTCCGAGTCTGGACAGCAGCGTAGACGAGAACGTGTCACCTGTTGGAACGGACGTAGACACGGATAGGTGCTGCAGCGAACAATTCGGTAGCATCAGTTCTTTGGCCAGTAGTACCAGCCTTATCTCGCAACAGGAACTAGCTCAGTTAGTAGAGGAAGCGAGTCTGGAAGAGGTTCGAGGTGCTCATGACGTGATCGTGGTATTACTGCACAAAGAGAATCATGCCGGTAGCGTTGGAATCACGTTGGCTGGCGGAAGCGATTGCGAGATCAAAGAAATTACGGTTCATCGAGTATTGGCGCATTCTATAGCCGACAAGGACGGACGTGTGCAGAGGGGAGACAGAATTTTAAGCATAAACGGAAGAAGCACGCAAGGTCTCACGCACAGGGAGAGCATTGCGGTGCTTAAACAACCTAGGTCGGAAGTCGTCTTGGTAGTTTCTCGAGCGAGAACCGAGGAAGGTTGTAAATTGAGATCAAGGGCAGCGAGCGTCGAAACTATTATCGAAGGTGATTAATCTGCTAACCCTTTGGCCTTTCGTCGTCTCTGTTACTGACATATCTCATTCTTAGTATCGTTTCGAGACGGCTGACTTATCACGGCACGATAGAATATAAATTTGTTTTTCATTAAAAGGATTCGAGACGAACGATGTCACGGAGGATACTGCGTGGGGACCGCCTTCGGTTGTAGCCGTGTACAAAGATGGAGCTGGTTTGGGATTCAGTCTGGAGGGAGGCAGAGACAGCCCTCTTGGAAACAGACCGTTGTTGATCAAGAAAATATTTACCGGTATATTTTATAAATTTCAACGCTTCGCCTTATTACAAATTAGCCACGAAAGTTTGATCTTCAGAAAGATCGCGATTTTCGGATCAAATTTTTCTTCTACGCGTTACTTTTTTTCTCTACGAGTTACTTTACATTACTGATTTTACGTGTGGTTCTATGCAGGAGGTGCTGCCGAAAAAACGGGTGCCTTAAAGGCAGGAGATCAACTATTGGAAGTGAACGGATACGATGTTACGCGTATGTCGAGGATCGAAGCGTGGTCCCTTATGAAGAAACTACACGACGGCGAAGTGAACCTCCTAGTCAGACACCCTGCCACTAAATCCTCGTGAATGATAGTCAATTAACGTAAACGTATGTCGCGTGGAAGTGGTATAAGTACGATGAATAGCAACGCTTTGAGTAAACGACACTGATCGCGAACGAGTGGAACGGAAAAACGAAAATCGAATACGACGATTTATATTATAAATTAATCGAACGATACATTGCGTGTACGTGGTCGATGATCTCTTAGGGATTTTCGTATATGAGAACACGTTGTGTCGCGAGAATTTACGTTTAAATAGAAAATAAACGTTTTGGGAACGCTTTCCGTTAAACTATTTCGATATTTTTATGTCGACTAATAGCGCGTAACATTTTGCAACCTGTTCCAATGTATCTAATTGCTGATAATGAAAAGAATGCTTTTCCTAATCATTCACTATTAGCCTTTATTGCAGACATGCTTGTCTTATGATTTTGTTAAATACAATTTTACGAAATAAATGAAATAATTTGTAAATAAAGATATTGGGAGAACGTTCGAAATGCAATTGATATAGAAAAATCGTATATATAATATAAAAAAAGAATTTGTTAATATAACGCGTTAGTGTTGAAGTATTTAAACGTAGACTGACATTCGTTTCTAGATTCGCGTTCGTTAAAAATCATGCTGTGATATGTATGTGTGTTAGTGTAAAAGTAATAAGCATTAATAGAGACGGCGAATTTTCATCGAATTTCTCGATAAGTAGTACCCGAAGAAAAAGAAGCACGATAACAGGACTCCATTTTGACAAGTATCTGTGAGATATTCGATCGATCGCTTAACGTTACGTATATCCTTCTTCCGATAAATATTTTCTATACATTTCATGAACAGAAAATATCTAACTTTTATTAATAATAAATCATGCAATTAAACTGCAAAAGCGTTGGTGTGTCATTTCCTTTTGTCGATATTTTCGAACAAATCTCAAAGTAATTTAGGAAAAAGGAAAATAACGTAAAATATATTTATTTAAAAACAGACTGCTTTGCGAATACATTTACCACAACTAGTACCAGTAATATTTCTTTGGTACACGATCTTCCTTAATACCCATCCTGTCCATAATGTCCATTTCGAATGTTTTCAATTCAGCCTGTATATCGATAAAATCAATGGAAACAACTGTCTAGGACAAATAATCTTACGATTTTAGCGTAGTTACGTACCTCGAACGTTACTTCCGTTACGGAGTCAGCGGTGGTATCTTTTGCCTGTTCGACATACAACTCGGGAGATTTATAATCTATAGTTTCTTCGCTTGATACAGGAATCGGAATAATTCTACCGGTTCTAGACGATACTCTTACTTTTTTGCCTTCTTCTGTATATCTCCATTCTATGGGAGTTCCCTTTCTAAAATAAAATTAAATGTATCGCTATGCCTTTCAAGTTTTATCCTCGAACAATGATTGTATAATGCTTACAAATCATAAGGATCCACTAGATGAACTTGTGATGTAACTAATAATGGTTGCTCTACAAGCATGCAAATACCAGGGAAATCCTTGGTTTTTCCATATACTACTTTCTTTGCATTCAATCCTTGAACAATAATCCAATTTCTTTCTTGAATTATATCTTTCACGATTCCTTGTTTACCTTTATCAGGACCAACCAACACTTCCACCTAAAAATACTTTAATATTATGCTACGATTCGCTTTGTATAATGCTTAAAAGCAACATACACGATCTCCGCGAAAAAAACTCCAATTCTTGATGGGTTCGACCGGAACAAATTCCCTGCGATGTCTACTAAAATTATCTAGCTGAAATATCGTGGACCATGGTCTATGAATGCTAAAATGAAACTTTTTGGTAGCCACTATTTTCCGTGGAAGATACTGTGGTTTCCCAGGAGGTGGTTTCCAATACACCTACATTAAGAATATAAATTGTAACTGCTTTATATGATACAAGTGGAATAGAATCAATAATATTCAAAATACAAAGAATAAAGATAGAGTACGTTTGAAGCGAAAAGGTACCTTTTCCATAATACGGTTTATATACCGTTCCGGTAAATTCGCATATTTTTTAGACCATTCACCCATTTTCGAAAATAAAGTTCTTGTCAACCTCATTATTCGTAATTATAAATTATACTTAAACTTTAAAGCTTTTCACCACAAAATCTTCCAATCAAATTTGGTTAAGTAAGCATCTGAACCTATTTGGACAAATCTTGTTTATGTCACGGACGAAGGGTAGAATAGATCATTCGTTGCTATTCAGTGGATATGTATTCAATTTTACATAGATTTTCTTAGCTTTGGCGATCTCCCGCTAGATGATCGAGGTTTCGAAGTCTATTTATAAAATGCAATTATTTTAATTATCAAATTCAACAATTTAAACGCACAATATTGCCACTAATAGAGATACATGAAAACTACAAAAAGTTCTCATTTCGGTAAGATGTAATAGTTGTTTTTCTTAGGAAGAAAAAATAATTTCCTGTTACGTTAACCCGCTCATCCATAGATTGCGGTAATGATAGTTATTACATTTTCATGGTACATATTGATGAAATATGAAAAAGAAGCATATAACGTTTTCGTATAATGTTTTCAGCTTATTAAATTATTCGCGACAGTAATAAATTTTGTTTCATTATTGTGCAAATTAAATGATGATAGTGCTTGGTATTTCAAGTAGGCATTATTTTTGAAAAGCTAGCGTATCGAACACTTATAGTACGTATATTAATGAATATTCACATATAAAAAATATAAACACAAATTTGTTGTTTTATAAAATTGTATTGAATAAATAATTATTAAACTTAAAATTACATTAATGGAAAAAAAATCTACAGATCTACGTTCCTCTTTATATAGGTTAGGGTAATACCTTTCATGGTTCTTTGTACTTTTGTTGAAATGAAAGATAAGTAAATATAAAATGTTACTGTTTGCATTGAAAAAATGTGCATTTCGAGTACGAATGTGTCAACTAGTCACACATAGTATGTGTAACGAAAATTTCACGAAAATGAGAGGATTACATTATTGGGGAGGACTGAAATGCATGTATTTAAAAAATTCGAATCTTATCGTTTATAAACAATTTTCAAACGTTTCTACTAACGCGGCAAGTGAAAAAATTCCCATTCCACGATTAATGTGGTGTTCATCTGCTGAATTTACACTATTTGCAATATTTCTTTTCTACGCACCTATCCGTTTACATATTGATCCAAGCTTTAGAGTGTTTGAATTTCTACAGGGTGCAGGCCAGGTACGATATCTTTTTACGCATCCTATTCGTTTTTTTTTATATATTTGTATTAACATTTTATATTGTCTGCATATTAAATAATAAATATGTTTTATATAAAATACATATATTTTATACCCATTCAGGCGATAACTGTAATATCTAATGCATTAGCTACCCAAAATTATGATGTACTAGAAAAGATGGTACAAGAAAGAACTCTTAAACTTTTAAAACGCAGAGTTGATCTCTTATCAGAGCAGCAACGAAAATTGCTGGCTATAGATATCAGTAAGAACTATCCTATTCCAGCTTTCTTTATTTATGATGTAAATACACGAGAGAGTAAAGGTAATTTTGCAGGAAAAGCGAAACCTTCTTTCTTTGTAATCTTTCTAATTTTTTTGATTTTGTATGATCTTATTTTAGATGAAAGTGAAAAAATTCTAGATATCACAGTAGCAGGATGGCAAAAAAGAAATGATTACATAGAAGATAAAATACGTATGCTTGAGGAAGGACCAATTAAACATATTGGCAGAAATACATTAACTTATATATATGTGTTTCGAAGAAAATACATAAATGGTACTGGAGGGCCATGGATGGCAAAACTAATTAGCTATGGTACATAAAGTAGAATAACAATTGTTTATCATACTTTCATTATTACTAAGTAAAATTTACACTCTGAAATAAATTATTTTCTTTGTACCACAGGAAATATGAACACATATTTGCAACATCGTCTCTAGTAAAAAAATTACTCGGTGAAAGAAATTCTTTAGTCTGCTTTTATAATGTCACAGAAGATGCCAAATAAAATGTGTGTAAATGTTAAAGATCAAGTCTGAATATTTTATTTATATGTACTTCTCGGATCATATGCAATAATATCTTTTTTTATTATGAAATAAAAGAAATATAAATACATATTTCAACAGTTCATTTTTCTTAATAACTGAGGTATGTAATCTTTTATATGTAGAAATGTTGCACCAATAGCAGTTCCATCCTTAGAAATGCAGATAATTAGTGGTCCCTGTAACGTATTAGTAGTTTGATCGTATACGAGAATTAATTATTTAAAGACGCGCATAAAACTTTAATAATAAAATCGCGTTAAAAGTAACGAATACCTACCTCGTTTATCTGAGGATTGTGAATCCAGCATTCTTTCGTATTTTGATCGTGAAATAAATTATTTCGTTTTGCAGGTACAGAATTAAGGTAATTGATTTCTATGTTCTGTAAATCGAGTACTTTGATATTTATTAAGTTTAAGTAGGGTTCCATAAATAATGATATTACAACTTTAGTACTCATATTGACTTGTTTAAAAGTTATATCTAGTGTTTGTGTCGAGAATGCTATTATTTTGTTTAAATAACAAATGGGAGCTGGAAGATCTTCTGTAACGAATTAATAATCGCATTAAAAAAAACGAAAATAGTATTAATAATGTACAGATAAAAAATATTGAAGTTAAATACTTTTATAGATAGCATCCGTGAGTCGAAACGGCTTTGTAACAGACGAAGCAAACATTGGAATTTGATTGCGTTCTTTGCCTTTGAAGCAATTATCAAAAGCTATAAACCGGATCACAATAAAATATAGACTTCATAAAATTGAAATGTAATTTACAAAGTGTATAGAATCAGAAAACTTACATTTCCCTAACTCTTCAAATATTTTTGTAACTATCATATCCTTGGCGATAAATTTGCTAAGGTGAGTCACATATAAACCGTACTTGCTATTTACTTTTTCATAGCTCGGTCGATGACTAGACGTGGAATATGCTTGAATTAAATTTCGAAGATTCTTCTTACTTTTATATTCATTCACTGTTGGCAGCTCAAGATAGATATCAGGATTAAATTCTCTAAAAAGGAATACACAAATTATATGCGAATATAGATTTACATTAAAGAAATAAGAAACTACGAAATATTTACTTTGAGGGAAGAGTTTGACACATATCTAAAATAATAATTAATAATTCAGGATCATTTTTAAGAAATGCAGATAATAATTCGCTTTCACATATTGCATCTTTCCTTAAATATGTTTCTGGAGAATCTGTTGCAAGCATGTAACTTTCTTGTATCTTGAAACCATGACCAGCAAAATAGAATAAACCTATATAAAAACAGTAAGTTATTTAGTGTTTCATATTTTTTATTTCACATTTTTATACTTTACCATATACACCGTCGACTAATGCTTCACTGAATAATTGTATCGCTCTTTTCATTTGAGCAACTGTTAAATTCAGCAGACAAATTACTTCAAAATTTATTTCTTTAAGAAGATTAGCTACCAGAGCCGCATCATTCCTGACAGTTAGAAGATCCTTGTGATGTTCGTACTCTCCATTTGCAATGATTAAAGCTATTTTTGCGACTGCTTTTAATCTTGGATGTTTCATCTGTTACATAATGTAATTTGAGAATTATCATGTAGCAACAGAGTATTAATTGAAAATGTTTTCCACTTTTACCATCACGTGGGTCCTTTCTGTATAAACTTCGCTAATATCGTTGTAGACATGACAATAATATTTCCCTTCGTATTTTGAAGTAAATTTTTTTATCTAAAACAACAAGTAATTTTGAGAAATTGAAAGCATTAAACAATATGGAGAAAGAGAAGAACAACAGTTTACATACATGCAACGTGTTACAAGTTTCTCCTTCCAGGATAGTATTTTCATGGAACCACTGATAACGTGGTTCAGGGTATCCATCAGCTTTACAAGAAATCGCGAAACTATCGCCAGCTTGTATTTCGATTACTGCTTGTGGTTGTTTGTCGATTTTAACAGGTATAGGACAAACTTGTACAGTAACATGTTTAGAAATTAAAGTTGATAATAAAGTTCCATCACTTTTTATCTGAACTACTTTACACTTATAGTCTCCTGTTTGAGATGCACTGATTAAGCATACAAAATAAGAAATATAAAGGATTTAGAAATATTAACTACAAATTCTGAAGCACGCATTTGTACAAAATATATACCTGGTAATGATAATGTCAAGTTGACTAGAAGTACAATCTTGCAACTGTGTATCTCCATGATACCATACATAATTTGGTGGTGGCATTCCAATGGCCATACAACACAAGCGAAGATGTTGCCCAAATGAAATTTTTAAGGTATCGGTTCCTAATTCTTCTGTTGGGTGCACAATAATATGTAGCGGTTCTAAAAATGATATTTAATACCGTAATTTATCAACTAAAGAGTCGTAAAAAATATAATCATACCTGGATCAGATATAATAGAAAGGATATTAAGAAGATTGCATTCTGTTAACAGCACACGTAAAACTTCAATAGTACACATTTTAATATTTAACTCAGAAAGAAGCTTTTCCCCTGGAGACTCGTGTGGTTTTGTGTTTTGTAAAGATTGTACCCATAAAGTACTGCATTCAAAATTGTAAAGAAAAATTATTTTCATTCGATAATATCCCTTGCTGCTTTTTAATAGTTATTGCCGTACTCACCATGGATATTCCAACCATTCAGCTACATGATTTGCCAATGTCATCCAAGCCGAATTCTTATTTAATTCATTAACCAAATCATTATATATATTTGTTGGTAAATATTCAATAAATGTGTCTTTATCAAAATATGCCATTTTCATTATAAACATATTTTAAAAAACATTATATGATTGTACTTCAAACTGAAACAGTTCTATTTAATATTAATAAAATCGTTTTTTCCTGCATTGATTGTAAAGGAGGGGCAAGGACATCAGTGATTTCGTTGTTGTCATCAGTTGTTTTAAGAATTTGAGACGATAAAGCAATATTTTCTCATGTTCTTGTTTTAAAATAGTCTTCGTATAATCATATAGGGATACTTAAAAGACCCGAAATTTTGTAATTTGCCCTCTTTAAACTATAAAGTGTTAAATTGCAAAATCAAGCTATGCAAAACCGTGTATAATTATGCAAAGAATATTTTAAAAGAGAAACCATGAGGAAACATTGTTCCTTCGATTCAAAGTGTTGAAATAACAATACCGATACTATCGTCCTTGTCCCTCCCATGGAGAGTAATTCGGGAAAAATAAGATTCACCAAAGCTTCTCATTCCTACCGTACGAGGGCTTTAAAGTCAATTCGGACTTGATCCGTTAGTCCATTAGATCCTTAATAAATAGTTTTCTTCTTGCTTTATAAATATCATTTATATTTGCAAAAGAGGGTACAAAGTCGCAATCAATGACAACTCGAGGCAACATTGTAATACGTCAACGTACATTATTAAAATCATTTTAGTCTCAATCGATATGACAGGAACACAGGTGTTTACACAAGCTTTTGATCAAACTTCTCGTGATGTAAAAAAATTGAAAGGTTACTTATTTCATTAAATGATGCACATTTTACGACTAAAGGATAAAGATCGAAGAGAAACAATTATTCGACGTGTTACACGAGAATTTGTTAACTTGGAAAAACTTGCAGAACATATGTACGTAAATAGATAGATATGAAAAGAAGTAGAGAAGATATTTGAATACATTTATTTATACACGTAAAACAGTGAATATGAAATTAGTATAAAAGTGTATGTAGCTGCGGACGAATCGAAGTAAAATCTCGTTCAAGTATGAGATAATAAACTGTCAACATTAACCTGTTTTATCCACCGCGCAGTGTATCGCAACAATAAGCCTGAATAAGCCAGTTTTTCGGAACAGCCCGGAAAAGTGTCGTCAGTTTTTTATTGCGGGTGCGATACGCGCAGTGGTGGGGTATCAGTGTGACCAATGAGCCCGCGAAAAGCGGCTCCTGCGCGATGCGCGTGGCGCGCTGCGCCGCATAATCTTGCGTATCAGCGATCGGCAGTACCATCCAGAAGGCAGTAGGTTACGGGTTCTAACGTGGTGAAATATTAGGGAGACCCTATCGGTGCGATCGGTGAAAAAGGAAACGTGCGACGGAGTTGAGTGCACACGTTAGTAGAGTGCACGATACTCGCGAGTGTCGGGAGATCCGAGTGTCGAGCCATCATGGCGAATCCACGGAAATTCAGTGACAAGATCGCGCTACACAAACAGAAGGAAGCGCAGGAAAGAGCAGCGTTCGAGGCGATCATGCGAGAGGTTTCGGATGTCACGAGCAGAGTAAGAAAAATTCCAATAGGTCCTTACCATTGAGGGACATACATTTAACGCTCTTCGTGCATCTTCTTCGACTGGAGATGTTAGAACGTAAACAACTAGTGTTCTCTCTCCTCATTGCACCGTGTATTGTGTCGACTTTGCGTGTGTTATACATATATGTCGTTACGTGAATGTGGTTGGTTAGGTTCGCTACACGCGTTACTGCGTGTGTACGGGTATCTGGCTAGCCTACTATCAGTATTTACGTTAAACGTGCACAACTACAATCGTACTCGCCCGTTGGCCCTCTGTTTCTCTTTTCTGTTCGTGGTCGTAGTGTGCGGATGGACGGGTACGTGTATTGGTCTTCTTCGTCGGGTCGCCTATGAGAGAGAGTGTACGGATACGCGTATGTGTGTGAAGTGGGTATATGCTCCGGTATACTATGCGGAACGTACTGTGTGTGCTTGTTGCCATCATCCGTTCTGTAAGTTCTTAATAAATGCATACGTGTACGATCGACAATCGCATTCATCCTGTTGACTCGTTCGAAACGTTGTTAATACTTTTCGAGAGAATCATGATTCTTTCACTCGAGTGATCTACACCGAGACGCGTAAATAACGCGATCGAGTGTCCGATCAAAGAACCGTTCGTTTTCTCCACGTTTTTCCTATGAAAGAAATGAAAAATCGTCGCGATCATTCGGTCGACAAATCATGTTTGTGCTTTTATTTACGCGATGGTATATTTACTTTTATTCATTATCGATCAAGATCGAAGAAATTCTATGTTCGTTTTTCTCGCAGATTTAACGATCGTGAAAGTGCTGCACCCGCTTTCATTCGTTCATTCTCGCTGAGCCGTTTATGCGCTTTTCTCGTGAATATCGTGCATTTTTTCTGTAATACGTTCGCGAACGCAACATCGTCTTCCAGAATCACGTGTCATTCCAAGTTCGATTCTGAATGTAGTTGTTTCGCGTTGAAAAGGGAAAATAAAATTTAGTCTTGTTTCGCGTTATTGTTCGACGATATCCCTTGTCATACGTTCGAATTATCGATAAACTTAACCGTTATTGAGTGAAGCGAAATTAATTCGCGATTATGCGAAGCAGAAATCTACCGTGAATATCTTTCCATCGAATTCGAAGCAAGTGCTATTTCGAAATAATTTACAAATTTTCATTGCCGAAATTTTGTCACCTCGTGGAGTGGACCTTTTCGTTCGGAGTCTCGTTGACTGTTTACGGTTGGTTACGTACAATATTTAAAGATGTTGCAATGCGAGAATGCTTTGGTTCGTTTATCCGGAACTTCGTGTTATTGGAACAACAGCGTGTTACGAGAAATACAGATCGTGGAAAACAGAAGACACCGATTACAATTTTCGCTCCGAACCGTGCGTAGCGCCCTCTTTTCGAATTTCACGGGGAAACCGTTGTGCGAAGGAATCGTGTGAAATTGGCGCGTTTTTCGTATTCGTACGATTATCGTTCATACGATTACGTAATAACGGCATTGTACTAAATGCAGAAGCTGCGGTGTTACTTTAAAGCGTATCGTTCGATTTCTCGATATCACGAAATTTACGGTATCGTCGACTTAATCCTTTACACGACTGCTAAATACTTTCGGTGAACGAATGCCTGCCGTATGTGCACGTATATGCTGTCATCATTAAACGATTATACGTTGAATGGCAATTAAGTGCAGGCTTAACGCTTTGAATATCCAATTCTGTAATTGGTATCGATTGCCGTATTACTCGGCAGCGTTTCGATCACTGCATGTGTAAACGCGTGCATCTAGGCGCATAAGAGGTTAACTTTCGAAGCGGTTTCGGCGCGTTTTCAGGTGTCGGTCGAATTCTTTGCGCGTTCGGCGTTCGCTTTATTTTTCTTGCGTGCTCGACCACACAGAATTATCTGGCGAACGTTGGAATGTCCGAGTAACTCGTTCAAGCTCGTAGATATTTCTTCGATTCGACCAACGAATGTTTTCGTTTTCGATACCGATATCGATATCATGAGACGAAGAGTCACGAATTCGAGAAAATTTCGCGTGTGCTAGGTCCACGAAATTTTCGATGGCATGCAATAAGAGTCCGTATCGCGTGTATGTACATAACCTCGTGCACACATCGCGTCAATTAACGTAACGCTAATCGTTTTCGATAACTCGAGTTTGTCGGTATATCGTATCGAACATCGTATCCACGCGCACGACCATTTATCCTTTCTTCTTCCAAGGTTTGTCCTTATGCTCGATTTCTTACGTATCGAACTCGTACCTATGATCCGAACCGTGACTTTTCATCGAACGAACTAAACTGTGCACGCTTTTGGAATCGCTTTACCGTTAACGGCTTCGATAACGATTACGAATGTGACGATTAATCGCTCGAACTCGATGTGCCATGCGCATGCGCGGTATTCGTTGCCGCTCAAACGAGAAAACGAACTTATTTTATTTACTTTAGTTAAGATTCGATCGATAAGTTGGCAATATCGTAAAATTTCATCGATAAATTACTCGATATTCATTGTTTTATGTTCTTGGGAGAAAATTTCTATTCTGTCACTATCCGATCGTTTCATTTTCTTTTTATGCTAGTACTCTTTAGCGCTTGTGACAATTATAATATCAATAAATTGAGTTCTCTTCGAAAGATCTCTCGATACGCGTTCGATAAACGGAGCAAAGGCTAGGAAAATGTATCTAACTCGGGAGATCGGTGAACGCGAAACAGGTTGCATTTGGAGAAGTTGCTTTCACCGCGAGGAATTATGCAATTTCGTCTCGAGACATTGCAGACTAGTTACGAATACAATTTTATCGGTAGACCTCTGTTCGTTCGTTCCTGTCGTTCATCGAATTCGATGTTCTCGTCTCGATATCTCGCGGAGTTGTCGAAAAAGAAACAGAAATGAAAATAAGGAAGAAAAAGATTTCCTTACAAATCGACTGAATTTTTGTCGAGACTCGAGCGAGATTCGAGCTACAGAGCTGTGTATGGGAAAAGGGATCGGCTTGTAGGAAGAAGAGGAGAGAGGAGAGGAAGCTTGTTTATCGGATCGTGGTCGAACAGGAATGTCGACGTTCCTGGCGTAAAATTTAACCCGCGTAGGTTTTTAACGATCGCGATCGAAGAAGAAGATGCAAACGATGTTCAGAAAAAAAAGGCCCTTAATGCATTCGAGACCGGGCTCTTATAAAAAGAAATTCCAAGATGCGCGAGAAAGAAAGGAAGGGAAAAAAGTATAAAATATTGTGATTCTTGAATAAATTGGTAACGATTATAAATTGAATATTTGCTAGACGGCGATACGTACTAAGTTGCAAATTGGCCGATTCGTATGTATATTTCGACGAAGAAGCAGTCAATTTCGATTTCAAATATCGTGATCGTTTCTAACAAGTTTCCAGATTTAAATCGATATGTCGTAAGTAGTGTTTTGCAGTACTTTCATATCATGAAATCGTGTTAGACTTGTAAGACACCGAAGGTGCGTCATCGGTTTCGAATGCGTTAATCATCGTTCGCGGTTCAAGCAGATACATACTATGTAACTGTTACCGCTTCGCAACACGATTAAAGGAATAGCCGATTCACTCGAATTACGGTAATGGAACGCGGTGTAGCGTAATCGATAACCCAAACACTCGATGGGGTATAGAGAACAGCGCATTATGTTCGGAGAAGAAAAAAAATAGCTGAATAGAAGCGAACGAAAAAGGCATGACTAGCGTTGTCTTGTGCCGTGTAAAGGTGTTTGATAGCCGGAGAAAATCGTGTCGGTGTGACCATATGAACGATGGACCTGCTTAGGTCGCCTCGGCGAGCAGCTCGGTGTGCGCCAGTCCCACGGGATCGTCCGGGGTGCTGGAGACCCCGTTATCCGTGAAGAGTGCCGGCGCCAGCCCACCGCAGTCCAGCGGCAAACACCTGCACATTAACCTGGGAAATCAGTTCAGGGCGGGTGGTTCTCTGCCGAATGTAAACAACAATGCGAACTGCGGCGCCGACGCGAAAAAACACACCTCGCCGCACACCGCTGCTATTCATTCGATCGACCTTAAGGTACTCTATGGACATCTAATCGAGTCAGTCTAGTTTTTTTTTTACTAGATGATTACTATTACTATAATTTATCTCTTCTGTTGCTGCATCCGTTTTTTTTTGCCTCTTCTTTGTCACGTGTCTTACAGTTCGCACCCTCCTGACTGCATCGTTCGAAAAATTGTAAATTATTTTCTTACACAGTGTGCCAATAAAATGTTACGTGTTACATCGATAAATGTAGGTATACGTTTATCCTTTATTTAGGCAGATACCACGAACTTAATCCTGTAAGTGGTAAATACTTTCGACAGCTGGATGTGCCCAACATCAGTTGTACATTCAGGTGCAACGTAAGTTTCCGTTAGTCGAGAGCAGAGATAGAAGGCTCTGTCAGGGTTCTCTCTCGGGGTTCTTTCGAAATCGAACGCAAGTAACGGGAACCTTCTTGCCTCTATATTTATTATGAACCACAGCAGCGATTAGTAACGTTAATATCGATAACGATACGATCTATCGACGCGTAATAACTTGTTCGTTATCCGAGCGAGAGATTCGAGGAGATTCTTTTAACTCGATAGAAAAGTTGGTCGTTACGGGTGGATCACGGATGCGCGGTAACCCTCGTGACGGTATTGAAATCACCGCATCGTCGCTCGTCCGATCAATTATATGTATACACGGACAGACATCATAGAGTCATAGAGGATCCTCTCTACTTGTTGCGAGTTCGCGTTCGAAGCGTGACTCATGACTGGAGCAACGTACGACCGGGCGATCGCGTGCCTCCTTTCATTAAACCCGACTATTTCCAGTCACCGTGTAAAAATAGACGTTTCAAGATTTTTCTCCGTAGCCGGGAGAACACGTAACGCGATGCCTCGATTCGATTCGATTCGATTCGATTCGCGAACTAAACGCGAATTAGACCGCGATCTCGTACGATACCTAACGGTATTCTTCGACTTTATAAATTTCAGAAATTTGCCTGTGTACGGTTTTCAGCGTGGATAGTTGACAGTTCGGAAGATATATTTAATGTAAAAGTTTTGACGACGTCCCTATCTAGCCTCTATTGTAATGGGCAATTTGAAATAAAAGGCCGCGGAGAAGTCGATTAGGGATCGTGTTGCCTCCAGAGTTTCCTATTGATTTTCTGTTATACTTAAACAACATCAACCGCGAAACTTGTCGCGATGTATCGTTCAACGAAAAGTTACGAAATATTAATGGTTTTAAAGAGAAGAAAGTTCGCGTTGGAAATCTGTTTCCTAATCAATTGCTCGATGTTGTTTTCATTGGAGAGCAACGAGACACGGGGCGAGGAAAAAATACGTGGTCAAGCTTTCGTGTGGGTACTCTTGTTTGAAAGACGAGTAAACGTAGGTTCGGAAAGTCGACGAAGAGTCTCGATCGATTAAGAAGCAGTCGTCGATAGTTGAAAACGAGGAATACGCTTCGGTTAAGCGACACCACGTGCACCAAGCTCACGACGGTGACGTTGTTGGGAGGGACGAATCGATGACACGCACACGAGTCGGTCAAGACTCTCTCCCTTCACAGGTTCAATGTACCTCTCTCTTCTTTTCTTTTTTCCTTTTCTTTTTTTCTTCTTTTTTAACGAGACTTGCCTGCACGATAACGCATGAAAGTTATATATCTCGTTAGTAGCGATTAATGTTAGAAAGTTGTAACCGTAGAGCAATATGTAAACGCATCGCAAAATAGTATTTGTGGTATATTAGTTTAAGATCCGATGAGAATCACTGTATAAAAATTCCCGTCGATAAAGGACAAGTTTGAGTTGTACATCGATTGATTCGTCATTTGCTCTAACGACAAATAATATCGATGAAATGTTCATGCACTTGTATTCGTTAAACATTAAACTTGAAATTCGTGCACTGTAAACGTCTTGTCATTCTAGAGTTCTGTTATCCCTCGGTGTTTCAAAATCGGCCATATGTCGAATGATATATATAATTGCTGTTGCGTGTCCCACGTGCAGTGTTTTTGGAATTGAAAATCCAATAAATAAAGAAGTTAGTGGGTAATTTATTACATAGGGTTAATTAAGATAATCGATAACGTAAAAAAAAATGAATTTAAAATTGAAAGTAATCTTTTTATTTAATTTTCTAATAATGCTTTTATATTATCTTCGTTATCTTAGTTAGCCGAAAGTAATAAATTACTTTTTTTCTGCAATATTGGTATAGTAATATCAAAATTCAGGGCCACTGTGATGTATTCAGCGATACGATCGTGTAAAATTCGTTGGTTTGTTCGTCGTAACGAAAGATCCTCTTCTTGAATCGTTATTAAACGATTAAAATGAAATTGTTGCTCGTACGTGTCGCTCGATGAACGATCAAGATTCGCAATGATAGCGAATTTAAAAAGGCGAAGCGACCGCTTCCGAACGATATACATACTATACATATTGCATAATAATGGTGACCGTGTCGGATGATGTCATTATAAAATTATCTCGACTGAGGATAGCAGTTTTTAATGGCTGTCCGATGTGTATTCTGCGTATCATTTCCCGTAACATGTAGGAGGCGTTACAAGAAAACATACAATCACGTCGGTTTCGAAGACGTTCACGAATGAAATCGTCGTGCAAATTATAGTATCAGTGGTTCGCGAATTCTACGCCGTTGAACGGTTATATAATACCTCTACGTACACGATACGTTATTGTTTTTCTCTTTCCTTCCTTTTTAAACAGATTTATCGTTTTCGATCAAATTCTTTCCTCGATCTTTTCTTTTCTCTCGTCCAATCGATTTTATTTTTATACCTTTCACATGATTACCTTCGTTTACTATCGATATACATATACGTTTCTCGAACAATTACAATTATATGCTAGTTTTACGCGGTGATTTTAGAGCCGTTTGTCGCGAAACTAACGAAACGTTTACACCTTCTTATTACGTTTCTTCTTTTAAATTTTCTTGCTTCGACCGCGCGATTTTTCTTGTCCTTTCCAACGTAGGGTAGGGATTTCTTGTGAATTTCATAAGATCGTTTTCTTTTTGTCCGTCGATGATCGCCGTTCCGTCTCTCCGTCAAACAATCTTCTTTCTTAGGATGTTAAACCATGAACCATACCTAAGGACACGGAAAATCATTAGAGTCGTTTCGTGACCTGTCCTTGTTAATCGTGTTTTGCAACATCGAACACAACTTACATCCGGAGCTGACTGTTGTACGCAGGTAGCTAAGTTGAATATCTTATTGCAGTTATCGGTGCCAGCTGTAAAGTCGAATTATCGTTAAGAAACATACATAAAAAAGAAAATATTCTTCCGAGTTAACGCGTTCAATTTCCCTTTCGCGTCTCGAAAAAAAGATTATGTTTTTGACAAAAGAAAAAAAAACATTCAGGAATATATTTGAAATTCGACGTAAATGGCTCACGTACATGTTGGTGTGCATTTGCTCAACACGTTGTTTGCCTTGTCTTGAAGACTTTCCGGCAACAAACCCACCATCATTTCCGTTTCTAATTGTGCCTCATCGTCCACCTGAAAGCAAAATAATTTTCGCTGCGACAAGCTCGAACTGAGACGATCGTCCCGAAAACTTACCAAACTAAACGCTTCGAGCATGCAGTACATGTAGCAGGTGATCGACGGTTCGTTTTTGATGACCCCTGCAGATACCTCGTCTATTTCCTCTGCATTCGGAGACAACGAATTATTTAAAAACTTCCGAATATTAATTTCATAGTTATGTTTTTGTATAAGAATGGAAGTATCGTTGTTCCGTGTACAAATACTAACCTTGTTTGGTACCGTGTTCGCTCATGCATCGACTCTTGTCGTCGGCAATCATGTCGTATATTTCTGGTGGTATCCAATCCGGCTACGAAAAAGAGCAAATCAAATATCGTTCGAGCAGGCAAATCGATTTTTTCCTCGATGCCAATTCCGAACATGAACGGTTTTTGCTTCGCTCGACAAATATTAATGATATAGAAAATAATCGTCAAGTACTTTGCCCTTCTCGATCGAATCTCGATCGATCTACGCGTTCGAGTATCGTTAACTAAATTACAATTTCGATATGTTTACGTGTTCGCAACGAGTAGAAGCGTTCGCGTGACAGGCTAAAAAATTGATAGAAATTACGTCGAGAGAAAGTTTGCACGCTCCAATTAAGCTTTTCCTCTAATCTCGAATTCGATTGTCTCGATGTATCGATCAGCCGGTTACACACGGCCATTCGTCTCGTTATTTTCGCGCTTATTGACTCGTTGATGTTTCGAATATATCCGTGGTCAACGAATCGATATGGTTAACTTAGACCCGGTGTTTTCTTTGTCTCTCTAGTCTATAGCGTAGCCCTTTATAGTATTCCGTTGGAACTTGTTTTTCGTCGGACAAATGAAAATTTCCGTCTATAGAAATAAATGTTCCGAACAATATTACGCTTCGAATCGAGATCGACAAATTTTTAATACGAATAGTCGAATACGAGGTAATTGTTATTTTATTATTTCGAACTACTCGAACGTTTTAATATTTAAATTCACAAGTGTTACCGCACTTCACTCGTAGAATAAACGGCATATGAAAAGAATAAAAATATTATCGAACCGGATCGAAGTTAAATGATCGAACACTCGATAGAAGCATAGAAAACGATCAACTTTCTCCCGCGTTTGCTACCCTGTCAGCCAGACCCGTTTCACCCGCTCTTTTCGCCGCGTCGGAAACAGCGAGCAGTTTGAAAGCTTACCGCAGCACGCACGAGAACCGTCTGCAAGTACACGATCGCGAGTAACAGCAAGCCCCCTTTGGTACCCATCGTTCTTCCCTGATTTTTCTTCGCGATTAAAAAAAAAATACTTCTATCGATGAGAGTTCGTCGTACACGATACAATGCGCCGACTTAGCCGCGATGTCGCGTTTTTATAACGCGTCGCTCCGCTTCGATCGTGGGGATGCACGGGATGTGGGCGTGCGTAAGGGAGGGTTAGCGGCGTGCATTCTTTGCTCGTTGATTGAAGTCCTCGGTGCTTGTTGTCTCGGTTAATTTTCACCTGTGTAACGGAAGTGGCTTTTGGATTACGTGTACAAGTTGGCGACCGTGACCCTGAGCGCATCCTGCGTTCCGTTTTCTCTCGGAGGAACTTTAGAATTTCGGAGGAGCCTGGAAGTAATTTGGAAGGTTTCTTCCAGCTATTACTAACTGGCGCGATTACCGACGCTCGTCAACAAATTTTACTAAATCGTTATCTCGCCTTGTTTTTATACCGGAGCGCGCTTACGAATCGACTCGATAAAATCGTTATATTTTTAATCGGAGAATGACCCGAGGAAGCCAGCTGTCGAACTAAATTTGGAAATCCGGCAAGAAAGAAGTTCTAGCGTTGTCGTTTGGCAATGTATAACAAATACGGCAACGCGAGATAACACGTTCAGCCGTGTTCGTGCAATCGTCGGAACTTCTAACTTTTGAAATTACCAGTCCCCGTTACGTTATAATTTCCTAATTACTCGTTCTTATACCTGGGTTGGTCACTATTTTTCTGATTAAAATGCAAAACCGTTGGTTAGAAGTTGAAAATGATCGCGTGAAATTACGACGGGTCGTGGTTAAGACGATATTCGTACGCGATAATTCTTGTTTCGCGATGAAACGCTCCTTGCGTAATCGCGTTTCTCGTTTCCGGTCAAAACATTGAAAATGTTTCCGAGTCGTGGACAAATTTAATGATCGTTATCGGTTCCGGTATCGAAGAACAGCGATCTTGTATCGCGTCGGTAACGTCCTTTGTCGATTCGACGATTAATTAATCGACATCTTCCGTACGCGTTCGACAAAAAATATCGTCGAGATTCGCGCTTTGACCGATCAGATATCTCGTTAACAACGTTCGTAATTTGCCATTAGATCGGCGTTCTTCTCGTTTTATCAATTAAATTTCGAGTCGCACGGAAGTGACCGGCGTAACGTCCGGACGAAATCGATATGCACCGGCCAAAGAGTCTCTCGTGCATGCTCCAGTTGCTGTCGGAGGCGATACGATTTCACGCAACGTCCTACGGATCGATTGGCTCTACGAATTGCGAGTTAATTAACCTTTGTGACCTCGACGTCGGTGGCCTATCGACGCGCGAATCTTTCCGGCGATTTGCAGAGAGATGTAACTCGCGTCGAATCCAGTATGGAAGGGTTAATAGCGGGTCAGGAGATAAAGAAAGGCAAAAGAAACGTTGCCGAACGCGCGAGTGACGAGAATTAGCGTTTGGACGAAAAAATTGGAATGAGGTTAAAGATGGTCGAGAATCGAGGGTGGGTAGATAACGCGAGCCCGGGCGCATCGGTCTCGAAGCCAAGGTCGGGTGTTTCGATCGGGCAAAGAAACGCACCTCGAGGGATATCGGGGTCAAGAGAGCGCTCGGTTTCTTAGTACGGTTCGGTTCGATTCTAGGTCGGTGCAAACGTCTTCAACCCCGTACCTCTGCCTCGATTAACGTTCCTTCTTTCATCCACCCCTCCCTTCGAATCTGTGAGTCGTGTTCGTCGAACCTTCCTTCCTCCTTTCGCCGGAATCGATCGAATTTCGCCGGATTTCTGCTGCTGGCCGCGCACGTGCAATGGCCCACCTGCAGCCCGCGCGACGCCCGAGTTTACGTTGTCGTGCAAACTCGGCTTTAACCTCTTGGACTGGCAACGGGTGCCGTCGAACATTGATATCGTTGCTCCAGATATCTCCCCGCGACAAAATCGCTCTGTCGGGATTGTCGTCGGGTTGATTCGTCGGTAACGATCGCTGCGACTATTCCGAATTTTCTAGTGCTCGTTTAGAAAGGAGCTTAGAAAGGAATGTTTCGAATAGAAAACGTTCCAGCGAAACGATACTTATCACGATTCGGAACTGACCGATTCGTTCGGTAAGTGACCGAGCGAAAAGGGGAAAGATCGATCGAAAGTTCCGCGATTCGATGCACGTACATGACATTTCGGTTAGTTAACCCTCGGTGTATAATTGCGATTAGGTTGCTCGTGCGGACGATGCTTCGTGTCTATTATCCGGTCGACTAACCGAACGAACAGTTTCATGCTAAACGCCTAATGTACCGCGTTAATTTATGCCTGTCGATTAAACAGTTGGAAATATTGCCTCGGCCTTCTCATCCGAAGGACCATCGGATCCGCTTGTACTTTATCGTAACCTGTCTAATCGCCGTTGCGTTTTTAAAATCTGTAAGTTGCCTGAAAAAAAAGAAAAAGAAATTTGTTGTTTCCGAAATTAAACGGTCAATGAATCGTTCGTATTCAGAGGACGATACGAAACTTGTCGTTTCCTTCCGAAGGTAATCCGCGTTCTGGTTCATTCAGCGAATTCCTCGTCGAGGAACGGCTGAAAGAACGAGGAAACGAAGACCGGTGAACGCAAACTCGCGGCGCAAGCTTTGCAGGGGAAAGGAGGAAAACAAACGGGAACACGTGCTCTCCGACCAGTGTGCACTCGTGCACGGAGTATTGATCGCGTTCTGCAGGTACTCGTTTGCCTATTTCGTTAGCAGCGCGTCGATGGCTACTGCAACTGCGCCCAGTTTCGACTAGCTCCGCGAAGAAACATTTTCCTTCGGACCGATTTCGTTGTTTTTCTTCGAGCCGACGAATAGAGTGTCTTGCTCGGCACCTCCATCCGATTTCCTTCGGATTTTAAGGCTCTTCGTTCGCTAGCGCCTCTGTTTTACATTTTTAACTCTAACCTGATCTTTTGTCTCGCGTTGCAGAAACGATTACAGTTTTGCCGAGATGCTCGTTAACCTTTATCGAGATAAAAAATCGTTATACGCCGACTGATAATTGCCGAAAGCTTACGATTGGAATAGACATACATAGAATAATATGAATTATTAACCCTCTCGTGTCTCCATTGGCATCTATAGACATTTTATTTCGAACGATCGGAGAAGCGCAAAGAAAAATCTTTCGATCTTTTCAGAACGTATGATTCGACGACGGTCCGCAAGTTTCTTGGCCAACCAGATTATCGCGTTTTACATGATCTCTAGCGATCCGGCATGACATCTCGATCCGGCACGATCTCGAAATTGATTGCTCGTTATTTATATTCTACAGGTGGCCGGAGACGAAGGTTTCGGCCGTCGCGAGGCTACGTAACTGCGTGGAAATATTTTCAGGCTCGAATTCGTCGAGCAGTTATCGACGTTTTCCTTTCTTTCGAATCGGTTCAATGAAGAAGAATAAATTTATACGTTTAGACTGCTGCCACTTAGGAACGAATATTTTTGCGATAATAATAAATACACGATCGATGAGTATATACGTACAACTTTCTACGATATCTCTTTCGATCTCTCGGGATTATCAAAGAAATATGTAATTGGATTTGTCTAATGTATAATTCACGCGCGGCCGAGTTCGATCTCGGTCGGCACAAAGTTTTTTGGCCCGTCTTTTCCTCTTCGAAGCTCGATTAACGACGCGCCTTATGTTGGTCACTGTCCGTCGACTTTCAAAGGGAAGTCGTCCATCTCCGTGAATGATTATATGTATCGTGATTTCCAGTGTTCCATCGTCTCCATGGACCGTCGTCTCGATGTTTCGAGATTCTCTTTGCTTCTATCTCGCATCGTCTTCGAGTCACGATGAAAATTCATCGTTCCCGGAGAAAGCGTCGTTTTACTATTTTTATTTCGCAGCTGTTCGTGACTGGTCGCCGATGACTCGATCGTGACTACTCGTGACTATGCGTGTGCAGGGTGTTCGAAGCGAAACCGTAAAGGGTTAAGAACGATTCCGTGGAAAAGTGGAGCGTAAGGTTGAATCGCGCAGCCTTGAACGACACAAGGGGTATCCTCTGGCAAGTGGGTGGGTCAGCGGCGTCGGGGAGACAGTAGACGCCGTTGCGTGGGTGGAGCAAAGTCGTTCTGAAAGGACTAGAAGCGAAGGAGAAAGAGGGACAGAAGGGTTGAAGGAATGACGAGGAGGGAGTTTCACGCTCGTCGTCGATCGGTTCCTGACCTCTCCAACGTCTTCCGCGTTTCTGGCCATTCATACTCGACCCACGACTCTTCCTTCCACCTGCGGAACCTCCACGCGATACGTTCGCCAACATGCATGTTTCTTGGCATTTTCGGCAATGCAAAGCGCCACGACCCACTCGCGAAGGTATTAATACGTCGACCGCGCGACGGCTACGATCTAAATAATTGAAAAACGAATCGAAACAAAGAAAGAAACGTTCGAATCGCCTCCAGATACAGAGTCGACGCGGTAAACGAACAAATTATTCTTAATAGTTTCGCGGTGGCCCATGAATGTACGCAGTTACGGTAATTCGGTATCCGAGAATAACGTTTAAACGATATCGTTGCATTCTCTTTATTTCTATCGCGATTCGAGTACTCCGACTCTATTCAAGTATCGGAGAACGCGAACGAAATAAATTCTGCAAGGATCGTTCGCTTTTGAAAGGAACCACTCGGTTCGAAGAAAGAAAATAATCGGTGACTTTCACCGCTCGAATAAACGCGTATGCAGACATTTTCTCGGCGGACGTTAAGTAACGTTGGCCAATAATGTCGAAGGTCGTTGTTTTTCCTCCGAGAAAGTCGCACGCCGTTGGCCTGCGCGGCTCATCCTATAATTTCTCATTCCACTGCACCGTTGTCGACTCATCGAGCGGTCGATGTGCATAAGGGGTCAAAAGAGGATAAAATTACAAAGTGGAAAGTGTCATCGGCGTTCGATCGGCCACGCTGTCCTTGAATATCATCTGTAAAAATCGAAGGACACCGCTGTTGGGTCTGCTGAATATCTAATATCATTATTAGTGAACGTTGCTGAACCGCGCTGATCTCCTCGTCTTCTTATTTTCTATTCGTATATTACATCTTCCAGACGTTGAATATCTCGGCAGGCAAAAGAAGAGGCAAAGTGCGTGCGTGTCGTACACGTGTTCCGTCGACTTTTATTTCGTCGCCTGACCTCATAAGCGTCGACGCTCCGAAGAAATATCGGTTATAACGCGCGTTTTCTATCCTGTCGCGAACGTTTCGCGCAACACTCGATTAAAATTCATCGACTTTAACTTTAACAACCCATTTCGATAAGTTACGATAGCGGCGAGTTTTCGCGAATAGTCCGGACGCGTACAAGTACGCGATAGAAAAAGGAGGCAACGACCATCTCATTGAGAAGTTTCTCAATGTCAGGTTCGCGAGTGAAACGCATCAACGAATCTGTACGCGTCGCGACGACTCACCTTCGGTTAGCATCGTCGTTAATTAACGATGTCGGTCCCTGCCGAGGCCCGTTGTTCGAACGTTTCACGACTCGACACTTTCCTTAATTACGACGTTTTTATTATTGTTATTAGGACAACTTTTTCGCGATAATATCTATCTAATCGTGCTATCGACTCTTCCAATTAAAGGATCGCGAACAGTTGCTCCGTCGATAGGAGCAGCGAGGAAGGATTTTTAAAATCGAAACACGTACAAGCAATTTGAGCTCGAAAAGTGCGTACCGTTTACTCGACGAGCATAGAATATTTTCTCCTCTCGCTTGTTCGCCGGAAACCCGGCGACTTAGTCCCGTTCGACATGCACATACTCTAGTCGCTTCCATTCGTTGAGTTAGCTTTTACGTTCGTTGTTTTCGCTCTATTCGATAATCAGGGATTCTCTCTCTGGTCGTATAGAGGTGACCAGACTGATCGGAGTTCAAAGGATTAAGATACGAGGTCAATATTCGTCCAGCGGGAATCGACCAACTCGTCATCGATAAAGATTTCGGGACGATAGATCGTAACGAAGGATAATTCCTTGTCGTCAGCGATTAATAAACGATTTACGAATGTCGATCGGATCGATCGAGTTTTTTCGTTCACGCGTGAGTCGTTCGTTCGAGGCTCTATCTACAGGCTGTTTCATTAATTTCAGCGGTATGAACAAGCCACGTCTCGATTTAATTCCCTGAATACTAACGAGAATATGCAAAATAAAGTTATACGACGAAGGAAAACCTGTTTTTCATTCACTACATTCGATTTTCTTCTTATTTATTCACGATAATCAGCCACCTTGAAACGAATTGCATCGTGTCGTTCGACAGCTTTACCGTCGATAGCAACGCAAACAATTCATCTTCTTTTTCTTCTTCTTCGATGTTCGTGTATCTTTTTAAACGCCTTGTAATTTCTTTCGTCGTGCACGACTCGCAATTTACAGGACGCGCGTCCTTTTTAAACGTCGAACGATAAACGAAAAGGCTATAAAAAATTTCCTTTTCGACGTCGACGCGTTCATCGAAAGGAATATTTTCCCTGTTCCTCGGAGAACGTCGCGTTTCAAAACACTCGAGACGCGTCGGTGTAAAAAAAGATGGCATCGAAGCTATTCTCGTATCGTTACCATCCGGTTATCGATACATTTTGCATATTAGTGTATGTAAATAGCGATATATAGTTAGTCCGATCCAGTAAGACTGGTATCGAAACCGGTAACCTCTTCAAAATGCCAACGGAGTAAGATCCCGAACAAACGATTCCGTATAACGTTTTGTAAAAATTGTTCTATCCGAGGTGGACACATTTGCTTGAACGGTACGCGAATAGTCGACGAAAGAAATCTGTATGGCGGTTATCGCTGCGCTCGAATGTTCGTGCGAAATATATTTCATTTCTTAATAACGAACGAACGTCGAAGCATCGAGCTCGAAGTGCCGCTTCGATGCTCGTGATACATAATTCGCTCGTGTTTCAGGTAGGCGTCGCGACGCCATAGAACGCTTCGAACGCATTTACCGTGTCCCTTGATAATTTACCTCGTAATCTTGTCCGCGGTACTAGGCGTTGTAACACTGTAGCAGATCAAGCTTCAACCTACACGCGTGTGCGCGTCCTCTCCTTTTTCCTAATTGAAAGCTAAATGCACCGTCGTATTACCGATAATTATGTTACGCGTACAATTACACGGTAACATTTGCGTGTTCTCCTGCGAGAGGCGCTTCTAGTCTAACCTGACCTACTCGTCTACGTACAAACATCGAATACCTGTTTCTTCCGCTATCGATGACGGATACCAACGATCAGACTAACTCAGACCTAACCACGCGACTCTTCGTCGTATTAAGTGCAAGGTTATTCTTCGTATTTCGCGCGTTTCTTTCTCTTTTTTTTTTTCCTTTTTCTTCTTATTTCACACGACTGTTTCGAGAAACGACTATCCCAGCCAGTGTAACATTTCTCTCCGGTTGTAACGATCGTGCGAGTAAGGCGCCGTAAATTATCCCGTTGGACGTTGTCCAATCGTCGCCGCTAAACAATTTACGGATTATCGCGGTACCGCACGTGATCTTTCTCGCGCGATTCCTCGGCTTTGCATTTTACATGGACCGAGAGTCGTCGCAACGTCGAGTCGATTTTAGTTACTGGAAGTTGTCGTCCGGTGCCTTTAGCGTTGGTCCATGTTTGCCACGAATCGACGAATACGATTAATTCGTAATGGGAACTCGATCCTGTCGTCGTAGGATCGGAATCCTTATACTCGGTAATGGCGGATATAAAGATATATCGATGACGTTAAGTTAAGCTCAGGGTAATTAAAAATTAGCCATTTGTGTTCGAAATGATCGTTTGTTCGCGGCGCGAACCGTGGGAGAGGACATATTCTCTGTTTACCGCATAATTCATCAGATATTAGGTAATAACCGTGCGAACTAAGCTCGAGCGACACATGGTGAGCAGGAACGGGACGGTTAGGAATTTGTTCAGGCATCTCGGCGTTCTCTCCCACAGGAAATCCCGCAAAGTGTGCCAGTGCGGACCGGCCGCAAGCGTGCCAACTCGGGAAACGTTACTTTCGACCGACGAATTACGAGCGAGTTTCTTCTTCGTAGCCGTGCAACCGATGAAATTGTTATTTTTAGCCTTGCATCCCGTTATTCTCTCTCGTTGGAAATTCGCTTTTCGCGACGCGACGCCTACCTCGAGATTCCGTTTCTGTGAGGTCCGAGTTACGATTTTTCGTCGATAAACCCACCGCCACGACACACGCCTGTACGAACGTATGTCCCATCTTGTTGCCGCGTTACGGCCGTTTCTCTCTCGTTCGGTCAGTTCTCGACAAACTGACCTCTTCGTTTGACCGTTCATAAGCGAGGCTCGATATCTCGTGTGCACGACCTTGCCGATTATTATGTAAACACTGTTTTTCTAAACGAGAGATTAACCGGCGAACGATGCATGAACTTTTTAAGGAGGAAATCTTCGACGACTCATTGGCGGACGTTTTAATCGAAATCGACTTTTTATTTGCTTCGTGCACGATAGTTCGGTCTCGGCACGCTTGATCGGCGGGACAATTTTTCGATAGACCGATGGCCAGTACACCTGGTTATTCGATCGTTGAACTCTCGTGTACGCTGGATTTTCGTTCGCGAGGATACCCAAAGTTTTTGGCACGCGACGCGCCGATAGATAACGTTGCAATATTACGACGAACATCGGTTTTATCGTTTAACTATCGTAAGATTCCCGAAACGGAGTGCTCTCGGACAGGAGGCCGCGTGCAAAGAAAAATAAAGATCAGAATCCAGATCGTAATCCACCTCGAAAGCTGAACGGAGTAGCACGATTAGAGAGTGCAAGGAGACGTTAATCGGTATCGGGGTCAGATGAATGGACTCGTAGACGTATACCTGGCATGGCATATGTCGAGCACGTGTCGTTCAAGAATCGTGACCCGTCCAGTTCGCGTTTATGCACCGTGGCGCTCGAACTCGGAACAGGAGACACTTACGGTCGTGTACACGTTTCTTCGCAATGCCGTGTACCGACTAAAAATATATCGTTATGCCATACAATTCTTGCCATGCTAAAATTGGATAGGTACGACCCGGCCAGGTTTCCGACACGAGCCGACCAAATCGTAGAAAAAAAAAAAAGAAACGATTTTTCGAGTTTTCGATCGGACTAAACCGACAGGCTGAAAAAATCGAGCGTAAACGAACGATTCGTTGCGTGTACATTTTACAAATAGGAGCATGCCTTCTTCGTCGTACGGGAGAATGACGGTTTCCTTGAACTTTGCGCAGCTATAGTCGCTCCGTCCGCCACTAGGCGTGTTATAATTAATAATTTGCCACGCGCGCGCCTCGTAGTAGTTCTTAGTTTCTCGTAGTTAGACAAAAGCCGATCATTGTCGGCGTCTCAAACGATTTTCGTCTATCGTTCGCTCCTCGTATTGTCCGTTTCCGAAATTTCATGGCAAAATTAGTCGAATCGCGTGAAAAGCGCGGGACCATGATTCGCGGTTATCCGATCGCGCGAGGTTTTCGAGACGGCGACGTCGAGTTTCCGGGATGTCCACGGACACGACGCGATCTAAATTCTAAATCAGGGTCAAACGAATCCTCCGGCTCGAGGCTAAAGTTGAAAGCGCGCTCTCTCGGCGCGATGAAATACGATGAAACGCAAATAATTGAGAGCGAAGATTCGAAGGAAAGAAAAAAGGCGAGAATGATGCAGCTGTCGCGATTTGCGTTTGCAGACGGCGCTGAGCAATCTGGAGGAGATGCAGCACAATTCCATGGCGTACCGCAACAACGAGAGGGGTAGAAGCATGGGGGTTGGTCCAATGAGGTCGCGTCCCATGGAGAAGAGGCACGACACGTCGCCGTACAGCGGTGTCCCTTACCTTTCACCACCCCCGCCGGATACCTGGAGGAGAACCAACTCGGATTCGGCCCTTCATCAAAGCGCCAACGAGGCCTGTCAAACGACTACCCCCATCCCCCATCGCCGAGGTACAAGCGTTCACCTTTCTTGTTTCTTGTACCGGTTGTTCTTGACACGTTTATTGTTACGGTGAAAGTGCACGCGTATCGTAATACGCGTTACGACCGACCATTAACTCGGTGCGTCGATTAGATAAGCCGTTAAGTTTCATTGTACGAAATTTGCTCGCAACCGCGTTCCAAATGAAAAGTTGCCGAATTTTCAAAACTTTCCGTGTCTCGAACGCGTCTCGCCGTTTCTCGTTTCCTCGTCTTCTGCAGGCGTAGTAACAGACGATGTAAATAAAATTGGATCGTTCGCGCGGAACGTAGCTAATCTGGGACGTAATCGCGCGATCATTAAGTCCGTCCGCGCATCGTTCCTGGGATTTCTCTTGTCTACCACGTTTCCTATGATAAACGATTTGTGCGCTCGAGCCGAAAAATCATTCTTCTACTCTCGCGAAAATTCATTCGAAATTTCGTCAAAGTTCTAAGGCTTTTCATTCGAACGACTTTTCAGTTATTGAAAAGCTCGAACACTAATTTCGCAGAAAACGGCAAGAGAACCCGAACTTGAAACGTTATACTCCGTCGTAACGTTAGTAAGCAGCATTACACAGTGTTAGGTTGCCGTCGCGAAATCGGACGCCTTGCCTTGGATACATCTATCGTTGTTTCGGAGGAGGATACCGCCGAACGCTTGAAATTTCCCGAGGGAAAATGCCGACGTAGGGGAAGTAACTCGTGCAAAAATTAAGCGTCACGCGGCCCGATTCTCGAGTATTCTCTTTTGTTGCATCGCCGTTTCCCGTGAGAAAGATTAGTTGGTCAGTGTACGACGAGTGGCCGACGGGCAACGTGGAATTCGTTTTGCCGTCGGGAACTGTCGATCCGACATTGATTAATCGTTTGTTTAATTAAGCGTAACGCGTCCATTTTTTACCGACAAAAGTATAGATTTTTGCGTTCGTTTCGCAGATCAACACACGATGAGCGGATCCGGAAGCGACAACAGAAATCTTCATTACGGATTTATCGAGCGGCCAAGATCGTCCTGTGAAATACCTAGAGTGCCTGGCAACAAGTAAGGATATCCTCGATTTGCAAAACTTTCTTCGACCGAAGTTTTCGGATCTCGCGAACGTATCCTACTCCCGATAAAGTTGACACTGTTTATTGTCGTGTGCTCCGTTCTGTGCATTATTTATGCATCGTGGCTATTGTACCGGAGTTTCATTGTATTCGCGACGCATTCTATCGCACATACTAATGCGCTCGTGTGCGGAGTTTATATAATTGTTGTAAGGGACCTTCGATTTTCGCGCGATCGCTGTTTAATTTTATCTGTCCGCTTTCTTTCTTACTCGACGCGCAAGTTGTTTGTTTCAATACGTTGTTGACCGGTGACCGATACGAGCAACTTTCGTGTTTGCGTATTCGTCGACTTACACGATTATCAATTGTTTATGCGTCGGCGATGTAGGCCATTATTTCGTTCGATCGTACAGATACATATACAGATACACGCGTAGTCGACGAAACTCGTTAACATTCGCGTAAAATAAGCTGTCGATAACGCGTTGAAGTGTAGCCTTCGTAAACCGCATCGATTTTTTCTGATTAGGGCACGTGTTTGTCTTGCAGCATAGACCCGAGCTCTCAACCACCGGGACAGCAAATTTCCATAGGAAACACGCGGTCGTTACCAGATCTGGTCCATTTCCCGTCAGATCAGGAGGACCATTCGAGCAGTACACCGTTCAGCAACGTAAGTTCAACGGATTCTACCGTTTCTTTCCTTTCCACCGACTCCTCCCCGCTGTACACGGTGCGTTTCCTTTAATCGTGAAAACTTGGAACATTTCGTTTACGAGATTAAAAGAAACGCACCGTATACGTACTCTTTACGCAGTTACCGCAAAGAAGAAAGAAGTAACATCTTGTTAGAAACGTAGCAATAGTTGTAGCAATAGTATACTTTTTGTCACGTTATCTGATATGATTGTACTTGCCGGTGCATTCCAGAGTCGTCAAACGAGCAGTCCTACAAACCTGTCGCCGACCAGCTTGCAGCAAGCTGGTGGGCTATCCTTTCCGCAGGATCAAAATCCGACAAGTGCCCAAGTAAATATCCTTTGCGACCCTCTGCCAGTATGTTGGATTCGTGCGTTCATAGACAATAAAGGAGTAACCGACGCGACGTGTCTTTCGACGCCGTGTTGATAGTTCGTTGCTTCGAGATGAACAGATTTCCTTGATTCGAGGCATAAGGTTCGATGAAAAGTTTCGACAGGATTTTTCGCGATATTGGAAAGACAAAGTCTACTCGATTACTTCGAAGTAGATTAGACTCGAGGTATCGTGGAATCGAGGCATTCGTTTCACGCTCTGTGATTCTATTTATTCGGAACGAGACGCGTAACTCGATTACAATCGGTCAATTCTGAATTATGCATTACGCACGGAAACGTTCGATGCAAAAGTTGCTAAAAGTAGCTTAACCCTCGCGTTAATAACCGATTATCGATGTATCTTAAGTCTTGAATCGATCTACGCAGATGCCCGTTTACGACGATACTTTTCTCGCCTCCGCTTTCGACGACGAGCAGATGCCTCGTTTCCATAAATTTTAGTACATAGTTTTACTGCATGAGAAGAGACAAATATTTTGTGCTTTTCTGCGCTTTCATAACCCACCGTAGCGTTGTTCCGCGGCACAAAGAATCAACGCGTTCCGTAATCGCGCGTAATTGATCGCGATTTTCAAAAGTAACAAACTATTATGATAATTTTGTCCCGACTTTCGATCGTCGTTTAATCACCGGCGTACGATTATGGAACTGAACTGGAATCGAACCGTTCAAATGTTTTGCTTCGAAGGATAATTATCGCGTTGCTCGCGTGCAGTTTCGATAGGCCGACGTTACTATTCTTCGATGGTGCAATATCGACCACGGTTTATTAATCGTTGTCTGAATTAGTCATGACACGGTTCAATATCGATTTTATCCAACATCCTGGATGGTAAAACACATTTTCTCGATCTGGCAAAAAATCGCGAACGGTTCTCGACTAATTATGTAAACGTTTGTTTACGATAACTTTCGTGCCTTTTTAACCGCGATTATCTATTCACGCTTTCTTAGATTCTACAAAATACTCGTTAATTATTTTTGATCAATGACAAGAAGAAAAGTTTTATTCGCGACATTATCGATCAGTAATTTTCTTCGCTTCTTCGATATACACAACCATCCTCCTACGCGCTTAGTGGTACCTTTAATTTCGTTTTTATTTTTATTTTGCCTTTGTTGTAGTGTTTGTTTTGTGTTTGTTATTTTGCAGAACCATTTATCAGTGCCTGTTAACTCTAGGTTCCTTCACACGTGCAAGGTTAGTAGCCGATTATTAATTTTTGTTCGCAACCGATAACGGCGTTCTTTTTTACTTTTGCTTTCTTTTCTTTTTTTTTCGTCGATTCTTTTCCCTTGTATCCCCGGTAGCGTTTTATAGAGTCGCAACGTCGACAGCCTGCAAAATGAAAATTGTATAGCTTACGTGTCGCGAATCGATGTTGAAACGAAACAATCCGTTTAAGCGGAATCGTCGAGGGCGAAACGTCGATTCGAAATTTCATACCGAACAGTTTGAAAGTTCCGTTTTCTTGGCATTCGCGAACACCGAGTCTTCAAGTCTCTGAGAGAACGGAACTTTTGCCCGTCACACGGTTAGATGAACATTAATTGTCCCCTGACGCGTTGCCAAATTTATATACTTTACATCGATTCGAAATAGAAGGACGCCCACTAGTTTAGTTATTCAACGATGCGCGATAAAACGTTGAAATCCTCTCGAATGACAAATGCTCGAACGGCTCGAGAGAAACAAATACGAATCGCCTTTGACGGGGTGCCGTTTTCGCTCGAAATCAACGGAGCCGATAAAACTATTCAGACTAGCTACGCGAAAGAAAGAAAGAAAGAAAAAACGGGGTAAAGAGAATAAAAGCGTGGACAGACCGATCGTTAATATCGATGGCTATGAAACAGGGTGTGGCGCTGGAAAACAGCACAAGTACTTCGCAACAGGATCTTCAAAGTTATTCGCAGCAACCGGTACCCGCACCACCGACGGCGACGACCCACAGTCCGGCTGGCCACTACATTTATCAGCAACCGCACAGTCCTGTGCCACCGCAAAGTCCAGTTAGTATACGTGTATTCCATGTACGTCGTTCTCTCCTTTTACGCGAATATATAGTTATCAGAAACCGTGACCGTCACAACGGGTTAAATCGGCCCAAAGAGATTCATTGTCTTTTACTCGCGAACTTGACGAATGACGCGAGAGTCAATCGCCGCCGCAGATTTCCTTCGAACAACAAACGCTTTTCTTTTCTATACGAATTACAACTCGTTGATCGTTGCCGCGAAGGAAATTTCTCTGTATCGTGTTTGTTCGCAGAAGTCGTCGCAACCCCAAACACAATCGCAGCAACAGCAACTGAACTCGTTAGGTTCGTACAGGTCCTCGCAGCAGGTGAACAGGCCGTCGCCGCAATCGTCGCCTGGCCTAACGGTTCAGGTAAGCATCGACGTCGGGAAATAGTCGGGATCCTTTTGTAACGGAGAATAAAAATTGATTCGTATACTTGTTGGTTACAGGGCAGTCCCTTAAGTTACAGCAACAATCCGTCGGCGCCTCCTAGTCCCACGGGGCATCCGGGTCCACCGAATTTGACGTCGGAGAACATCGATCAGAATAGTTATTTCCTGAATCAAGCGCAAGCGGCGCTTCAACAGGATTTCGCGCACTTCACGATGGTTAGTAAAGGCGTCCGTTTCCGGCATCCCGGATCGCGCCTCTCTTTCTTTTCTACTCAGGCAACGATCCGATTTTGTTTCATCGATCGACGCGATAACCGACGTATCAAAACGTGCCGTAAGCGTTGTTCAAGTAGGACCGTTGAGAAATTTCGAATACACGATTATTCGAAATTTCGCGGCTCCACGCGCGAGAACACCGAACCATTCGAACTGAACGAATTATCGTGTTTTAATCGGATCGATATTATTTGTTTGTGCACACGAAAGGGAGTGGTAAGTACGCGAGCGATTCTACTCGTTTCTTTTTTTCTCGTAATCTCGTTGTACGGATGCTGTTGGGTATGTATTTTAATTGTTTCTACAGACAGAGGTGCGAATAACATACGATTTTCGATGTGCATGACAAGCAACGCCTTCTCAGACGCGTTCTTACGTTCACGCGCGTTTACGAATCGCGATAAATTACAAGGAACATCATGCGATCACGTTTGTTTCCGATCAAATAGATTTATCGAACCGCGACGATCGCGTATCAAGATTCTATTGGAAGTTGGACCGCCGCAGTAATTTTTCTTTCTTTCCCCTTCTTTTTAAATTGTCTTAGGACTAAGGCACGGTCTTTTTTCTTTCAGTCACGGCTCATGGATTTCTTTCGCATTTTGTTTGACGGTGACTGGCCTTCGTCGACTAAAACGAAGCTCGAAACGTATGAATTATTCTACGCGTACGAGTTAGCAGGAATCAAGTGCCGTCACTGTCGCTTTCGGCATACCGATCTCCCGTGTTTGGTTCGACGTCGTTTAAAAAGGTTGTAAATAATTATGCGAGTTAATAATCCATGAGCTGTCGGTAGCCGAGCTCGCATTGTGCGCTTGTTAACCGTTTACCGATAATCGACCGATGATCTTTGTTTTAAGAACGGCTCGCAGCTGCTTGCTCGTTTGCCCGCTTACGAACCGTCGCCAGAGACATTTATTTTTTGGGCGAAAATTGTTCGACGTATCGCTTACGACGTATCTACTAGAATTTTCTTTTCTCGACGGAACGACGTTTCATCGTGCTCATTGATCGTCCAAGTAATTTTTCATCGCGGTGCTCGCTGATCGATAAACGCAACAACGGCGGTCGCGTTGCATCTTCGAATCACGCACGCTTGTTTCGGTCGACTATAGCACCGATTCGATCCGAACGATTTCTTAACATCCTCGTACCACTCGAAATCCTAATTCTCTCTCGTTCTGCGATACATTGAAATGTTAAGCCTTGATGTTTATCTGTTGCCCGCATCCGTCAGGATTGGCCGAAATTCGCGCAGCAGCTCATGGAACTTGGTTGCACCTGGAGCACGCAGATAGAGGTGAAATAACGCCCTTAGCAAACTATATCAAACTCATTCTTCTCTTTCACCCTTCGACGACTCGAGCTTACGCCTCTCTTGCTACTGTCGCATTCTTCGCGTTTCGAATCGCGAATGCTTTATATCTATATCCTGTAAGTAGATCGGTGGAAGTAGGGGTGACAGTGCGCTGATGGTTCTAGTAGATAATCGGTGCCCTCGATGCCTATTTTCCACGGATCGTGTACACGTGTACGTACGATGTAATACGTGCCAGGAGTACTTGATTATCGCCGTAGGTTCGGGCTCCTTATATTCGATTAGTAGAATCGTGGAAGGGAGGACGAGAGAGTAGACTGTGTCGGTAGTGAAGTGCATAGCGTGATTAATTATCGATACCGAGTATGTATCGGTTTCTGCTCCCGATTCTCCACGAATCCTACGTTCGCGTATAAAGCGTACTTAGGAGTCCTTAATTTCCATTGTACGATAGGAATCCCTACGGTCAGCAGTAGACTGTTTTAGTGGATTCCTATTGCTCAACTTCTAGTTATCAACGGCAAGATAACCGAAGGTGAAAGAATTCGGAAACTGTTGTAGTACCCTCTTAACCAGGTCGGTCAATGAAAGCGTTTATCTTTCGATTCGACCCATCTTTTGTTCTTCGTTCCTTCCGCTTTACTTTTATCCTGCCCTTCTCCCTCGTCGTCTTCTTCGACCCTTCTTTATTTCGCTTCGTTCTAGCATGATTTTCCTCGTTGATCGAACGCGGGGACGGAGCAGTGTTCGCGATATATTATTAAAAGCAGAAAATCGCCTCTCCTCGTTGCTTGCTGTCCACCGTTCTCTCCCGATCCCGATTCGTTTTATCGGGAGAGCGCACGCGCCATGATTATAATCCTACCTCGATACTGACTCGTTCCTCTATATTTTTTTCTATGCCTTTTTTCTTTTTCGCTTCAGATGGACACGCCCGGATCGACCAACATGATTGGAACTTACATAGGTTCGCCGAACCACACCACCAATTACGCGCAGGTAAGTAACTCTCTTTCGAACGACGAGTCGACTGTTCTTCTCGCATAAGCGACGTTTAATTCGTTGATAATTTCTTTGTAGAACGACACGATAAATGTCGGGGGTGAATTGGGCAGCGGGGATGCTGGTTATTTCAGCACGAGTCCGCAAATGCCGTTCCAGCCTACGACCACGACCGCGACCACCACTACCACCACTCAACAACTCACACCTCAGACGCCGAACACTCCAACGATCATCCTCACCGGTGAATTAACGCATTTTCATCACGATTTTAACCACGCAAAATTTAATATCCTCGTGGACTTTTCGTCTAGATCTTTCTTGAAAAGCAACGCGACTTCGTCGATCGAATTTCATATAGATTGACCGATTCTTTTTCTTTGATTCACAGATTTCTCCGGCGCGGACGACCTGACGAATCCAGAGTTCGTGAAAGATCTGGGTACGGCGATGATGGGTGACTTTGATCCCGATCTGTTCCCATCGGACGACGCTTTGAGGCAAGGCCTCGATCCCATCGACATGGATGGTCTACAAATGCTCACCGACCCGACGATGGTCATATCTGATCCCAGCGCAGAAGCCCATTTTAGGCTAGATCGACTTTAAGGCGAGACATTTTACTCATTTTCGATTACGCGCTGACTATATTACGTAGGAATACAAATTTCTTATCTGTCCTGGTGTCGCGATTTATTCTTGGGACACTTTGACAAATGAGACAAAAAGGTTTTGCTCCTGCGGTCGCCGACGCCTTTCCTACGAGATGTCGTTTTCTAGTAAATACCTTTTATCGATCGTTCACGATCGCGATCGACGTTCTCGTTTCGTCTTAAGAATGGGAGGAACGATATTAAACGCGAGAAATCGATCGTCGTTGGAAACGCGTTAGATCGACCAACGGATCGAATCGGTCTCGTTCGTGATAAACCGTTAATTGAAGATTAAGTAAATACAAATCTTTATTAACCCTTTTTTTATTTTATACTACTTTGTACATTGTATCATGTATGATCTCTAAGAAGCACAAAACGAAATGTCTACTGATTTATACATGCTTTTGTCATATACGATTCCTAGTGAGATAACAATCTACTACTATTTAGATGAAATTATACGTGTAGAGAAAGAGGGAAAAAGATAAAAACATACACACACATACACAGACGTGGGTCGATCATGCTCCGTGTTCATCGAAACAGGGAAGAAACTAGAGCGTGGGATACCAGTAAAGACACGTACACGAGAGAAAGAGTGAGAGAGTGAGAGAAAGAGAGAGTGTGAGAGAGAGAGAGAGGGAGAGAGAGAGAGAGAGAGAGAGAGAAAATGGAGACACGTTTCTTCTTTTTCGATGGTATTTTTCCGAAAAGAGAAAAAAAAGAATGTGTTCAAGCTTTTATTTTACATTATTCTCGCCTTCGTTCGTCGCGCATCTTTGGCTCGATCGAGACTCGAAAAAGTCATTCGACGCTTCCCTTCTACATGTTCTATCGGAAAAGTAACAAGATTGATTTCTTCAAAGATTGTACGCACGCGATCTCCGTTCAGTTTGCAGCGTCGTTCCGCACGATAGAATGTTAAAGACAACTATATATATATATATGTACACACATACACACACGCATATATATATATTATATACATATGTAAGAGAATAAGATGTGTAAAACCGCGAAGACGAGTGTACGCGGTCGTCAATTGTTTTTTGAAAGTAACGTAAAATTCTATACTTTGTATACACGTTGAATAATTAAGAATTAATTAGGCGCGTGCACGTTAGAATTAAATTCGACTAAAATCGAGAAAAAAAGGCACGGAAATCACGTGGTCACGTCTACCGGGTAGATCGTGGTGCACGTCTAAGAAGTGTAGACAACGGCAGTTCGACCAAAGTTGGGCACTTAAATTTTTGAAGTAAAGACTTCGATATATTGGAAATTAATATAATCTAAAAGATTGCCGCAGTATATTCGAAGGTGCTAAGAAGAATAACGAATTACAGAAATCTTTTATACCCGTAGAATTTTATTGGTACGCAGAGATTTTATTGTATCGAACGAGAAGCGAAAAACTGTTTCATCGAAGTAATGTATATTAGTTCAAAGTCTGCTAGCTCGGTATCATCCGGTTCTAGAAATGAACGTTTCAAAGAGTCTCGAGTTACTCTCGGTCTAGAGTAACTTCGTTTGCGATATTATAAAAATATTTATGTTATGAATTTAAAAATCAAAGGCATAAATCCTGGTGTCCGTGCTGGATCCGCAGCCACGAAACGGTTAGTCGCTTTTCGTCGAAAAGTTTTTAATAGAGTTTTATTGAATTGACATTTCACAGAGTTACCTAAACGTTTGTTGAGAATATGAAGAAAGTTTATGCCTCGCCGCGTTTGTTGTTAACGTTCTGACGAGTCTGCTATACATAACCGAGTGTACTGCCTATTGTGCCTGAGCACAATGTTCAATCGATTTTCAAGAGTTAATTAGAAGCGCGCGAGATCGACGGCAATTTTGAAACATCGATCAATCGAGTAGATACAGTTGTATTTATACCCTAACGTTAACGTTGACTTCGATAACTGTGTCTCGCGCGGAAGGAAAAGAAGGAACTCTGTAAGAAAGTTAACGTGTTAAGATGGAACTTTCTTCCCTCCGATTCGTTTGATCTGCTCGCGAGACGGTGCCAAAACGCGTAGATATCGTCGTTCTAGATTATAAGATCATTCTACCGATTCGTAATGAATGTACGATATAAATGCCGTGGTTCACGCTGGAAATTTTGAGAATTCGTATGAAATTATCGTATCGCGTGGTGCCACCTAACGAAAGTTTCGACTCTGCGGCTGTGATTCTCAAAACTTTCAGATTGACTCGTTTACAAACGATAAGAGTTTCGATCGAACGCGTGTATCGTCCCCTTTTCGTAAATCTGTAGCTTTGTAATGGTACTTAAATCGAGCGATCGCGATTTCGATTATATCGCGAACTTTATAAGTTGATCTTAATTTCGTTTCTACAAAACATTTCCTATCTGGAAGGGATCAAAGAATAATCGAAACGGTTAAATAGTTATCGAATACAATATTGCCCCTTCGTAGCATTGTATCGTTCTCACTGCTTCCTCGGCATTCCTCAACTATAGTAAACTCCAAGAACTTTCGTGGAAACTAAGTAGGGAACAAGTAGCGTTACGTGTTAAAACGAATACGGCCGCGAGCAACGATGACTTCCTTCGGTAAAGGAGATCCTCGTTACTCGTACACTGTACATTCGCGTGTATAGATAGCTTCGAAGAAGTTACACGAGCGATAGAGGCCATCTATGCTCGCAGTTGTACTTAAACGAGAGCACGTATGGCTTAGACGAGTAGTGGGAGACCTTTTTAACCTAAGGAAGGCATCTATGCACGCGACTGTACTTAAAGGAACAACAGTGAAACACGGTAGTGGGACGTGCCTACATCCTTCACCGAAAAAAAACCATGCACGCGAGTGCATCTTGGTCTTGTAATCGTTGTGATAAATAGAGATGGATCCAAAATTTGCGTCGCTCGAAAAAGTAATATTGTCCTCTTTCTCTGATATGTCTCCGTCTCTCTCGCACACGTACATACACACACACGCTCTTTCTCGGTCAAGCAAGCGTCTCGTAAACGATTAACGCGTCGGTTCGTTGTTGTGTTCGACAAGAAATCAGCCCCCGATTCAAGAGTAAATTCGACAAAGTCACGAAAAGAGAGAGGAAACAAATGGCAAAGGACATAGAAAAGCAGTTGGTCTCGTATCGAATGAGTTTAAAGAACATACAATGGAAAGAAGAAAGGAAGGAAGGAAACATTGTAATATTTGTATATAGCCATGTTATTGTGGTAAAGAAATTACCTTATATTATTATAAATATTACGCATATATATACATATATACGTGTACGTATATGTATATATATATAATATATATATATATTAAGTCTGTAATACCGTTACGTTGTTGTACCATATTATTGTGAACACCATTTCTCAGACATCGATTTTTTTAAATAAAAACAAAGTCTCTATCGATATGCACTAAGTACCAAGCAGAGTGTCCGTCGCAAATCCACCGTACATCGCCAAAATTCGAGTCGATTCGATTTTATCATTTAACCGTGGCTTTTTCGCCTCGTCTCGCTCTTTACGTTGCCATTTTTTTTTTTTACTAATCCATTGATCCATCATATAACGAAACAAAAGACACTTTAATGACTTTCAAGGCGAACAAATAACGAAACGATCGGTTCAGAATCTTTGATTATACAAAAGTCAATTCTTTAACTGGAACTTACAGGTTCGTCGCTTAGTCGCAGTAGATCGTGTAATTCGTTATCGAATAAGAACGAACGTTTCGGAAAAAGAAAAACGTTCTTAGCGGAAACGAGAAGTGGTGAATTTTTTTTTATTTAACGATCGCTGCCCAAACGTCTCGTTGACCAGCCTTTTCGTCAGACTGATGTTCACTCTTATCGTTAGTTTATCCAATTAAGGATCAATTAGCACGAGCAATTCGCCCGTTAAGTCAGTGTCCACGATCAGAGACGCGACGAAGGAGCTTCGTGAAACGCGTGCGTTCGACGTGTCGCGTTAATGTTCAGGCGTACCAGTCATTTCTTACCGCAAACATTTCAACATACGCGTTTAACACCACAGGGATACCGACGCGTAGCAAACAACAGTATATTCCTTCCTTTAATTTCACCCTTAGAAAACGTACATTGAAGTCGGATATATACCGTGGAAATTCAGAATAAACAATCCCTGAAGTCCAAATTAGGAAACCTTGGATCATTTCACAATTACCAGGTGTTCCTACCATCCCTGTGGAGGTTAACGCGTAGGCTGCCTTGGACGCGAACGATGACTTCGTAAATTTTATACGATAGAACGATTTAAAAAAAAAAAGGAAAAGACAAAAAGGCAATTTTAAAAAAGGTTACACTGCGAATCGTGGATGCGATACGACGCACGCGTATAAAAAAAGACTAAAAGAACGTCACCTTCGACATTTTTCACACGACACCGTGGTCCTCCTGCCCGTCGATGTGTAAATAATTGTTTCATATTGTTGTAAAGTAGAACGATGATTGAGGAGAGATGGATGACGACGAGACAGTAGGAGACGGCGGGTCTCGATTGCCGAGAATAAAAAAGAAAGTCTCCACCCGTAATGTATGCGCACAAAAAATAAGAGGGTTTAACGATCTTATGTGTCTTCTTCGTGTTTAATCGTATCTTTGTTATTAAATCTTGAACGTCTACGAATGCGTCTTTCTATTTGCCTTACATAGGTTTACTCCTTTCATTCTCATGTTTATTAATTCGACGCTTCTTGCAGAAATATATCGCCAGGACCACGAAGAATCGGACTGAAAGGATCAACGGTGCATCTGTACTATCATTATCTATATTCTTATTTCCGTATTCTGTATCGGAATTATACAACGTTAAAAGTAAGATTTAAAGGGAGAAAAGCGAGGACGCTTTTGTGACAGACTATATCTACTGTTGATCGCGATTAATCTTCCAACTTGAATCTAGAGCCAATTGCGTATGTACGAAAAGAAAATGATTGTTCTGTATGCTCAGGTTTTCGAGGACGAAGGTCGAAGTACTCGTTTGATCCTTTTAAACCGAGCCAAAGCCACGCCCGGTTCACCGTGCAATCCACCAAACGCTTCTCCGTATTCCGTTGCCAATGGACCGAGTTCTTCGCCGTTTCCCGTCAACGAGGCCACGGAGCCAGACTTTTTCTCCGCTAGAGAATCCTGTTCCGCTAGCATCTTCTGAAAAGCGTAGGTTACGCGTTCTTACGATGCATCGATATTACTGCATAGTCGTATTACCTTTTCGTCGTCAACGTCTCCGTGCAAACTGGAATCTGCGCTGCGTTGTGCATGAACCAGCGTCGAGCTCTTGGACCTTCTTCTTCTCTTCTTACCCGCGTTCCTGACCAGGAACACTTGTCTTGGATTGTCTCGTTTCTGTAGAGATGTTTCCCTCAAAATAGTACGCTTCTTAGGCGTTTCTCGGATTAATTTTTTAGTCGGATCCGATTCTTTGCTTTGCACTTTATCCTGACCATCGTTCTGTCTCTTCTTCCGTCTCGTCGACCTTTTGTCGGCGTTCTCGTGCTCTCCGGACTTCCTAGAGTTCTGCGTAGACCTCTTAACTAGATTCTCGCGTTTCTGAGACTCGGATTCAGAAGCTTGCTCTTCGTCCTCGTCCTCTAACTCGTGTAACTCGTCGAATTTCGCGTTATTCTCCTCGATCTCCCTGATACGTTGTTTCTCCTCGATCTCTCTCTTGATCTCCTCTTTGATCGAGTCGATCTTCCTCTGGATCCGCTCTTCGACCCGTTTCTCGTAATCGCTGTCTTGATCTTGCGGAACCGTCTCGACATTCTTCGAAGAATCTAATTTAGCAACGTCCTTGGATGCAGAGGTGTCTGCAGCTCCGTTGACATTCGTCGCTTCTGGCCTCGAAATTTCTGCAACCTTCGATTCGTCCACTTTGGAGGAACTTTTCAGACCCGACGAATCGCTGACCAATTGGTTAGCGGCTTTGTTGTCATTCGACAAACCGATTTCCTCTCGTGCTTTTTGGTCCGCAGAATCCTCCTGGGTCTCTTGACTCAAAGTTTTCGGATTTTCGTCGATCTTCGCTACTGCCTGCTCGTTTAGCGCCGACGTTTGCTTAGATGCATCACCCTCCCGATCGGCACTCACCTTCGAATCGATTTCTTGCTTTTCAGTAGCGTCCCTCTTCAAATGTTCCTGATCGTTCGAGTCGACTTTGTTAATCTGACTATCCGACGACTTGCCTCTTCCTTCCGAGACGATGTCTCTGTTCATAGAAACATCCTCGACTTTCGCGTCATTGACAAAGTCGCTTGGACTCGCGACGTCTTCGGTTTTCGCAGAAACCTGTTGTGCTTCCGATTCCTTCGAGTCATCGTGCTCTCTCTTTACTCTGGAGTCACCGCGAACCTTCTTCTTGTCGATTTCGTCGTCAACGGATTCTTGTTCGTCCACTGCCGCGTCTTCCTCGGACTCGATGAAATCTTCGTCGAGTTCCTCGTAGTCTTCGGCTCCGGAGATGCCTCTTTTCGCCACGTCTTTCGTTTCAAAATCATCGTAAAGGCTGGATCGTTCTTCCTGATCGATGAATCTGTCCGAATTTTCGCCAACGAGGAACTGACGGCTTCTGTACCCAGATTCTTTGTTCTTCGAAGTTGCCGCAGACTCGTCCTCGACTTCGTCGGCGTATTCGGACGCGTCCTGATCAGCGGAAGTGTCGTAATCGGTGAATCGTTTGTTCGGAAGCTTCGGGAGATCTCGAGAAGATCGTGACTTTGATGCCGCTTTTTTAAATTTTAACGACCGTTTCTCTTCGTTTAGAGACTTTTCGTTAGCCTTCTTGTTCTCTCGTTTCACTCGAACGCTTTTGCTTTCGATATCGATCGCATCGTTTTTCTTTTCAATCGGTCCTCGGAAAATTTGCTCGATCGAGGGATCTATCTTGTTGCGTGGCTCCTCGGTCGCACAGTTACTAATTTCCGTGTTACTAATTAGAAGAATGAATTTGGAAAGTAAGTTAAAGGTTAGTTGAACCGATCATATAATTCGAATAATCGAAGCGTTTAGATTTTGAATCGTACCGAATACTTTCAAGCGTAATACCTAATTTTTATGCATTTCGTACCTGATGATGTCCTTAACGAATTCCGAACGGCAATAAGACACAATCGAATGAAGCAACATCGACAGGACAAGAATGTACATGCAGTTTAAACGGAATCGTCCGTTCATGTTGTTACACAGGAGACATCTTGACGTAAACTATTTTTTATCGAACAGGTGATATACTTTCATATTTGGATTATTTTCGAAGAGATAAATCGTATGTCGGACGATATCGGTGCTCTATGAATGAAGCAACTACCAGTCGATTTTGATCGAGACTAGTGTTGTTGCGATCGACTCGATGTAGTCATGGCAATTTGAAATCTTTTACCGTGATGTTGTGCTCGATAGAATCGGGTACGTCGAGGAATAAGTTACAGCGTGTACAAAATAATTCTTTTTATTGTTCATAACCCTCGTTCAGCTACACACGTTAATATAATGCGATATGTACAGACAGACTGAACTTTGCTGTTATCAACGATTCGAGTCGCGATGATACGTTTTTCTAAAAATGCAATGTTACACAAACATTTCAGTATTATTTTCTATTTTCGTACCAACAACCGGTACGTTACTCGACTATGTAGAAACGATTCGTTTTCGCGCGATGTGTACGTACACATGTATATATGTATGTATGTATGTATATTTACAGTAATTTTGTGACTGTCTCCTATTTTATAAACAAGTGTGTATATAATTCAATCTTTCGCTTTCACTCGATGTTATGTAAACCCAGCATACATACTCGAGTTTTGATAAATTTAATGCACGAAACTTTGCACTGTCTATGGAGCTAGTTTGTTCGCACGATTTGCGAACAGCCCTTGACCTCGCGCGAACTGTTAAATTCGTCGAATGATTCACGCGTAAAATAAGGAGTTAGATACTTTATTTAATTAGGTAGTAACCAAAAAGAATTTAACTCGTAGCTTCTCGTCTCTACCTAATACTCGAGGGAATGAAAAGATAAAAACAAATAGAAAAATCAGAAAATAATTGTAAACGTCTTTATTCGTTCGAAAATATATATAAACCAAAATAAAACGAAGAAACAAAAGATAATAATCCATTTGATGAATGGAACACGCGTTGCAGCATCGACAGGATCAATGCAATAACCAGATCTTTTCGAGCAGACCTGGAATCAACGTCGCAACGGTTACAATAAACTTATTAAAGCACGGAGGTTAATCGTAACTGACAGAACGTTAAGTGGAAAAATAGGAGAGGGTGATAAGACTGAAACATGGCTGTAGCCTACAAAAGAAACGATTAAATATAAAAAACGAAGCAGACGCTACGCGTGACGACGCCTATATATAGCCTAAGTGTCGATCGAATCTGATACAAAGATCAAGTTCGCCCACGTATCACGGATTTAAGCTCTAGTTATTGCTTTGTAATACACGTGGCTTAAAGTGAAAAGAAATCTCAATGAACTCTTTCACGATAAATGGCGTATGATTAATACGTTAACTGCCGTGGAAATCATCGGTGACCGGTGCCTCGAACATAATTCGGTAGAACGTTTTATAAAATAGAAGAAAAGAAAATACTTTCGGTGACAGATTGTCAATTTTTATTGTGGCAGTCAACGTGTTAATATCGTATCTTTGTTTATCCTGTACAAGGATAAAACCGTATACGAAGGATGTCTTTAAACCGATTGTAAGATCGATACAATACAGTTTCTACTTATAAATACCAGCTGTCTCCAAATATGACCGTAGATGGACAGATATCGTTCGAACGATGCGGGTTTGTCACAGCCCACGATTCACTTTACTCGTAGAACGCGAATAACTTTAAACAAACGAACAATTTTTGTTGATAATAAACAAAAAATATAATCTCTCGAAAATTTTTCACGCATCGATTGCCATGCGAGCACCACGAATTCAAGATGCTGAAATAATATAAAAAATAACAGTAAAAGAGTACAATATTTTTGCATAGCATCGCTATTATATTCGTAACAGTGTAAACTAATAACTAAAATGCTTTTTTTTGCGATTATCACGCAGCAACGAAAGCGTAGCCGTTTTCACTGCCGAGTGTATTTTATAATAAATAAAAGTATTCGTTTGACGATCAGTATTCTTCATCCGTTACCCTTGCAAACACGTACAATCCCGGTCGGCAAACTAATTCGAAACGACCGGCATATAGAACTTATGCTTCGGAGTATCTCTGGTATGTTTGAAAGGAGCTTGTTTTGCCTCTATGAGCGCCGCCGGACAGGGTCCCTTGTGTCTCGGCACAAACTCTTTTTTGTACATGCTCGAAGTTACCGTACTGCCGTCACCCAGACTAATATGCGACACGTTCGACTGCCTCTGAACTCGTTCGACCTTCTGGTTGCTGAAGTTTCCGTAACTTTTAGCCTCGCTGTGCGAATAAAATTTCCCGCCGACGGTCAAATTATCCTGGCGCACGATTCTCTGTGGACGCTCGTAAGTGGACGAGGCCCAAGGGTTACCATCTTTATTGCTGCGATGAAGAGAGGTGAAACTTCGTCTGTCGTTGCTCTGACTCGAGTTACTGATGTATTGTCCGCTTTCGGCCAAGTTCGAGATACTCTTCTTCTGATCGGCGGCCGTCGAGGAGATCGTGTGGAGTGCCTCCGTCGACGAAGTCACTCCGCGTCTGTGAAGCACCGCGTTGGTCACGTCCGCGGCCGACGACGAGATCACGTTCTTTCTGTGGTGGCTGGTCTTCGTGAACGTGCTGTCCAGCTGCGATCTTTCCATCGATTGACCGCTAATAGCTTGTCTAAATTCGGCGCTACTCGTTTGATTCGAGTTGTAGCGAGCTTGACTGGAGATCGTGTGCTGGTCGTGTTGCTGCTTATGCCTCGTCGCCATTTGTCGCGACTCCACGTGTTGAGTGTTCACGTAGTCGCGTTTACTGCTTTCTTGCTGATGTCGTTCCAACTGCTTTTGATGTTGTTCGCTGTGTCTAGTATCCACCGCGTGACCACGATGACTCTGGACATCGGTGATCGTCTTGTCCTCCAATTGTCGTCGAGTTTGAGCCACGTTTTGCGACCTCAGGTATTCGCTCGAATGCACCCTTTGGTGATGCTCGTTCGTGTACTGATGGCTGTTTCTGGAATCAATCTGAGTATGATGTTGAACGTTTTGAGAGGATATTCTTTCGGCAAGTTGCGCGGAAGTGGTCTTCCTGCCCGTTACGACCGTGGTTCCGTTTTCGAGAGTCTTGGACTCCGTGGACACGTGCCTATCGCTGTCCGATTCCATGCTACTGATCTTGGCCGCGACTTCCTTAGCGGTGCGTTTCGTGAAGGTGTTGAAGTTTCTTTGATGGCTAGTAGACACGGCGGAAACATCGTCGCCCAGGCTGATCGAGGATTCCATGTGATGTCTACGACTGACGGTTCTGCCGGTCGGAGAGTCGTCTTTCTTGGTGGGTGTAAAGGTGTCTCTGTTTGTCGTTTTTGTTTCCATGGAGCCGGTGCTGATCTTCAGGTTATCTTCGTGGCGTTTAATTTCGGCGCGTTCTCCACGCATCACCGTGTAAGTGGACCTCTGCGAGGTGGTGTCTTGGAAATCACCGGTCATCTTCAGATTATCCTCGCGACGGATCACTTCTGCCTTTTCGGCCCTTCTTGGCACGAAGTCGTCTCGAGGTCTTCCTACGAAATCTCCTTCCGGCTTCAGATTGTCCGCGTGTTTGATGGGCGATCTTCTCTCCGCCGGACCTTGCGGAGATTTCTGAGGGCGATCGAACTCTCCTTCGGGACGCAGATTATCAGGATGCTTCTTACCTGGCGTGCGTTCAACGACCACGGCATGCGTGTAATCGTCCTTGCGTCTCACGTCGATGAATTCGCCCTCGATTTTCAGATTGTCCTCGCGTTTCCGCACATCCACTCTCTCGATCCTGCTAACCTTCTTATAGTCGTCCCTCGATCGACGGACGTCGATCTCTCCTTCCATTTTCAGATGATCTTCGTGACGACGTATCTCCATACGTTCACCGTTGACGTGTCTATAATCGTCCTTGGACGAGGGGCTGACGTCCATGTCGCCTTCCGGTCGCAGATTATCTTGAGGTTTCTTCACCGGCGCCCGTTCGCCTCGTTTGGGAGAGTAGTCATCCTTGGGCACGATGTAGAAGTCGCCCTCTGGATGAAGGTTATCCTCGTGACGAATCGGAGTACGCCTTTCAGCTGGTCCAACTTTTTGAGGCGTTCGTTTGGCAAACTCGCCCTCCGGATGCAGATTATCCTTAGGCCTCTTAACGTCGGCGCGTTCTCCTCTCGTCGGGGTCTCCTGTCGAGGTCTTCCAACGAATTCTCCTTCTGGATGCAAATTATCAGGGTGCTTGATGGGCGATCGCCTTTCTGCCGGACCAACCGGGGACTTCGCCGGCCTCTCGAACTCTCCTTCGGGTTTCAAATTGTCCTTTGGTTTCTTAATCGGTGCTCTCTCGCCCTTCGTAGGTGTAGACGCTTTGGGACGTTGAGCAAACTGTCCTTCCGGCTTCAGGTTGTCCGGATGTTTAATCGGTGTCCTTCTCTCAGCGGGACCAACCGGAGACTTTTCTGGTTTCTCGAACTCTCCCTCCGGACGAAGGTGATCCTCGTGTCTGACGATTTCGCTGCGTTCTCCGCGGGTAACTCTGTAGTCGTCTCGTCTTCGAATGTCCACGAATTCACCCTCGATCTTCAAATTATCTTCTCGGCGGACAACGTCGACGCGCTCCACCTTGGTGATACGTTTATAGTCGTCGCTGGACCGGCGAACGTCGATGTCACCTTCCATCTTCAAATTATCTCTGTGAATAACGATCTCGGTTCTTTCACCCTTGGTCGGTTTATAGTCGTCCTTAGGCTTGCCAATGAATTCACCTTCGGGCTTCAGATTGTCCTTAGGCTTCTTCTGAATCGGTCTCTCGGCTCGCTTCGGTGTAAAATCATCCTTGGGTCGTCCCACGAACTCTCCTTCGGGGTGAAGATGATCCTCGTGACGTATCGGCGTTCTTCTCTCCGCTGGACCAACCGGAGTCTTCTCCGGCCTCTCGAAAGTGCCTTCCGGTTTCAAGTTATCCTTCGGTTTCTTCACGTCTGCTCTTTCGCCCCGTTTTGGCGCCTGTTCCTTGGGTCTTCCGATAAATTCACCCTCGGGTTTCAGATTGTCTTCGTGCTTGATGGGTGATCGTCGCTCGGCTGGTCCAACGGGTTTCTTTACCGGTTTCTCGAAATCTCCCTCTGGTTTCAAATTATCTTTCGGCTTCTTGATTTCCGGCCTTTCGGCTCTCTTTGGCGAATAATCGTCTTTCGGACGACCCTCGAACGGACCCTCGGGTCTCAGATTGTCCTGATGTTTCACCACTTCCACGCGTTCGCCTTTCACCACCTTGAAATCGTCTCTACTTCTCATGTCCGTGAATTCGCCTTCCATTCGTAAGTTATCCTGATATTTGGTCACCTCTGCCCTCTCGCGAATCAAGAAGTCGGTGTACTCGTCCCTTGATCTGTACGTCTCGATGTTGCCTTCCATGCGAAGATTATCGGTTCGCTTTATAACATCGACTCGTTCTCCGCGCACGGGAACAAAGTCATCCTTGGGTCTACCTTCGAACGGCCCTTCAGGTTTCAGATTGTCCTCTGGTCTCTTTACGTCCGCGCGTTCTCCTCTAGTCGGTTTATAATCGTCTTTCGGTCGACCAACAAACTCTCCTTCCGGTTTCAGGTTATCGGGACGCTTAATGGGTGTGCGTTTCTCGGCAGGTTTCACGGGAGACTTCTCTGGACGCTCGAACTCACCCTCTGGACGTAGATTATCTTGAGGTCTCTTCACGTCTGCCCGTTCGCCACGTTTTGGAGCTTCTTCCTTCGGTCGTCCTAAAAACTCGCCTTCCGGCTTCAGATTATCCGGATGTTTGATAGGCGTTCTCTTCTCTGCCGGACCGATTTTCTTCGGCTGAGGTTTCTCGAACTCTCCTTCAGGATAAAGATTATCCTTCGGTTTCTTCACGTCGGCTCTGTCGCCCTTTCGCGGAGCTTCCTCCTTCGGTCTTCCGACAAATTCACCTTCTGGCTTCAAATTATCTTTCGGTTTTTTCATCTCGGGCCTCTCGGCTGGTTTGTATTCTTCGTGTTCCGGTCTTTCGAACTCGCCTTCTGGTTTCAGGTTATCTGGATGCTTGATCGGTGAACGCCTTTCCGCCGGGCCAACAGGTTGCCTCTCTGGTCTCTCGAAGGTGCCTTCCGGTTTCAAGTTGTCTTCGGGCCTCCTGACATCCGCTCGTTCGCCTCTGGTCGGCGTCTCCTCTTTTGGACGCCCAATAAATTTACCTTCGGGCTTCAAATTGTCTTGCGGCTTCTTGACAATTGGTCTCTCGGCGGGTCTAAATTCTTCCGGCTTAGGCCTCTCGAATTCTCCTTCGGGTTTTAAGTGATCGGCGTGTTTGATAGGACTCCTCCTCTCCGCCGGTCCAACCGGTTTCTTTTCAGGTATCTCGAACTCGCCTTCAGGTTTTAAATTGTCCTGAGGCTTTTTGATCGGAGCCCTTTCGCCTTGTTTCGGAGCTTCTTCCTTCGGCCTGCGAACGAAATCTCCTTCCGGTTTCAAATTGTCTTCTGGTTTCTTGATTTCTGGCCTTTCTGCTCTCTTGGGAGAGTAATCGTCCTTTGGACGACCTTCGAACGGACCTTCTGGCTTCAAATTATCGGGATGTCTCACGATATCGACGCGTTCTCCTCTCACAACCTTGAAGTCGTCCCTGGTTCTTGTATCGATAAATTCACCCTCCATTCGCAGATTGTCTTGATACTTTGTAACTTCGGTTCTTTCTCGAATCAAGAAGTCCGTGTACTCGTCTCTGGACCGGTAGGTTTCGATGTCTCCTTCCATTCTCAGGTTATCGGTATGCTTCACTATTTCGACTCGCTCACCGCGAACAGGTTGATAATCGTCCTTGGGTCGTCCTTCGAACGGACCTTCGGGCTTCAAGTTGTCCTCGGGTCTTTTAACCGGTGCTCTTTCCCCTTTGGTAGGAGTGAAATCGTCTTTGGGTTTGCCAACGAACTCGCCCTCTGGTTTCAGATTATCCGGATGTTTGATGGGCGTTCTTTTTTCAGCTGGTCCGAACTTCTCGGGACGAGGACGCTCGAATTCCCCTTCCGGTTTCAGGTTATCCTTCGGTTTCTTCACCTCCGGCCTCTCGGCCGGTCGATACTCATCGTGATCAGGACGCTCGAAGTCACCTTCGGGTCGAAGGTTATCCGGATGTCTAATAGGGACCCGTCTTTCTGCGGGACCTACCGAGGGCTTTTCCGGTCTATCAAATTCACCTTCAGGATACAAATTGTCTTGAGGCCTCTTAACCTCTGGACGTTCAGCTCTCTTAGGAGAAAAGTCATCCTTCGGCCTTCCTTCGAATGGACCTTCCGGCTTCAGATTGTCCTCTGGACGTCTCACGTCAGCCCTTTCGCCCTTCGTTGGTTTGTAATCGTCCTTTGGACGTCCTTCGAAAGGACCTTCAGGATACAAATTGTCTTGAGGCCTCTTAACCTCTGGACGTTCAGCCCTTTTAGGAGAAAAGTCATCCTTTGGCCTGCCTTCGAATGGACCTTCCGGTTTCAAGTTATCCTCTGGACGTCTCACGTCAGCCCGTTCGCCCTTCGTTGGTTTGTAATCGTCCTTTGGACGTCCTTCGAAGGGGCCCTCCGGTTTTAAATTGTCTTGAGGCTTCTTAACTTCTGGACGTTCTGCTCTCTTTGGAGAAAAATCATCCTTTGGCCTTCCTTCGAATGGACCTTCCGGTTTTAGGTTGTCCTCTGGACGTCTCACGTCGGCCCGTTCGCCTCTCGTTGGTCTGTAATCGTCCTTTGGACGACCTTCGAAGGGGCCCTCGGGTTTCAAATTGTCTTGAGGTCTCTTCACCTCTGGACGTTCAGCCCGCTTAGGCGAAAAGTCGTCTTTCGGTCTTCCTTCGAAAGGACCCTCTGGCTTCAGGTTATCCTCTGGACGTCTCACGTCAGCTCGTTCACCCTTCGTTGGTTTGTAATCATCCTTTGGACGTCCCTCGAAAGGACCTTCAGGTCGAAGGTTATCGTAATGTTTGATAGGCGTTCTCCTTTCTGCCGGTGTGAATGGAACGCGTTCTCTATCTGGAAACTCCCCTTCGGGGAACAAGTTATCCGGATGACGTACGATCGACGCTCTTTCACCGGGTCCATACGGCGCAGGCATAGGCCTTTCGAAGTCTCCTTCCGGAAACAAATGATCCGGGTGTCTGATGGGAGTACGTCTCTCACCGGGAGTGTATACATCCCTAGGATGATCTTCAAATTCTCCTTCTGGTCGAAGATTGTCTTTCGGTCTCTTAACCTCCGGACGTTCTGCAGTTTTCGGCGTAAAATCATCTTTCGGGCGACCTTCAAAAGGTCCTTCCGGTTTCAAGTTATCCTGTGGCTTCTTCACCTCGGGTCGTTCAGCCCTTTTAGGCGAGAAGTCGTCCTTTGGTCTTCCTTCGAATGGACCCTCGGGTCTTAAGTTGTCTTCCGGCCGTTTCACATCGGCTCTTTCGCCTCTGGTCGGTTTGTAGTCGTCTTTCGGCCGACCTTCGAAAGGTCCTTCCGGCCTTAAGTTATCCTGCGGCTTCTTCACCTCGGGACGTTCCCCGCGTTTTGGTGAATAGTCATCCTTTGGTCGACCTTCGAATGGTCCTTCTGGTTTTAAGTTATCTTCAGGACGCTTGACATCGGCACGTTCACCTCTGGTAGGTTTGTAATCGTCCTTAGGTCGACCCTCGAAAGGTCCTTCAGGTTTCAAGTTGTCCTCCGGTTTTTTAACTTCCGGTCTCTCTGCTCGTTTCGGCGAGAAGTCATCCTTTGGCCGTCCTTCGAAAGGTCCTTCGGGTCTCAAATTATCTTGCGGTTTCCTTACTTCGGGGCGTTCGGCTTTTTTAGGCGAAAAGTCGTCCTTTGGTCGTCCTTCGAAAGGTCCTTCTGGTCTCAAATTGTCTTCTGGTCGTTTAACGTCAGCTCTTTCTCCCCTCGTTGGTTTGTAATCGTCCTTGGGCCTACCTTCAAAAGGTCCTTCTGGTCTCAAATTGTCTTGTGGTCGTTTAACGTCAGCTCTCTCTCCTCTGGTTGGTTTGTAATCGTCCTTGGGTCTACCTTCGAAGGGTCCTTCCGGTCTCAAATTGTCCTCTGGTCGTTTCACCTCCGGCCGTTCTCCACGTTTCGGCGAGTAATCGTCTTTAGGACGTCCTTCGAAAGGCCCTTCTGGTTTCAGATTGTCTTGCGGTCGTTTCACGTCTGCCCTTTCACCTCTGGTTGGCACGTAATCGTCCTTAGGTCTTCCCTCGAAAGGTCCTTCTGGTCGTAGATTATCCTTGGGCCTCTGTGGTTCTGGTCGTCTTGTGATAGCTGGTACCGTGTAGTCATCCTTGGTATGAGGTACACCCTCGAACGGTCCTTCGGGTTTCAAATTGTCGTCTCTTCTGATTACGGCCGTGCTTCTGTAATCGACTTGATCGAAACTTCGATATTCTTCCTGCGTGGTCGTAATGTTCTCCATCGTATCGGTTTTGCTGTAAAACCTGTCATCTTCTTCCGAGTAGGTGAGTCGCTGCCGAGGCTGCCACTCGACGTTATCGTAGCTATGGAAATCCTCTTTAACATGAGAGGTCCCCTGTGCAATTCAGAATTTTTATTCGTATTAGATTGTAACTAAATGCGATCGACTAAATTGAAAAGATATGAATACGTGTAGTACCGTGAATTCACCCTCTCCCACCGTGAGGTTATCCGTTCGTTTGATGATCTCGGCACGCTGTACTGTTCGATGATCGATATACTCGGATCTCGCGGTGGTTTCGTCGATAAACTCACCCTCGACCTTCGTGTAAGTGTTGCGACGTATCGGAGTTGGTCGTTCGCCGGGTGTTCCGGTAAACACCAGCTCCGTGGTGGTGGTACCTACGTAAATGGTAACAGGTTTCTATAAGATATTTAAATTCCTAAAGTGCGCTGTTCTTATAGATTAACTATAATTGCGCTATAGTTTTCGTGTAGCTATAGATTGCTTATGGCTGCAGTAACGTATCTATCGTATGTACTAAAGGCTATAAAAATTGATCGACGAAACAGTTTCTTCGCTACTCACTGTCGAATTCTCCTTCGGGTCGGAGATTGTCCTGAGGTCGCTTAACCGGTGCGCGATCTCCATATTTCGGAGCTTCTTCTCTGGGTCTTCCAACGAATTCACCTTCCGGCTTCAAGTTATCCTGCGGTCTTTTCACCGGAGCCGATTCTCCTCTCGTTGCCACGTAATCGGTTCGTCTTTGCCCGATAAAATCACCTTCCATGCGAAGGTGATCCTCATGGTGGTATAGCGTCTGTCTGTCGACCCGTTTCTCGTCGAATTCTTCCCGATAAGATGTTACCGCTTGAATCGGTTCGTCCCGTGGAAGGTCCAAATGATCCTGGGGCAAATTGTGTGGGCAACGATGTCGCCTGAAAATTTCGTTCAAAGTTATTCGCGAATGAACACTTTAATCGACAAAATGATAAAAAATTTCAAGAATCGTCCATCTAGTTCAGGTTTTTCAATCCGAATTTAACAACGGATTCGATGTCACGCGAAAATCCTAATTGGACGTCAAGTCTACATCCACGATCGTTCGCGAATATTCATGGCCGTCGTCCATAGTGGATTACCACCGTTAAACCATTGATAAACTGGTACTGGTGATTACGGTCGTGAACGTCACCGCAGTCACGCGCGTGATCATTCTGCCAGCGACACAAGTTGCGTGTTACCCCTTTCACGATCGCTTCGCTACATTTCGTGCACACCGTACGCTGTTGGATAACTGTAATTGAAATACGTACCGAGCAAACGTCTTCCCTCTATTCGATTATATTATTTTCTTCAAGGAACCAGGCACCGAGTGTCGACGAGTTAATCTCGACCTAATTTGCAAATCTTTATCCTCTTTGATCAATCGTCGTCCTTGACCTGATCAGACATCGATCGTATCGACGAAGAATCGCTTTCATTGTCATCGGGTTGAAGCGACCTTCGAGCGATTTCGTACAAGGTGAGATGGGCACTGCTTATCGGTGCCATCTCGATATCCTTGATTTTTCGGCCGAACAATGGTTATCCTTCGTGGCGAACCGCGATCGCCTTAAATTCGAAATCGTGATCACCTTGCCCCGAGAGAAGCTGTATCATCGAGTTCGAATAAGGAAGAAGAACGAACGATCGATCGTGATTGGACAGGAACAACATCCCTTAAAAGGATTTGTCTGGTGTCCCACTTTTTTCGATCGTAGGCATACCTTCGTACTCCCTTTCCAGAACGTTTCACGAGGAAAGATCGACTTTAGAGAACGACGGCATGAATCATTATTACGTAAGCTTTTCATATACGCGAATCGTAAGAGGAAAGATATTTTAGCGCACTATTAACTACGAAAAGAAAGTACAAAAAGTAATTAGTATGAGGATTCGTGGACGATTAAAGGTACGATGCGAAGAAGAACTGGTGAAAAAAAGAAGAACGATAAGTCGAATAGTAATTCAGTTAATTTACATCTTTAACCGAGTCGCGTTTTGTATTCCAACTTCGTTAACTCTGTTCGAAAGTGGGTCGCGTCGCGATATTCGCTCGAAACGAACGTATCTCGGATAAGGTAAATTGATTTGTGCTTAAGCCGTCGTTTAGGGAGCAATCGGAAACTTTTACATGCTCCTTGTAAAACTTGTTACTTTGGGAGAAGCACTTTAACATATGAGAAATCCAAGAAGAAACGTCGCCCCGATTAAATTTACCCAAAGTCGAATTTCTGCAGAGTATGTAAAGCGTTAAAAAATTTCAAAAAGAATTCGTACCCGCAAGTACACAGTTCGCAGATGCATTGCTCCTTCAAAGGAATCTTGGACAGTATGTCGGGTATCTTTCCAGGCTGGACGTTATCCTCGTCCAAGGAATCAGGCGTCTGATCTCCCCTCTTCGGTTTATCGTCTCCTCTTCCCGATTTGTCCTCCGGTCGTCTCGGTTTTTCAACGATCGGGCTCGGTTCCTGACGACTCGGTTTACCTGCAGCAGGCACCGGTTTCCTTGGAGGAGAAACATAATCTCGTGGCTTTTCCGGTGATCTTGGCCTGGTCCCAGACGGTCTGCACAATCGAAACGCAACGTTCACGATCCAATTCTATCGCGATCTACTTCGGTACGCATACCTTTTCGTATCTCCAGGACTCGGTTCGCGTTGCGGAGGTCGACTTGGTTTTCCAGCGGCCGGTATCGGTTTTGGTCGATCGTCTTCCCGGAGTCCAGGGATCCCACGAGGATATCCGGGTCGTTCTGGCGAGCTTTTTCGCGGGGTATCGACTGGTGTACTGGTGGTGAATCTCTCGTGCCGAACGTCGTCAACGACATCCTGCGCTACCATACTAGTCACCTGGAGTTTGTCGATGAATTCGGTCGTTGATTTAGTGACATCTCTCTGCGAACACGATAAAACGATTATATAAATTGTAATAAACGAACGAATGTGTAAGTAGAATAATGGATATATGACGGGGAATAAAGAAAAGAATGCTTCCGCGTCACTGCCACTTTTAGCGGCAAGATAAAAATTCGTCGAATGGACTCGGTTCGCGAGAGTATGCAATTAATTCGCTGGTATTTAGAAAATCACGTTCTTCGACCGCGATTAATCACGACGCCAATAGCAGCTTCCTCGTTCGAAACGCGACACTCGACTCGTACCACGAATGCAGAGATCACTGGAATCCGCTGGAAACGTAATCTTTTGTCCGGACTTCCGTCCCGCATCGGCGATTCTCCATTTAAATCGACCAGTCACTGTTTGAACCAGCGTTAACAAAATGAGATGCAAATTCTGTTATTTCGAAATTTACAATTTTGCTTCGGCGAACGCTAAAATAATTAGTCAACAACTGTAACGGTATCTGCAATGTTTTCGCTGTTAATAGTGTATCGACCATCGTATGGTATCGACAGGATTAATCGGTTAAACGCGTCGGAGGAAAATCGACGACGCAAACGCGAGCTCGTTTCCTGTACCATCGTTTCGTCAATTATCGGCACTAAATACGACGCATAATGAATATCGCAGGTATCTTAGATTAAAAACGACGACGACGCTTAGCTGAACGGAATGCAGGTAATACGAGATCGACGCGGGTGCCATTTATGCACACGCCTGCATCGTATCGCATAACCGGAGACTCTTTCGCATTCTGCATCCACCGTACGGAGATTCTGTTTCGTCTTTGAGAACCGCCCAAGGTGTCGAACGATTTAGATCCCTATAGTCTTCCCGCAAAAATAAATAAAAAAATAAATAAAAACGTTATAATTAAATTATTATAAAAGTTAATATAAGCAGATGGTACAGATACTCGCAGAATCGTACGTTATGAAAATATTACAAAGTTCGAATACCGACGTAAGAATGGATATTCGACTTCCATCGTATAGTATAATAGCAACGTTGCAAACGATGACATCATTCACTAGTTTGGTCATTAATAGTTCACCTTGACAGAGAGATCGAGCTGTTTCGAATATGAACGAATTACTACGAAAGCATGCATAAGGCGAAACAGGGATAATAATCGTGATGAACCAATAATGCAGAGGTCAAGTAAGATAGACCATGCCGATCGTGGCATGAAATTCAATTGGTTCCGTATCGAACAGGCGGCCCATGATATCACTTTCAAACTTTGTTACGATGTTTTACGGTAATTGTTCGCATGGTGTCGAGGGCATTCGATTAAAATCAATTGCGAGTGATCCGCTACGGAACGGCTCTTGTCAATGTTATTAACCGAATCAACCATTTTGTATTAAGAGTCGAATTGATCGGAACTATCGTAAATCCTATTTTATGGCATGCCATAAAATCGTGATCGAACGGCAACGAACGTGTTAAACAACAAATAGAATTCGTGATTCGTGACGAGATCGGTACCGAACTATGGTCACGTTGAACGCAATTATTATCGTTTTACGTACGGTCGATTGAAGTCGATTGCAGGTGATTGCAGTTGCGTGCACACGACACGAGCCACCGTGGATTCCTCTGACTCTTATTAGCCGTCGGCTCGAACAGACGATCGCACCCATTTTATCGCACCTCGTTATTATTATTCCCGTACACGACTGATTCCGATTCAAGTTAATAACTATTTATATCGCAAAGCTTAAAATCTGTTTGTACACATCGTTCGATCATTCGATCGCCAGATTCGCTTTTCGAGAAAGAAAATCGTTTACAAGGGTGACTTCTGTATACAGAATTTTCACCGAAGGTATAACGGATTTTTTACATTATTATTTTTCGCTCTCGGCATGGAAATTGCTTGATTCTCGTAAATTACATATGTGTCACGCACGCTCGACGATAATTGGAACGTAAACAGGGCTTATCGTCAAAAACGTAAACGTAATCGACGTGTTTCACGATCGACCAGAACGCTTCGTGACGCGACGCTATAATTAGTCACGCAGTAATTGTAAATGAAACGTAGAGTCGACTTTTTTTCTTCTTTTTTGTTTTGTTTTGACGGTAATGCTGTAGCCGGCTTATGAAACGCGTGTCATAATGGCTCGCGATAAACGAAAATGGAATACTTCTCTCTCTCGCCGTCCTGTCGAAGATCGTTGTAACGTTACGTCAACTTTATTTCTAAGTAAATAACACGAAAGAACCTTACGACCTTAGCCTGCTTTTACGGTGAAAGTAACGAGACCGTGCCTCTTCCGCGAGGTGTGCAACTCGACGTGTATCGCTTTATTTCCTTTACATCGGCAAGGTGCGTCGATTAATTTGTCAGGCGAGTAAAAAGGCTGTTTAAACGTCTCTATCGTTCGTCCTAAAAGACTGTCCCTTAAGATTTGCTCTTTACATTTTATTTATTTAAAAATTACTATTCTTATAACCTATTTTCAACTATCTTTAAGTTCGATAGTACTGTTATATCGAACCGTGAACAAGTTCTTTTCGTTGAAACGCGAACAGGGCCGCGATGATTCGATGCTGCGTGATTCGTCGAAATTATCTTAAACGCGCGATAGCGGAGAACAGAAACGACGCGACGAGAGAACGGCAAGGCGTTGTCCAAGGAAGAAGAAACATTAAAGCACCGTGTTTCCATCGTTGAGCACGGCGAATGAAAAGATTGACTAATAGGTTGTCTCGTTACTTACCAAGTCCTCCCGCGTGTCCGTTGTAAATTCGCTGATGACACGTTCCTCGATCACGTCGCGGACGTCCTGCACCGAGGTGAAACTGGACGATTGATCGATTACGTAAGAAGAGCTTTGTACCACTTCTATGTCGATCTTATCGTCCTTAACGTCTCTCGCATCCGTCACCTCGTGTTTGACTATCGTAACGTTGCTAACATCGTCTTTTTTTGGAACCAAACTGCTTGGTTTGTCGTCTTTCGGTCTTTTTCCATCATCCGTGGGTCTCTTTCTTTGATCTTCCGGTTTCTCGTACACGAACGAACCGTCCCAAGTAGATTCACCGGGTTTCGTTGGTCTCATAGGTCTGTCCCATTTTTCGGGGCTCTTGGCACGTTTTTCGGGAGGCTTTTTCCCGTCTCCGGGTTCAAGCGGACCCTTCTGTCGATCGATCTCGGGTACAAGCGTCGTAGAAACTTCGAAGGGTTCTTTCTTGCCATCTTCGGGTCGTCGATCGGTCGGTGACTTTGGAACTTCGCGTCTAGATTCAACCGGGCCCTTCTGTTCGCCGACTGCGAGAAAATGCGTCGTGGTAACATCGGAATCTTTGATCGTGCGTTCAACGGTGGTAGAAGCGACGAACTCGGACGTCTTAACATCCTTCGATGTATCCGTTAGAGAGATGGTCTTTTCGGTGAAATAGGTCGACGGTTCATTCGGTTTTCTGGGCGACGTTTCGCTTAATTTCTCTACGGGATGATCAGTAAGGTTTGTCGGCTTTTCGTACACGAACGAGCCATCCCACGTGGAGGCTCCTGGCTTCGTAGGTCTAACGGATCTGTCATCCTTATCGGAACTTTTAGGACGCTTCTGTTCCGGTCGTGGCTGATGTTCCGCGGGTTTCTCGTGACCCTTAGGGCCCTCGATCGTCGTGGATTTCCACGTAGTCGTAGGCAGTTGATCGCGAACGATGACCGTTTCCACGGAGCTAGAAGAAAAGTTCACGTTCGTGGAGTCCGAGTAACTTTCGCGAGTGCTCGACTGTTCCACGACGACAACGTTGTCGTCGAAAATTTCGGAATCAGACACTCGCTTATCTCGAGTATCCAACGCGATGTCCGTAACGTGTCTCCTCGAGGTCGGTACAGGACTTTGCACGGACTCCCTGCTAGGTGGTCTCCTCGTTTCCGGCGATTTCTCGATCACGAACGTCCCGTCCCAGGTCGAGGCACCGGGTTTAGCCAGCCGTCCTTTCGGCGTTTCCGGCCTACTGGACGTGCCGTCCACTTTCGTGTCGTACACTTCGTGGACGGAAGATAGACTGGAATCTCTTACGTCGGTGAAGCTCTGCTGACTGGACGAGTGCTCGACGACGTAAGAACTCGTCGATATTTCTGCCTCGTTGATGAAATTGTCCTCCGATACGTCACGGATGATCACGGTATCGGTGGGTCTCCTGGCGTCGGGTGTTCGACGACGTTCGGGAACTTGCTTCTCGCGTACGAAGCTTCCATCCCACGTGGACTGACCAAGTTTGTAACCACCTGGTGAACTACCGCGCGTAAGCTTCTCGGGAGTCGATCGACGAGGAACGCCGCACTGTCCGGAATCTTCCTCGAGGATCGTCTCGGAGACCGAAGTCACCTTTTCGCTTTTCTTTTTCTCGTCGCTGGAGGAGGCGTACTCGACTACGTACGATGCCGAAACGGACTCCGATGTACTGGAAATGTGTTGTTCCTCCGTGACATCTTGAACGTCCACGGAATCGTGTCGTTTCTCGCTTCTCCTGACCACCGTGTTGTCCGTCAACGGTCTTTGCGGTTTCTCCTGTACAAACTGACCATTCCAGGTGGACTCTCCGGGTTTCGTGATCCTCCGAGTCGGTTTACCGTCGACGTAAATCTCCTCGGTAACGTCTCTGCGTTCCTCGGACAGGAACCTCGACGATTCCGTAGCTCCTTGTACCGCGTGAACGACGTTCGACGATTTCTTCTCGTAAGAACCATCTGTACTCCGTTCCCTGTAGTCCGTTCTCTGAGTCGACTCCGTGACGTTATCTCCTCCAGGGTGACGAAACACTGAGTCGTCGGAAACGTTTCTTTTCCTAGGTTCTGCAGTTTTTTCCGGCACGAAAGTGCCGTCCCACGTCGAATCGCTGAGTCTGTTGTATCTGTTCGAATCTTTCGAGTGCACCTCGCTGGTCGTTATCTGTTTCTGTCCAATTTTATCGTCGATATCGATCGTGTTCGAAGAGACTCGTTCGCGAAACGTCGAAGAAACGTCCGTGCGAGCTTCGTCGACGACGATCTTCGAATCGAACACCGTCGACGACGAGGAGACACGTTCAGTGACCTCGGCTTTTGAAACCAGACTATCTACTTTCCCTTTGTCCACTCTGGTAGTTTGTTTCTCCTTAACCGGTGATGTGCTTTCGCTGATAAACGTGCCGTCCCACGCAGACTGACCAGGTTTGTTGAAACGCGAGACGTCGGTCTTCGCGACGCTCTTCACGGTGCTTTCGCCGGAAGAAGAGTCAAGAACGACCTTGTCGCCGATGCTCCTGACGTCGGTGGAGAATTGAACTCGACCAGTGTTCGAAGGAACGACCGTGGTCTCGTTGTCCACCAAGCGACTCTGCGAAGCCGTCACTCGTCCATTGTCGTCCACTTTCTCGCCGGTTTCGTGGATTCTCGTCGTACTCGAAACTGTTTGGCCGTCGATCGTCGTATCCTCGTACGTTTCCTTGCTCGACTGTCTGCTTTCCGTCGATCTGGATGACGTCTGTACCCTTGGTACACGTTGCTCTTCTTTCGCGCTTCCGCCGCAGACGATCCTCGTGGACGATTCACCCCGATCCTCCACGATCGTGCTCGAAGACATGGATTTCTGAACGCTCTCGGCGCGCGATTCGCTGCGACTTTGAATCTCCGACGAACTAGTAACCCGCTCCGATATGGAACCAACCTCCGAATCCTTGCCTCGCGAATCTTTTTCGGGCAGCATCGATTTACCTTGTTTAACGGACTGTACTTGTTCTTGGGAGATAAAATCCTGCGATGTTTTACCCGTTTTGTGCGTGGACATCTTCTGAGCCACTGTCTGCGGCGCCGTTTCGATTATCTTAACGATGTTCCCTTTAGAATCCATGATCACTTCGCGACTCGCACTGGTCACCTCGAACGTCTTGCTCTTCGATTCGCTTTCCGTCACCTGTCGCGCCTCCTCTACGAAACTCGTCGACGACACCACTTCCACCGTTTCGACAGTGGTCGTGTCGCTAGACGAGCTGGTTGCCACTTCCTTTTTCGACGTTTTCATCTTCTCGTTCGTACCACTCGTTGCTTTCTTGCGTATAGTCATTTTCGAAAACTCGATCGTTCACGGTCTCGCGTTCTTTCATACGAATACGTAACTCGCGCACAAATATAACGAAAAGCGAACAGCAAGAAATCTGCTGGAAGGTGTTTGCGATCGGTAAGCGGTAAACAAGAAACACACAACGTTTATACGTCGATCTCTCGGACCGAACTAAAGCTTCGCGGCGACTGGCCCCGTTTACAAACTCGTTTCTCCTCGTCCCTGAAGACTCGCGTATGTATACTCGCGATTCGCTCTTCCCCACTCTTTCTGTTTACGGCGGGAGTTTAAGTAACGTCGTCTCCCGGTGCAGAACGTCCACGTCGCGAACAAGCAAAAGAAGGTTTATTGAAACGATGCTCTCGGTCCGGCACCGTGTGTCGATGTGGCATCGACGGCGACTCGCTGGCCCTAGTTGACCACACGGGAACTCGCTTGCTCTCGCTCGCTACCATTAAATAGGCATACGAACCGATCGGATCTCCCTACCTTCTTTTTTCTTCCGAGACTCGCGTATTACTCGTTTCAATGTTCGCGCAACGTGGATTCTTGCCGTATGTACCACCGATCGTGTGGGTGGAGATGCGATTTCTCACTTTTTTCTCCTCCCCCTGTCTACGAGGAGAACCATCCGATCGGCCCACCTCCGAATCGAACGCGCCAATATCTGATACCATGGCTAATTTCATAGGTCATGGTTGTAAAGAAATTGGTTACCCGTTACATCCAAAATTACCATATTATTTGTCGCGAATAATATATCGCGTTAAGATCCTCCTCAAAGCGAAGATAAACGCTCATTCTTAGTCAAACGAAGCTACCACGTAATGTACGCACAGTTTTTCATTTTCGCTGGAACATCGCGATACGCGTTTATGCGGAACTCGTACAAGAAGAAGATGCTACTTGTAACGATATTACAAGGAAAGTCGTAGATGTACGAAACATCGTGAGCTACGTATTTGCTCTTTTCGCTTTCCGTCGTAAAAATGCGATGACGTACTAATATATCAGAAAAACAAATATTGTTCTTCGTTGGGTTTCTTCTCGTTTACAAATTTTGTCAATTTTAACGAATCAGATTTTGTGTTGGTTAATTAAAAGCCTTTCATCTGCAATGACTCAAACGAGGAATTTTAGCGGATGCGCACATTTTAGGCCGAAAGTCTTTTTCCTACAAATACTTTCCCCCTTGTTCGTTCAATGGCAATACAGTCATTTTTTTCGTCTTTTCTGGAAAAAGATCTCGCAACAGAAGACGAATACAAAATGAACAGTGGGCACCAAAGAGGGGATACCTTCGAGGAACCGGTCTCTCGTGATGTCTCGATGTAAACCGAGCGATGACGTAGGCTACAGAACTGCGACAACCAACATCGTTCTCTCCTAAAGTATCGTAATTTATCTTCTATACATATAATACACGTATGTATTAAACAGTACATTCATCCTTATCATCCTAATTAACTGACGCGTTAACTGCCGCGAGAGTCATCGCGATGAATTTAGTGTAATCGAATAATTGAAAGAGAAACGATGAAAAGTAAAGTTCGAGTTAGCATGATAGCAGTTACGTAAAGTGAGAAGCGAAACGCTTACATAGAAAACAATGTTATTCTGAATAATTACGATTATAGCATGCACTTCATTATACGCGATTGTTTTCGCCGAAACAGCGAATGTATTATGATGTTGAATGCCACAGTGAGAAGAGCCGTGCGAAATGCGTTTAGTTTTCCAATTTTAACGGTTCTTAAGATTATATGAAATTATGTTTTAATTTTCGAGCTTCGAGGTTGAGTAGATGCGTTCTTTCGTAATCAGACAGGACACCGGATTGTGTTTCGCTTTGCTGCGCTTACTGTCGCGGTGAAAAGAACGACGAAACATTCGATTTCGACGCGTGTCACTGTTTGACGAAGATGTAGTTGCCAACAGATTGGCTATATCATCTTTGGAAAATATTAATTCGACCTCGAAAGAGTTAAACCGGTAGTTGGTATTTTCGAGTGGATACGGTGACTGATTGCACCAGTGGCAATCCTGCTAACGAGCCAGCAAACTCGAAGGAATTATCGTTAGTTTGGCTCTCGTACCGATGAAATTTATCGCGAGAAATCGCGACTCACCAAGAAAGACTTATTGCCAACATCGTTGCAGCGGTTCCTAAAATCGTGCTGGCCAGCCGTAACCCTCATGCCATCGATGGGATGTACAGGGTGACAACGAAGTAAGTAATTAATGTTTAGCGGTGTAATTCTATTAAACCTAAGGAAATAATTTGACTTTCAAAGATAGGAGGTAGGATGGTCTGTCACCGCCATATATTAGGTAAGTAATTAAACACCTGTCGGTGAAAACAAAGTACCCAGTTTAACGACGACGATCATTTTCACCTGTCACGTCGTTTAAATCGTCGATTCGTAATCGTCGAAGACTCCACGAATTGAGTAAGAATTTTTACGGGCTTGGTGTAGAAAAATGAGTCGATGATATAACAGGAAATGCGACGTACGGTCACGAGGAAGCTTCGAAGGATCCACGTAACTCTGATTCCGCGTTTATCGCGTACGCGTGTCCTTCGAAGCGAAACGTACGATTTATCGACGCGACGAGATCGCTAAATTATCGACATCAGTGATCTATACGTAAAGAAAGTACGCGTTAAGACTAAGGCAAAAGACCATGTTCGGTAATATGTAGATTTCGTCAAAAAATAAAGGTCTCGGTCTTCCAAGAATCAATGAGACAGTAGGTAAAAATAAAGAACAATCGGGCTATTTTTATTCGTTCCTTAAAAGAACTGTGACTATATTTGCGTTATGAATAAAAACACACAGGACCGGATAAGGAGACGGGACATGTTCGCGTTTCACGAATTCATCATCCACCGTTGCAGGCCCACCACCGAAAAGAAAAAAAAATCGGGGACACGCAGAGTGCATACGATTGATCTCGATTCCAGACGATCTCGATTAAGGAGCGAAAGTACCACACCCGTGTGCACACGTTTCCCGTAAAAAGTGTTGTCGGGTCATGGCGTGGGTAGGAACCGTGCAAGTATTGCCAGCCGAGAGCAACTTCGATGCTCCGTATTTGGCGAACGCGTTGAAATCCGTAGGCGAACCGGTCGTCCGCGTCATCCGTGGTCCAACCGATACAGAGACGACCATTACGTTCGCGTACAAACGTCTTCCAACGATTCTTCTTCTTCTTCTATCGACGAAGCACACGTACGTGGAACCTCCATCGAATGAGTCACTCTTTTCAAAGGTTGCACATTCACCTATGCTTAATTGTTTTACTTGACCGTGTTCATCGACGAGAAAGATCGATCGTTGCGTATCCTTCGTTTCCTGGATTCGCGTCGCAGCGCTTTCCACGTCGCTTCCGATCCAATTTCAGAACTATGTCGCGATTTAAAATACAGAACCGTTGCGAAATAAAATATCGCGACAAAAGAATTGTATCGAATTCCACGCGAAAAAGGAAAAAAAGAACGAACGACCTTTGTTCGATTAATTCGCATGATTCGTTTGCGTTTACGCGCAAAGAAGGTCGTGATCGAATTCCATCGCTCGCGATACGTCGCGACGCCTTAATCAGCCTGTTTTCGAGACCACGATGCATCGCGAGTTGTCCTGCAACCGATCGAGATCGATCGTTTCTCACGGTCTGCGCACGCTCGATCTTTATGGTCAACAGGGTTAAGCAAGTATTCGAAGGAAAAATTAAAATCAATCGCCTTGCGTAAATCGGGCTATCCTCTTGCGAGTTTCTCTTCTTGCCTAATTTCAAAAGACTTTTAATAATGAATCCTGCGATAACGAGGCACCGTTTCGACTTCATTGTCCTTATATTATTAATTAACGTTAAAGGGAGAACTTTTGTAATTCTGTTTTTTAAAGACGTTGCGTCGACCTTTCGTTCCTGGTTCAACGCTCCATCGTTCAAACGAGATCTCGACGCGAATCGGGCTCTTAGGAAATAACGAGCAATTAAAATACCATCTTCGAATTTCGAAGTGGGAGAAGGCAAACGACCCATAAACGGACATACGAATTTACCCATCGGTCTCGACGGAATAGAAACGGACGATACGAATGCATTTGCAGTCCGTGATGTCATGGATCGTTTCGTTTGACCATCTTACGTATAAGAACGACGAATAATCCGCGATACGGCGATAAATATCCGAGAGCGTTTGCAAAGTCCATCGAGATAAGTACTTATGTAGCTCAACGTGCATAAGTAGACGAGAGTCTGCGTTTCTTCGCATACACGACCGTGACACTAAATTACCGACTTATATACAGTGGTTGTCAATTCGCATTCTCAAACACGATCGAATTAAACGAATATTTAACCATCGTTTTTGTTCGCGCGTACCTGCTATTCGTTCGGTTCTTTAAATTTCAGATGGACCTATCGTACAGGGCCATTGCATTGTAATTAACTGTGTATCCTGTACAGCTAACGGATGATCGCATCGACGAACTGCTAATATTAACGTTTTTCGGGAAACTAGGATATCGACCTGTTGGCCTATATATCGAGTAAACGTGAACGCACGCGAGGCCTATCTTATTTGTACTGAATTTCATGAAGAAGCAACGGAACGTAGCAAAGTCGTGCCAGTGCACGATGTATATGTCTCTGGCACTGCGGATGTGGTTACCAAAGAGAGAGTATCGATGAAACAACAGAAAGTGCAATGATACCGAGAAAATGATTAATTTTCTAATTATCTGCCAGCGTTATTTACAATTTCTGAACAGAATTTCATTAGAATTAAAATGATCGCGGTATGTAAATCGTGTAATTATTTCGGTACATATCTCAAGTTGTATTGCTTTACGTAATAACTTTGTGAAGAATCAATTATGATTCAGCGATACGAAGCGTGTAAAATGATACGTACACTGAAATTAGGTGGTCGAATCATTATACGAAAAGACTATCGTACATTTTCAATTAATTTACGTTGCAAACAGCTTAATCAACTGTATCTAAATTCGTTGATCATTCAGATACAATTTCCACTCCTCCGATAGTGAATCGCGTACGTTCAGAATACAATGAATGGTAGGAGTAAACTGTGATGAAAATCGATCACAATTGTCGTATGAATGTACGCCGTTGCATTCAAGCCACCACGTAATCCGATTCAAGAATAGAATCAAGTACACGAGGTTGCTGTACAGACGTTGGCGCATTAATATTAGTTTTACTTCTTTTATCGCCTTTCCACCGATAATATAATTCATTGCTTGTAATTACAACTGATCGATGTTCCGTCGAATGCAACGACCTTCAAAAGAAACTGATACGCCTTACGAGAGATTATATCGTAACTAGAGCCCCTGAAAGGACGGCAACCGTTCTAGCAGCGGTATCAGGCGCGTAGTGCATAGTAGGCGCGACGATAATTACTCGATTTCTCGAGAAAAAGTTTCAATCTATAATTTCCACGAATAAATATCTGTTGTAATACTTAACTGTGACTAAAATATCAGTGGAAAAAGAAAGAATGGGGACATGCAAAAACAAACGCGATACCGTTTTTTTTGTTAGATTACGCTCAATGAAACGATCAACTCAAAGTTATAAAAAATAAAATATAACATATAAGAAAGATAAAAAAGTTTCGGTAAGCACAAGTATTACTTACCTCTTATGTTTTTCTATCACCGTTTCTACGTGACGTATCGATCATTGGTTTCGAGCGAAACAGCAACGATTTTTCGATCAATGCCACGCTCGTCGTTCGGGAGGACGTAACAATACGACACATGACTTTTTTTATTAACATAACCGAACGATTTTCTGATGCATGTTCGGTAACGGCGAGACGCCGTTACACCGACGACGGTTTGCACCTCACAGATGCATCGCGACGTCTGACGTTCCCGCGCCCATTGGCGTCGTCGCGTTGCCACGACGACCGCGCACAACAACGTTTGCGCGTGCTTCTTTCCTGTACGTGCTACCATCCTTAACGCGGTAATTTACGGAATAATAAAAATGGCTTTAATCGTATATTACATTCCGAAATAATGAACGAATCGTGTGTTTTGAGATTGAACTAATATTCCAAATTACCAGAAATCACACGTTTCGGTACTGTAATTATAAATATTCAGTCGTAGATTGCATAATGTATACTAATTAGAAATAAAAATAGCTCAAGTGCCTGAAATGAATCATCGTTTAGTAATTCGCATTCATTTGTGTATTATATGAATAAATTAAAAACAAAACTTGCTATTAGTGTAACCTTTATTATGTTAGAATCTCGAACAAGCAAAATTGGAATGTAAGTTTCGTACATACCAAACATGTGACATCAAATATATGTATAATTAAACTGATACAAAAGTAAATGCTTATGAAGTACTAAAGTAAATACAGAAAGTAGAAAATACATAATCGTATAGTAATTTGTATGATAAAGGAAATACATTGGTTTTTTATTGTTGATTGTATGACCTATCTTTCTTAATATAAGAATTCAAATTGTTTTTGACTTATATAAGTTTTTATAGTTGTATTTATTGTCCCTTCAACATTCACGCAATATGTAATATATATCTCTTTGAAATGCACAAATTGGTATAAAATTTAAAATCAACAAAAGCATTGTTATACAACGAGTAGCTTATTTATATACTAAGTAACAAAAATATAGTTTTAGAATATTTTTTAGATTACAAATAATATAGTAAAATACTAATCGTTTGGTATAAGGTAGCAAAGAGGCCTACAAAAAATGCGATTGCTCTGTGAGGTTGCTTTTTAGCAAGATACGATACTGTATGAATAATTCTAGCAATCACGAAACTTCTAATTAAAATTGTGGCTAACCATGTGGATGGACCAGTAGTGAGCCAAATAAACGTTATTATGTACCACAAAGGAATATTTTCTAAATCATTTAAGTGTGCTCTGCGTACACGTTCAACATCTGGGTCATTGTAAACAACTTTGGAACCTTTCTTAAAAGCTGCATCTTCTGGACTTGAAAATACCTGTAATAAACACATAGAAATCAATATTTTTCACGTTTATGTACAGAACATAAAATGGAGAATTACTTATTTTAAGACATACCATATTTGTAAATCTATAACGTGCTGTTAGCGGTACCATTACTATGAGCTTTAAAGCAAGTATACTGCCCCAAAAACAGTAGATTTTGAAAAGCTCAGGATCTATAAGTGGCATTGTTGAAGTAGACATCGTATATCTTCGATTTTATAAATCAGACGATCACTTATTTCACCGATGTTAGCAGAATCACACGATTCGTTGAAACTCGATGAAGGAACCCGGCTCACGCGACTCTTATATATAAGCGCACGTTGAAAATATAATAAAAAAAAATTATTTCACGGAAATGTAAAAAACTGAATGTCATCATGAGTCGCGAAATCGGTATAATAATGAGATTTAAAACAAAGCAATATAAAAACATAAATTACAAATTAATGAAACATAGAAACATAAATATATTTTCATTTATTTCTTGACGTCATATGAAATTTGTGTAAATTATTAATCGAAGCCAAGTTTTCTTATTTATGCTTGTCCAATGCAATCCAATAAGGTTACATCGCAGTTTTGATAATTTACATTTATTGGTCATTGCTCTTGTCGCTGAATGAAAACGTATCCAATGAACGTTCGTGTTTAGTAAGTGATATCCTAGTAACTAAGATATAACAATTCTTCGTTTGTCACGTGATTGAAAACATACTTGCCAATCAAGAAACAGGAAGTGTAAAAGTGTATTAAATTTAATGTTAAATTCTTCGAAATTTTGTACGTTCGACTGAAACAGTTTAAAAAACAAACTGCTTTATCCATCCAACCGTAACAATTCTTTTGTTCTAACTTTATTTTAACCTCAAAAATGGTCAACGGTCAGCACAGAGCTAGGGAATATTACTTTACGCATGCGTAGAAAGCAGCGCTGACGCAGAAGTACGTCAGCTGTTTTGCTAGAGATGCGTGCATTGGGAATGGTGTATTGTTGACTGCAGAGCACTTCGCAGTTTGTAGGCCCGATCATATTTTCTTTGTTTATTTGGTGTGCAGAATCGAAGAATCACCGTGAAAAAGGCCCTATCGGCAGTGAAAGATCACGAAGCGTTCGAGTATAGCTAAGGAAATCGTAATAGAAGCCTGAAATTATACGGAAACCCGTTGGAAATTGATCCTTTTGAGAAGCAGTGTTCACAAAGGCGTCCGTCCGACTGTAGTGTTCTGTGCTACCACTTCAGGAGGTTTGGGACGTTCTGTTTTCTGGAACGGACTTTAACTCCAATTCCAGAAGATAATTATGGCACAAACAACGAGTAGCGCTCTTAGAGCCCTTGCCTTGGAATATAAAAGTCTTCAAGAAGAACCCGTGGAAGGATTTCGCGTGAAACTCGTTAACGAGGACAACATGTTTGAGTGGGAAGTGGCTATCTTCGGGCCTCCGGATACGCTTTACCAAGGAGGATATTTCAAGGTACTTACCACAATTATTTTGAACGTTTAATCGTTCCGCAAAATCCGTCGATCAAAAAATAAAATTTACTTTATTTCGGTATCGCTTTATCGCGTTAGCACTTTTCATTTTGTTGGTTATGTTTCTAACTTTCTCTTTCAACGAATGCAGCGTTTATCGAATATATAAATATTCTTCGTCGAATAACTAATAATGTCACTTCGAACGCTACATTATCGAACGTGGTTGTAAATATTATATATCGATAGCGTATTCTTTTCGCGAATCGCGTGTTGACATTTACTTCTCTTTTCCAGAATAACAATTACGTCGCATAGAATCGTTATGCGATAATTCGAATCGCGAAATGACAAGTTGCCAATGTGCAGCGGTCATATTTCTAAAACCTGCAACTTTCCGTTCGTTTGTGTCTTTAAATACTCCCGAGGAAATACGTATTCGTTAGCGTTTCTGTTTAAAAACAAATACGGCGATGACACGCCAAAGCGTTACCGATTACCCTAACCAAAAACATTGCGACACAAATGTTCATTTTTACCCCGTCGATCGGTGAATTTCGCCGATAATAGGCGTTGTAATATTTTATTACAGGAAAGTTTATTTGTTCTGCTTTGCAAACCGTTACGATTCAACGAGTTTTGTTTACACGTTATACAAAACAATCGACGACTACCAAGCAGCATTGAGTAATCCTGCAAACTAAAGATTACTCAGCGTAGGCGAATCGATTGCGTTCTACGATCGACTCAACATTCCCATCGAATTTCTTTGCTCGTACCGATAATCCATTATTCGAATATATCGATGCGTTGTCATTTCGATCTCTTTCTCCATAGTATCGAAATTTTTACCGCGAATTCTGGCACGCGGCGTCCGCGTCTTCTCGAAGACAAATCTAGTTTGTTTCGACAGTTGCTACAATTAGCATTTATGTACTAACAGAAAACGAATTCTTTCTTTACAGCTGTTATACAAACTTTTTTTCGTGCAGGCTTGCGCCCGCTTTCTGAACCACTCACACAAGTTTGTTATAAATTTGCGAATGCTTATTCACGTAACGCTAGTGTACGTACCTATCTTCCCACAGTGTAACTGGTCGCTCACACAATCATACATCGGGAACAACACCGTTATTTGCGAATCAGTATCGTTCTGTACACGTGAGTCGCATGTACGTAGGTCTTTTAAATTTTATTCTTAGGAGATTAGTCATTTACAAGCGGAGATTACGACTTGAGATTTGGTTTAAATTATAGAAAATCATGAGCATAAACAAATCTATTATCTATATAAAATGGATTCGACTGTTAGCGGGAAACGGCAGGAATTTTCTAAGTATACTAAGCACCCTTAGAAAGCGAGCACGTGTTGCTCAAAACTAGGTCTTCGAGTCCTAAATGATTAATTAGGCGCTTCTCGTCCCTTCGGGATTCACGATCGACCCAGATGAAGTTGAAGAAACGATCAAACGTTTGGCAAGTTACACGAAACATTTCCGAGCATTGTCTCGAATCTATCTTTGGACGGCATCCCTTGAATCACCTGAACGACTTTCACCCAATCCCATTCCGCTTCGGACGAACGGGACGTATTTTTCTTCACGGGGGAAAAGTGTCTATCGCGAAAGAGGTCAGACACGGTGAACTCGCTTTAACGGTAAAATGGGTCTTCGCTGTTGTTCGTTCGTGTCATTTTTCTACTATCGAGGCACCTATCCCCTCATCCTTCTCCTTGATTTTGGCCCGTTCAATCCTTTCACCTCTCTTGCAACGATCGCTATGAAACTTGGATCACGCTGTTGGCGCGCTTACTCTTCTATTAAGGCTTCTCTTCTATTCTTTTCGTTTTATAATCAAAACGAAATCGTCCCGTCCATGGAAATTATTGCTACGATCGGTATTCGTATTAGTTGATCTTGGAATAGTATCGACGTTTAAATAATTAATTTAATTGCGATCGATTTTTTTTTTTTTTTTTTCGGAAACGAGATCTGCTGCATGTCGCGTTAATTTCAGAAGAGTGTATAACAAGGATCGTCCCGACGTTGCTGGTAGACTTCCGTCGATGCTTCGCCGACGGGACGCTATATTGATCGCAACCTGGTCATGGCCCAAATATCCAAGCCCGTCCTCCGGGATAGCGCGTCCTAGAATTAACTTACTTTCCATCCGTGCCTCTGTTTACGTTTCTCCGACAGAATTACTTCTAAACTGGTGGTGGATTGCGCGCGCTACAATTAATTCTTAAAGATAAACTTTTTAAGGCAAGCCATTTACACGATCAAATTTCAGCAATTCCCTTAGACAAGCTCGGTTAAAAGAGAAAGAAATGGATCGACAAGGGTCGTAAATTGTTTGGCTCCGGTTCGAACGAAACTTTGCGGAACCTGTTATTTTTGGTCGTTTCGTTGGTCCAGAAAGTTTCGTGAAAATCGGAAACGCGTAGAGAAAATTGGCAACGAGCAGACTATCTGTTGGAACGTTCAACATCTTTTTGTTTCATTAACAGGCTGTACATCGACCCCTTCGATACGCAAAACGGTTCGAATTTTTCATAGACCCCTGTGTTTTTCTTCGATGTTTTTCCAGGCGAATTCGCTTGCCTGCATGCGCGACTACTTCTCTCAACCCTGGACAACAGATCGGTTTCCCTGAAAGCGCGTTGAGCAATTCGTAAATGACTCGAACATAATTCCCGGAACAAACGTGCGGTGGTCACCCTTTGATAATTTGCATAACTGATTATCGATCGAGACGCGTTGCCAGTCAACCGTTTTTAACGCGTGTCCATTCATTCTTTCTTCCTTTTGTTTTCTGTTACAGGCACACATGAAGTTCCCGCCAGATTATCCATACAGTCCACCAAGCATTCGGTTTATGACGAAAGTTTGGCATCCGAACGTGTACGAGGTGGGTAAATACGAGAATTATCGATCCTCCGTGTATATACCGCTTTTCATCCCTCTTCGTTACGTCTCTCTGTCCCCTTCCTCTCTGCTTTCCTCCTCTGCCCCCATCGTTCCTTTTCAGCCTCTTCATGGCTGTCGCTGAATCCTCCACCCCTTCGTTCTTCCTCGTCACTCTCTCTTTCCTCCGTGTCCCCTTTCGCTTTCTACGATTTTCTCTTTGTCTTTCGACCCTCTGCTACCAGCATTTGCGTCGTCGTTATCCGCAGGACTCGCGAAACCGTCGCGACGATCTCGCATTTTGGCACGCAACGTTGCTATCGAAAAATCTCGAGTTTAAAGGAGAAAAATATTATTTTAAACTTATCCGGTGACTGTCGTAGCGGAATGATTCGATTTCACGAGGCAAAGAACCATGTAATAAACCAAGAATCGAAAAGAAGAAAAGTTCATTATGGATCGCGTACGACCCCATCTTTTAAGCATCTTATTACACGCTACTCCTTCCTAAAGCGTCTCTCGCGTGCTCTTCCTGTGACCCTTCAGCAACTAGCAAAGAGTCAATGACCGTCCAAAGCTCCTTGGACATCCGTGTCCAGTCACTCGTTGGAAGGGATCAGACAGGCGAACACGTTATGGCTAACGGGAATAAACTCGCGTAAATTTCATGCGTCGGGTTGCTGCATTAATTATACATCCTTGATGGGTGCAGCGAACATGATCGTTTACGAGTGTTGGCGGTATGGGTTGTCCGAGAAAGATCAATTTCGTTTTCAACATTCGTGGAAAGCAACTGTTTTCGTTCCTACTCCGATAAATCCTCGATTAAACGAGGTAAAAATGGTAACCTGTGGTTAACACGAATTCATCCAACGTTTCCTAGCAGCGGTTCCGTTTCGTTATATCGTGCGAATATATCGATGCTCGACCGTTGTATTCGCTATGCTATTTTCCGTGCAACGAATCACTTTTCATACGCGAACACTTCTCGTACTCGCACAGAGGCCAATGCACTTCCGCCTACTGCCGTCGTCTCGAGCTGCGTGTATTTTTTCTTTTTTCCTTGAAAAGATTAATTCTCCGCTAGAGCTCGACGCTAACAAAGTACGCGAGATATTCGTTTAAAGTCCAGCAATCGGTGAAATTGTTTTACGCATAAAAATATTACGAATTATTTATCGCCTTCTTCGTTCATTAATTACTACGCCTAAGTAATCGATGACCTTCGTGTCAGTCAGAGGCTTTTCCGTCTAAAGTTTAAAAAGCTCGTAGGACAGTTGATATCTCGTAAACGAAGTCGGGTCGGAAACTATTCGTAGTTACAACTTTCGTCGAATAAGTTGCTCCTTAGAAGTCCTGCATTAAGCAAACATCGAGTTAATTTAATACCTAGCGTTGTGCGTGCAGGAAAATTATTGCTGGAAAACAAGTTCTGGTTATACATATTGAGGGTATTTTGCGTAATTCGATTCTAATCTAGCAAATTCTACTTAACCGTAGCGTGTTCAATGACAACCGAATGACTTCATGCGAAAAGTCTTTTGTCCGGAATCGTCTGGCCACGTGAGTCACGTGCATGAGAGATTTCTTGCTCCACGGGGGATCTTACGACGTGCTGTAAACACGAGACACGACCAGATAATAATAGCTATCTCTTTCTGCTCGAGTTTCTTACCTCCTCGCTACAAGAGCAAAACGCTATTGTTTCTTCGAAACCGTTCGTCGAATGACGAGCTAAAAGTCGTCTTTGTCGGAATCCGAATAATGGATTCTTCGTTAAGGAGCGAAACGAAAAGAGACCGAGTTCGATTCGGGCGATATTTAGGACGTTCGATAAATGATCCTCGTACTAAACGCTCTGTATACGGATGATCGTACGTCCGATGTTCAGTCGTGGCAAGAGCAAAATCGTTAGAAAATCTGTAGGCTTCGTTGCCCTCGCGAGGAGGTCGTCGCCTCAGGATTCGACGAACCGTGAAACGTTTGACCGGCGCGGTAGTACGCGTGTGTCTACGCTTTACACACACGTGCATTCGATCCCAGTGCAACTCGTGTGCTCTCGAGTCCGCGTTTGTGCTCGATACTCTTCGGTTGTGTGCAAAGGTGCGTCTCAGGTGTGGTGGCTCGTGTATTGCCACGAGTTTACGACCGACTCGACTGTGTAAGGTGGAAATGATCTCGCGTAAGCTCGCTCTCGGAACCTCGATTAACCCCCGACTATCTTGACGGTGTCGGAGCTGACCCTGTATATTATATTTTTAGTCTACGTGTAAAAACTACCAAAGAAGATTTCGATAAGCGACGACGCATCATATTTGTCCAACGATATCTAACCGTTAAGGTCACATAAAAGTGAAAATGATAAAAAAAATATATTCAGAGATTAGAAATGACACTGGTTTCAAGTTTGAGTATATAGATACGCGCACGAGACCGTGGTAAATAACTAGAGAGACTTGACACAAAAATAATTCTGCCTCCTGCGGATCGCGTTATAATAAGAACCTCGTCTCGAACGGATTAACGGGACAAGATCACCGGTAGTTGCGCGAGAACCGACCAAGACAACATCGAATATACCGAGTTCAACGTTTCTCCAAAAATGATTCACAGTAATAGTTACGTCTTCCGAAGAATTCGTAGAAGCCGCTTAATTCGAGATCACTTTCCTTTTCGGTACGCGAGCTTTTTAATTTCTCGAAGCGCTTGTTGGGGATTTCGAAAACGACACGTACGCCTACACATTCTGCGAAGATATTTAGAAACGTTGTTCGTTTGTAAAGCTTCCCGATCGGAGCAGAGTTACTCTTCGACATGAAACCGTGTACCCGCCACATGATTTATCGTCTCTTTGATACCGTGAAAATAGTTTAATCGCATGTTATTCAAGAGAACCACAGGGCGATGTCAACCTGAGCTCCGCGGTGTAAGTTCTTCGATTTAATTTTGAGCATGATCGATGCAGGAAAAGAAGAGCGCTGTTTATTATATTTAAATTTGCGTCGTATAATTAAAGCAAGTATTTTTGGGCATCAAAGTCGAGATTTATTTTTATTTCCTGCATCGTACAACCACGCATAGAGAGTAGCGTAGTAAAGAAACACGCGAGAAGACAGGCCATGTCATGAACTTACCAAGAAATTGTAAAACCTGTTGCTCATCGTGTAAAATCAAGCGCATTTAATGTAATATGTATTTCGTTCTAAAATTACTTTCTTCGAATTCCTCGTGTTAACGCATTGCCTATTTTTCGTAGCTGAAATCAACGAGCCCTTGTTAATAGTAACTAAAGACGATAAGTTATTAGTATTCGAAACTAGGTCTCGTAACGCAAGTTTTATTAATAATAAACTTCCGGCAGATAAAACATTAAATACCACTGTAAGGTATTTATTAATGCCGTTCGTGTTTGTATCCTGCGATGGCGTAGCGGCAACTGCCGCAAATTTTCGGGAATCACAGTAAGCTAAAGGTACCAAGAGAACGTGTTCTCATCTATGCTGGCCATTAGCCAGCAGCATTGCGGTACGCTACGGCTTTCTGTCCACAACGAACCTTACCATACGATTATACAGGATGTCCAGTTTTAATGTGCCCACGCAATTATATTCGAAATTGTTCATCGAAAAATATATACCGAAATAATAATATGCAACGAGCTTGAAGCGACTTAGCCGTATCTTTGAAACAACCTATAGTCGGTTTTATTCTGACTCGTTCGACCTCTCTTCATGGGCAGAGACAAGAACCATGGTGTGATTTCAACGGAATAGTGTCGCGTGTATTCTTCAACGCAAATACTTTATACACCGATACATGTCCCAATTTCCAAATATGGTGCATTATATATACAGAAGAGTTTTAAGCTTCGCGAAAGATACCGCGAGACTTTTGTCCTTCGTAGCTCGTTTCCACGATGGGCAGTGCGCCTTCAGGGACGATTAACGCGGAACTCCACTCCCTTCCATCTTCTCGGGTCAAACGAGTCTTATTTCTTTGCCAAAGTTGGTCGTTGCCCTTGACTGTGGGTTTAAACGCGCCGATGGTCGCGCGTTTTCTCAGATTTATGATTCCAACAGTTTTGTGTTTCTTTTGTCTTGAAGTAGATCCGTTGTTGGCTTTTAACTTTACAAAGAAGGACACTTGGATAGCAAAGGATTGATATATGAAATTTGTTTTATCGTTGTTTATAGAATGGAGACCTATGCATATCGATTTTGCATCCACCCGTAGACGATCCACAGAGTGGCGAACTACCATGCGAGAGGTGGAATCCAACACAGAATGTCAGGTGAGAGCGCGATTGATGAAGAAAATTACACGGACATCGTTGAACGTATTAAATAATATTTATACTATTCGGGTCTAACCATATTATCATTAGATTCTTTGAGCTATATATGGTGCAAAAACGATAAACGAATTCTGGTTTTGGAACAGGACGATCCTCCTCTCGGTGATTTCGCTCTTAAACGAGCCCAACACGTATAGCCCCGCCAACGTGGATGCTTCTGTGATGTACAGGCGCTGGCGCGACTCCAAGGGTAAAGACAAAGAATATGAAAATATCATAAGGTATAATAATATTGACTTATTCCCAAATTCTATAATTGTTCTTTTTTTCAATCTTAATCAATAATAGTAATGTCTATGTACGGCTGCATGCAACTTCTGTTAGAAATCTTAGTTGTATCGATACTTGTTTATTTTCACGGTTGTTTTTAACCAAGAGAAGTTTATATTGTACCAGAGTATACAAGATGTTGTCCACGTTGCAGGAAACAAGCGCAAGCGGCTAAAATGGAAGCTGAAAAAGAAGGTATCGTAGTGCCGGTAACGCTGGAAGATTATTGTATCAAGACTCATGCGAGGCCAGCCGAGCAACAATTAGACATGACGGATTTCTACGATGACGAGTACGAGCTGGACGACGACGATGATGACGAGCAAATGAGTGCCAGCGATTACGAAGACGGTGACGATAGTGGCAACGGAGAGTCGTGATCCATTTCCTAAGGGACGACAAAAATAAACTCGAAGAAGGAAAAAAAAACGCTAATTATTATCAGTTCTGTATAGATTAATAAATTAACGGGCTTCTAAACCGGACGCTCTCTCCTTTCAGACGTGCCACCTAAATTCAAGTACACGTTCGAAGAACATTTAATCATTGTTAGAGTACTTTTCGTTTTTGTAAGTAGATTCGCAAACACATGTTTTAAAGATGACGACATCTGTATCATGAATGCCGTTTTACTGTTGCAGGTGCCTCTAGACAATATTAATTAAAAGTTCTATAATAAATATTACGAAAATCCTTGAATCGGTTCTAATCAAATGTTTTGTACGCTATCGTTGAACGAAATCTCTTAAAACCATAATGATCGAAAGAAAAAAAGAGTGTAAAAGAAATCGGAATTCTGTACGCAAAGCAATTTTTTTCTAGAGGATACTAAAATTGTCGAGAATGCCGCGTTTATAAGCTCTTTAACTTAAGCAATATACGGTATGAACATAAGTACTCTGTTAGGAGCACTGTGCTTGTTGTGTTGTGGTTGGCACGTCGGTCTTTTTAACTAGGCAAAAAAAAAAGGATAAAAGGACCAATTGATTTACCTAAAGCGGTGATTCAGCGTTCGATTAAATAAATTTCTAAGGAAAGTACAATGATTGGGCTGGCTCAAATCTCCTTTTATCCATGCGTCATACTTAAAATTTATATCTAGTAGGTACATCAATTGATCCTTGCATTTTCGAATCTTCGATGAAACTTACATGGAATAAAATGAAAAATTTCGACGTTTCGTGTGATTATTTATGCTGTAAAGCCAAACGTTGAGAAAAAGAATTCAATTCGTGTAAGCGAGAAGTAAAACAAACTGCCATGAAAGACCTGTTGAACATTCTTCGATGTACCATTCTGTTTCGAAGAATTTATATACATCTTAATGGGTTTTTTTTTGTTTCTATTTCTGTTCAGAACTCTACTACTCGATGATGGAACACATCTTTTTTGTATGCACATGAATTTACATAGGTTTAAGTACTACCATAGAATCTTATATTATAATTTTTCTTTACAAAACGTTTTGTTTTGTGGTGGGATATTTTATAGCAGGTCTTTGGACAGTTTGTTTTTGTTCGTGGTTTTTAAACGTATAGAAATATAGTTTTTACTATGAACGATACTATCTGTAAGTTTCGATTTTTTGTCATTATAGCATTACTAAATCTTTTTTAAAAAAAAGTACTGAAATACGTTTACGAACTTCTCTTACGTGCATTGCGCTACATCCCACGAAGTTAGTTTAGCTTAATACAATTATTAAGATCTCTTGGTGTTAAGTATTATCTTTCACACGGGGACAAAAAGCTTGATAGATGGAATCGATTAAGAAATAAACTTATTACTTAAGTGAAAGAAATACCAGATACAGCTAACCTACTCTGTGGTAGTGTGTCTGTGCTCGTATGACTGAAATTGTAAATAGTACACGAAATCCAATTCTTAAAGACATAAAAATGTATAAATGGTATCTTCTGTATTCGTTCTTCATTAGCCATTTTATTAAAAGACCAAAATTAAGTGTTGAAACAAACAAAAAAAAAAAGAAACAACAGAATGTTAAATGGTAAAAATAAAAGCAAAAGAATATTTAAATTTCAATATTGTCTAAAGGAAAACATACTTAGCGCTTGTAGTGGTATAACAGAAAGTAAATATTCCCTAGTTCCTCGACATACTCTGTACAACTGTTCTTTTTGTTTCGTTTCTTGTTCTCCCTAGTTATTTAAATAATAGACGAAAATCTGTGTAAGACACTAAGGTGATGCTAATAATTTGTATACTACATAATTCTTTTTCTCCTTCTTTTGTACATACCAATAAAAACATCTCTTCGTACAATTATTAATAAAATTAACGCAACAAGATCACGTACTTTGTTCATAGTTTAAGACAGATGTACAGTTGAAGTAGAAACGCTTTGCCTATTAAGTGAGTGAACATAGCTTTATTCGAAGTTCGTTGATTCAATAGCAAGAATAGTTTTCAAGTTCATTCGTATTCGCGAATATATATATATTATATATAAAAACAGTGAAAATACAAACGCGATCAACTTATATATTCTGAACACGCATTTTCTTTTCTAGGAATCCCTATTAATACATGATTTTTAGGCGTGCACGTGTTCGGTATGAATTTAGAAAGATATACTTTGTAGCCAAATTGTTCAGCTTGCAACTTTCTGTCGGTATCGATAATCGCCATACATTCGTAACCTTGCTTCGTCTTAACATTCTGTTCGTCATGAGTTTGATCTGCAGCATGACTAAGAACTATGTATTTATCTTGCTCCATTTGTTTCTTGAAAACATTGCTCCTTGGATAAGTTAAATGGTGACAGTCGTGCAACGATCCATAACAACAAGGGCAACAGACGAAAATAGAATTTAATCTGATGCATTGTTGTATAACTAAATCAGTTGCTACTCCGCACGCGTGTAACGATACACCAATGTCGAAGTGCCCTTTAAAATAATCTAAGTTGCACTGGTAAAATCTAACGTTCGTTAATCCGAGTTTTTTTACTCTTTCTTTGGCTCTGTTCAGTGATTCTTCTTTATTTTCTAACAGTATAACGGTGCAATATGGTAATAGATATGCAATCAGGATACCCAAATGACCACTACCGGAACAAAAATCTACGATGACGTCTCCCGCTTTTGCCAATTTTATTACAGGCTTACACATGTTTTCTAATTGTTCGTGTTTCTTTTTCAAACGTGTTGATGGTAAAGAGCCGCCTTCCGGCGTAGCGTCATACGGTATCGACGACCAGTCCAGATTTAATTCTGCACCGAATGGTTGTAGGTCAAGATTGGTTTGTATGTTCAACGTTTTGAACAATTGTAACGAATCTTCAACGTCTTCTTGTCTCGTGTAAATGCGATTTCTTGGTTTGTATCTCTTTGAATCACTTTTATACAAACTCTGATTCGCCACTTGAGGAAGCGTATAATGGAATTCCGTTATGTCTTGATTCTTCAACAGCGGCAAGAATTCGAGACAGTCGAGTATCGTTTGATCCTCGATCATTTTTTTGTACCATTTGGCTGTAAGTGGAAGCAACTTCATTGTTGTTTCACTCGAAAATACAGTTAATAAAATATGTATACAAACGAATATAATTATATCTGCTAGCGTTATATACGAGCCCTCGGCGTACGTATGTTCTAATAAACGTAATCCTTCTGGTGAAATCAAACTGTCGTCGGAAAATTTCTTGGACATGGTATATTTATACAAATTATGTAGTCTAACGGGTTGCGACATGTGACATTCAAATCTTGCCATGCTGGTAGGCAATTCATTCTTTATTTCGTCGTTTGCGTGTACAAATTTTGTCGTTAGAATCAAATCTACCTCGCAAAATTTCGTCCATACACTCGTTTCCGAACAAGCTGTTAAACACGAATCTTTGAATCCCAATAATTTCTTACAGTAATGCTCCGGGTATTTTACCGTAACTTCTTTAACGATTTGCCGTAAAATTGCGCAGAGCCCTGCAACACAGCTAGTTTTATTTACAATAATAATTGGTAATTCGCAAGAACTTGCATGATATGGGATTCTATTTGTATCCATAACTTCGTATACAAAATTGGAAATATTTATCATATATGCTCGTTCAAGAGGCTTCTTTTTGTTCAGTATAAGTTTAATATTGATTTTAGATTCGCAATACTTTACAGTGAACAATGTTATTATTGTTTCTATCGGTGCTAAACACAACTCTTCCAAAGAATATACTTCCAAATAAGCTTCATCCATTTCTTTCAGCTGCCTAAGAAATCGTACAAGTTTCAATGGAAGGAGTAAAAACACTAATTCATCTAGGCAAACTATACACCAGCCTTTAATTGCCTAGCTACTTTTCTTATTATTCTTTGTCTTAAAATGTTTTCTCTCCAATAGACACTGATGCAGGACATAAATGCCAGAAGAAACATAAGTATTTCAAACTTCCAAAATGCCCTTTCTTCTAGCCAAGCTACCCTATCACAACTGAAAAATATGTTATTCAAATCATACGTTCATCATTATTTATTATGAACATACTATAAACATGGAGATAAAGTTAATTACCTTCTTGTTATAGTTTCACCACTTTTACATTTCAATACTTCTTTGTATCTTGCATGGACACATATATCAATGCTTTTACTAGCTATTTCAAATGCAGTACACGGATGGCATTCTGAAATTATTTCATATTCCTCTCCAGATATACATGTTGTATTATTTTCAAAATTTTCCAGATAAAGTTTATTAGGACTATCTGTCCAGTGACTTTCAACAATTAATACTAAGACTGTTAATCTGCAATGAGAAGGAATATATTATTACATTATCGTGTAAACTACATATATTAAAATATAGAACAAAACTAACCCTCCTAACAAAGTAATGCCAATTAACATTCGTTTTTTGGTACAAGACTCAATCATTTCGATGTACACTTTTTTCCTGTTAAGTTATGTGATCCATATGAAAAATGATTAAAAACTTTCTAACAATCTTTACAGAGTTATAAAGCACCTAACAAAACATTTACACTGACGTTACTAATGCACAACTGGATACAACCTATCTTGCGCACACAGATAACACGTGTTTAATAAGGAATCAACTCCATCTACCATGAACAACCACGACTTATTTAATAACTTTTAACTATAGTGACATACACAAAGTATGTATTTGTACATTCAGCTGCAAATCTGGTTTTCATTGGTCGTCTCTGTATGAACTCCATAGTCATAGGAGATAGATTGTTTTCTTATGAATTACGGATGTGTTCCAACCTGTTTATCTGTTGGCAAAAAATTGACTTAAAAAATTGCAGTACTCATTTTAATTTTGTCTGTAAAGACTATTTAAATGACACAGATAAAAGAAAAATTAATAAAAGAAGAAGTAGATGAGGTAAACCATTTTGATGTTAGTATCGTGAAAAATGTGAAATATCTCTTTCTGAAACAGTGTACTAAATGTTTACGTATATAGTTATTTTTACAGGACAATTTGTGTAGCGATTTTGCAGCGCGATTAAGTTTTGAAATTGCATTGGAAATTGCAAAAACGACATGCAATTGTGCAGACGGAGAATTCATCAAAAGGTGCCTAATAATTACAGCTGGACAGATATGTCCATCACGAATCGAAGTTCTCGATACGATAAATTTATCTAAACTGACAATAATGCGTTGCATTGATTTAATGGTAGACAATGTTATGAACCAGATGCGTGACATATGTGCCACATTTGTAACATACTCATTAGCAATTAATCAGAATATATGTTTATCAGGTACTCTGTACATGGCAATTTTTATTCGTGGAGTAAATAGTAATTTACATGTTACAGAGGAGCTATTAGATTTAGTGTCATTAGGTGATAATATGTCTGCAGAGAACATTTTTTCTCATGTGAAGGCAACAATAGAAAGTAACAATTTAGAATGGGAGAAACTTGTGTCTATAACAACTAATGGATCCTCTATGATAATCGATGCTAAAATTGGCCTTACGAGTCTTTTGAACTCGCAATTAAATACATTAGGTAGTTCTAATAAGATAATTGCTGTGCATAGTCTAATGATCACGCAAAACTTATGTGCAAAAAGTAGTGTAATATTAAATGTTATGTCCACCATTGTGAGCATTGTGTATTATATTAGAAACCATGAAATAAAATTACAAGAATTTCATACACTTGTGGAAGAACTTGATTCGGATTATGAATCTAGTAAAGTTACAGAGCTGCCTAATTATATCGAAACAGAATGGTTAAATCGTGGAACTGTATTGGAAAAGTTTTATAATATTCATGAAATAATAAGAGATTTTATGGAACTAACAGGGCATCCTGTACCAGAACTAAAAGACACCCAATGGCTAATTGACTTAGCATTTTTAACAGATTTAGTACAACATATGAATAGGCTAAATCTATTATTGCAAGAAGAAGGAAAGATTATAGTAGAATTATACGATACTGTTCGTGCATTTCAAATGAAAATACAACTATGGATAAGGCAGTTACAAATGGGAAATGCTTATCACTTTCCAAAACTGAAATTAGCAGCGGTAAATGAGGATTGCATTAAAAAATATTGTTCAATTTTACAAATACTTCTAGAGGAGTTTGAAACCAGATTTAGAGATATACAAAATTTAGATACAGATTTTAACATATTTGCAATGCCTTTTTCAGTCAACGTGAATACTGTCCCAGCAGAAGTACTATTAGAATTAATTGATTTACGATGCGACCGAAGGTTAAAAGCTAACGCAGGTACTTTGATAGATTTTTACGAAGCTTTTTCGTATATACGATTTCCACATTTACATAATCTTGTAGCTAGAACATTATCCATGTTTGGATCGACGTATATTTGTGAACGATTAATTTCAAATATGGATATGATGAAATCAACTCACAAAACAGGACAACTTGGTTATGATCACATTTTTAAGTGCTCATTAATACTAAATTCGTGTCAATCTGTTGTTCCAAATATTACCCAATTACTGAAGGAAAGAAATTTGTAGTAGATTACTAATGTTTCTACGCAAAAATAATTTAGTCCATTATGTTTACCCTATTTTGCAAGCATTTATTAGTTTTAATATTTATTTATTATTTATTTCTCGTATTAATATAGTATTTATATCTTATCTTTAATCATACGTTTTACATTCGGTTATATTTGTTAGTTCCTAAATTTGTACATATATTGTAAGATTGTCACATTCAAGTCATAACAAGTATGCAGAAATATGTACAAAATAGAAATTGTTAACATATTGTAAATAGTGTACTGTACATAATCGTTTATTATATATTATACAAGAGTACGCGTCCCATTTATTATAATATTTGTAAATCATATTATAACGCAGGAACATGTCGCCATCATTGTGGGTGCACCGACTACTTTTTCTTTGATTACTTTCTTTGTAAAAATTTACTGCGCATGTCTATATTTTACGGTTTAGGACTGCGCAGGAGGGCAAGGCTAACCGATTAATTCCCCGTGCATAGCGCGGGCGTGCCACAAGTTAGTAATTAAATGATTAAACAGTAAGTTTAATTAAGTTATGCACTGTATGAAAAGTGGCGAAAATAAAGAAAAATTTATCAACAATCATTGTGTATTTATTGTTACCTAACAAACCCAACCGAATAAAAATTTACGAATTTGAAAAAGAAAATTTGTATCACGAGAACACGAGAATTCCTGGAATTTGACGTCACAAAAATTCCAAGAAGTGGCACGGATACCTCCTCACAACTTATGTTCTCCTGATACAAATTCTCAAAATCGGTCCCTGGAATTTTAAAAATCCCGCCCCGGGAATTCCTGGAATTTGACGTCACAAAAATTCCAAGAAGTGGCACGGATACCTCCTCACAGCTTATGTTCTCCTGATACAAATTTTCAAAATCGGTCCCTGGAATTTTAAAAATTCCGCCTCGGGAATTCTTGGAAATGACGTCATCAAAATTCCAAGAAGTGGCACGAGGGATACCTCCTCACAACTTATGTTCTCCTGATACAAATTCTCAAAATCGGTCCCTGGAATTTTAAAAATCCCGCCCCGGGAATTCCTGGAATTTGACGTCACAAAAATTCCAAGAAGTGGCACGGATTACCTCCTCACAACTTATGTTCTC